AGACGATCCAATAACTGGTAAACCAGAAGTTATTTTATTGTATAATACTACTGAATGTAGAGTCGACATTATAGATAAAATTAGCTGCAGTTATAATGTGCAAGGAATACGAAACGATGGCCTTTAGTTGTGTTTTACGGTATTTTGAACATTGCTAGCATAAATGCATTCATAATTACCAGACACAACGACCCGAACCAGAATCATAGTAAACAGAGAAGATTGTTTATCAAGAATTTGGGTTTGGAAAAAAACCATATGCAGTCCAAAGCTACTATGACAGGTTTTCATTCCTACATTCGAAATGCAATAGCTAAACATACTGGAATCGACACTGAAGAAAAACCTGACCCTCTTCCCAATAAAAGAGGGCACTGCAAGTATTGCAAAAAGAAAAAACTCTTTATTATTGTAAATTTTGTAAAGCTTGGCTCTGTATGAGTCACATAATATTAAGTTGTAGAGAATGTGTTCAGCACCGGTCCTGAGTCCGGTACTGTCAATTTACGCCAATGCAGTTTCTGCAGTGGCGCGGTAATTCTCAATTTTGTATTAAAAATTTGTTTTTTGTTCGTTACTTCTTTTTATAATGGATGAATCTAAGGATAAAGCCAAAAAGCATGGTTTTTGCATTTGTCAGTTTTTGTGTGTTTATTATCAAAAGTAAATATATTGGAGTGTTGAGCGACAAATTTTTCATTGTCAGTTATTGCATCCAATTTCTTTAATTTATTAAGCCTATGTTAAGACCCGCGCAGACTTTGAGAATAGCTATTGAAGTTCACAAATTTTTTTATTTGTGGATTTTTTGACACAGCCGCTACATCGCTACATGGCTACATCGCTAATCCGGCACTGGGATAGAGACGTGCAGTTATCCAAAGCATTTCCTTCATGTCGGGCGATATAAGTATGGGCGGTTCCGGCGATTGGTTAGAGGCATCTTGCGAATGACGGAACATTCAGATGTTTGAAATTCTTCGATTTTATCGCGGACAATAATGATTATCACTGAATGGAGTATCATTTCTACGAGTGAGTTTATTGTCGCAATGAAACAATCGAGATTATTACGGAGAGCCGTTAACATTCCTCAGGAGTTATGGAATAAGAAATAATAATTCGAGAAATTGCGAAGCTGAGAAATTTATTAATAAACTGTGAAATTGCCTGTGGAATTCACTCTTAACGCGATAACACTGCAAAAAACAACACAAGACGCAATATTGAAAGCACTAATTGAAGAAATATAATATGGGAGAATAACCATTTCTCAATATACGAGGTGTGTTCAGAAAATAATGGAAATTTTTCGTTTTCTGAAAAAAATTGTTTATTGCACTGTTGTCAACTATCCTAGTGAAACGACTACCCCTTAAGGTTATCTTTATTTTTTGTAATTGGAAAAAGTCACACAGAGCCATGTCTGGCAAATATGGAGGCTATGGCACCGTTACAGTACTGTTTTTGGCCAAAAATTCACGAGCAAACAATGCAATGTGAGCAGGTATCGTGGTGCAAATGCCATGAATTATTTTTCACAAATCCGGACGTTTTTCTTGGACTGCGTCAAGCAAACGACGTTGAACTTGTGCAAGAATTTATGATGCACCATGCCAATAAAAGAACACAGTGAGCATAACCTTCACGCCTGACCGCACTTGTCAAGCCTTTTTCAGTCTTGGCGAGCCAGAATGCCTCTACTGGGACGATTGAACCTTAGTTTCGACGTCATATCCACAAACCTCGCCATAAATATATGTCTGTCACCTGTTATAAAAGGTTTCAGTAATTTTGCATCGTCGTTGACTTCATTTTGTGACTCCTGAGCAACTTACATTCAACACTATTTTCGTTCAATATATAGTACAGTACTTTATGGTACTTTGGGAAGTTTTGCAAATGCAGGTAGGATGCAAAATGGCCTCAAATTATATGGATTAGATATTTTACAGCTACCAGAAAATACTTCTTGTCTTAAATCACCATCGCAAATTTTCCTCACTACATCAATACAGTATTAGAATTATTATCTCTTTCAAGTTGATTTCATCAACACCCTAAGCATATGACCTGAAGTTTTTCAGGCAGGTACAAATTACCTGAAATTTGAGAGAAGCAAGAAGTAGGTCATTATGCATGAAATAACCAATTAATTCTATATTTACATTGGAATTACCAACATTCAGAAATTAATCATAGATTTCATGAGGTTTTAAAAATTCTTCGACTGTTCATTAATTCGCACAAACACCACATTTTTTTATTTTTTTCAGAGTCTTCTGAAGTATTAAAGATGAACATGTATATTCCAACAATTTCTAGAAAAGCTGAAATAAATAAAAACGACATTTTCATCCCGTATTAACCCCCCAAGATTCCCCACATTTTCCGCCTTGCCGTTGTTTTCCATAGGAACCGCTCTCATTTCGCCCATTCATAATCGCGGTACCATTCGAAAGACGAAACAATCGGCAGTCGAAACGTTCGTCGTGAATGAATGAGCTGCAGCTTGTACACACAACGTTTCACCGGATAAAGAGCGTGTGTACGCCTACTCTGCAAAAAAAAACGAATATGCCGAAAGCCGTCTAGAAAGCTACGACAAGGGCGTGAAAGCTGCATTTATACGGCAAAGATCAGGTTCGGTTCTTCGACGCCCACGTGTATGCATGCGGATCTACGAGTAGGCCGGTAGAAAGACTTGAATCTCGAATCTCTGGGCAGATCCAACATTTTGGAAAGTTATCAGTGGAGTTTAGCCCATTATCATTGAAAATACAAATGAATGACATTATTGTTGGAAAAATGCTTCTTCGTGGGGTAGCCAGAAGTCGAAAGGTGCCAAATCTGGATTGTTTAAAAATCTGGACGTGAGAATTCAAAAAATCCACTACTTACATACAGCCGCTCATTGTCATGACGTTATAAAATTCCTCTATGTCGCCGAGCTTTACAAGTGACACCGTGTGGTAACTTTTCCAGTTTCAAACTCTTTTTTTTCGTTTTTCTCCCCAGTTTCTTTCAGTGGCAACAGTTATTAGCCTCGTGTTCTAGTGAGGTAATTTCAACTCCCCTCCTGTTTTTCTCGTTTAAAAGTAGGAATTAAAAATGATAACTTTGTGTACTGTTATTATTTCCTTATATCTTGATAATTATGCATTTATTTGTTTAGCTTTGATTCACTTTAAGGCTCCATTCAGTTATTGTTATATTAGGGTTCCTATTCAAATGGAATTCAAATGCCTATCTGTTTCAAAAGATATTCAGTTTGTCGAACCCTTTTCCAAAAAAAATAATTTTGTAAGTTCAATCGTATATATTTTTAAAACCCCTCTACCGAAATAACGATTTTAATCGATGGATTCGTATTGCCTCAACAAGGTTCACAAACACCATATAGAACATTATTTGCAGTCGGCACTGAAACCAACCGTGCTACAAATTACAATCACCAGTTTTAGTTCACTACGACGCGGCGTTTCAGACAAGCATCCAACGCACGCTAGATTATACACCCAATCGATGATTCATGGTTGAATGAAATATATGGAATTTAGGCCGTCCCGTCCTTATCCGTCAGCTGTTTGCTTCGATAGTTACAAACTACGAAAACAGACGAAATTCAATACTTCGTCAATTCGAGAGAGGCCCGAGTAGGAAGAGGGTGAATTGGGGTTAGGGGTGGTTATAAATAATGCGGGTAGGGTGATGTCCTACGTGACCTGCATGAAGGCCACGTACGACTGCGTTAAATATATCTTATTTATACTCGAGATGAACAAAAATATTGCTGAGTATGCTTAAATTGAATTTTAAATTTCCGACGGTTTTATTAAATAAAACACACCACATACAACACACTCGGGAGAGCAGGTCTACAATTTCAAAGTTGAAAGAATTCACTCAAGAAACATTTGAACGTGACTGGACTACCGAATTGTTGAATCAAAAATGCATTTCATACAAAATTACATTTAAAATAAATATTGTCTGAATGTTATTTGTGGAGGTACAATACATAGGTATTGTATGTCAAGATACACCTGAGATTTATGGGTTTTCATCCCCTGAAATACAAAAAATGTTCGAAAAAAATCAAATATGAATATCTAGTTCAATTTAGAATGACTTTGAGTTGATTTTTTACCGTTGTGTGTGTGCAAATCCATGGTTTACGAAATTTTGCTAAGCAAAGTGTATAGTAATTTACGGATATCCCAAGAGCGTCTGTAAAATTTTGTAAATTATGGAACTGTACCTGCCCTTCAAAAATTCAACCTTTCACGACAACAAAAAAAACTGTAAAATTTAACCAGAAATTTTGACCAAAAAAACTAGTTTTCGTTGCTGATAAATAGGTAATGAGTACCTATACAAAAATTGGAAAAAATGTATAAATATGGTTTTCCTTTCCTTTGAATTCAGTATATTTCAAATGTAATTTCCTGAATTTTTATTTTATTCAAGTTTTATTTTATTATTTGAAAAACTACATTACCAAATATAAACCCTCTAAAAAAAAGTTAGGTCCGTCCATGGACCCACTAAAATAACAAAAGTTGATTTTGATCTAGTTCCGATTTTGCAATGTTTACATATCAAAAACAAAATCACTAATTATTTATGAGAACGGCTTTGAACTCGGTACACATTTCATTGCCAAGTGAATTTGCCAAAATGAAAGCGATAATAAATCAAACTAAAAATGAATTCGAGATGCATTTATCAGCTGCTGCAAATATCATATCGTCACGTTCCGTCAGCACGTTATTTTTCATCTGCTATCCGCACAAGGGTTCAATATTCGAAACTACGAGATATGAAATTCGAATACGCCGGTAATACTGCCATCAAGCATGTAATGTTAATAAAAAAATTCAGCGGAGTGTAATCTCGTTTTAGGCAACCTCGTGTAAATTCGGAAGTGACAGTCACTGGTCCAACACAAACGTCAAAATCATGTGTACAAACGCGCAGATAAAATTCGGAATTCTCACCTGGCCAAATTCTCCAAAATGTCCTTCTTGTCGTCGGCACTCTCCTCGAACACTTTCTCTTCTTTCACGTGAAAAGACATAATTTCCACTTATCGAACAGTCCGTATCACTGACAATTAAAATGTAAACTTATTAAATCACTATTCACTTATAGTACGCTGGAGCGCGGGACAACCAGCATACGCTACGCCTCACAGCAGTTTTCTGGTAGCGGCGTTTGGCGGGAAACAGCTGAGGCCAGGTCGACGCCAATGTAATATTCCTACGCGGTAGCATCGAATCTCTCGATGCGAAAATCGGAGAGAATCGAAAGAAAATTCGTTGTCGTTTATTGGTATCGACTAGTCAAACATAAAACCTGTCATTATTTATCAAAGTTAATGGTACTTTGAAAGTTATTCGCGATTACATGTGGGATCTATTTACGTCGCGGATGGAACAATTACGGAGAGTCGCTCATCGTCTGCCAGCTGGCGGCGTGGCCCCTCCCGTTGACTATAGACCTAAGCCTACTACGTTCGTCCTTCCCGCCAACTACCGCGCGCTCCTAGTATGAATGCTTGCAGAGTTGTTCTGTACTCGTATTCTACGTTCGCACTCTTTTCAGACATTAGTGTGCAACAAAATTCGTACTGGAGTTTCTTGCCGATTGGCTTGTTGATATTACCAGAAATATGTATACATTTGTTTTTTTTTCATGGAATTCAGAATTCAACTGGGATTATCGACGTAACTTTCTAACTCGGATAGGCTTTGAAAACTGGATGTTCAGTAATGAATCCCTGGAGATTGTGGGACGGAAGACGGAAACGAAAAATGCAATATTACTCTTATAGAGGGGGATGTTGACTAATTGAATTTACCTTTTGTTGGCGTATTCCAGTGGCGCCGGACATCATGGGAAGAAAATAAATTTTTTTTATCTCTGCAAACTACTGCGCTGAAGGGCCATATTTTTTTATCATTCGTATCTTGAAAATTACGACTTTGAAACTCGAAATTTCGACTTTAAAATCGAAATTAAAGTCTAAGTTTTGAGTTCAGAGACGTATTTTCAAAATAACGAGATTAAAGTCGTAATTTCAAAATTACGAGATTGAAGTCGAAATTTCGAGTTTGAAGTTGTAGTTTCCAAGAAACAAGGAATAAAAATATCTGACCCTTCTTGCTCTTCCGCAGATATCACTGAAATTATTTTACTTACCTGGTCCATGTTGTGAAAAATAATTTTCACAGTTGAACCTATTTGGTAGGTAGTTCCAATCGTCTAGATAATTTACCTTTGCCGGGCAAAAATAAAATAGCTAATAGTTTTTTTGATACCTGATACTTGTATTTTCCTTTTGAATGTTATATGCAAACACTGTGTTGTGTGTGCGTTCCCAAAGTATAGTCATCTAATTTGACCTCTTGTTGAACTCGTCAAACACACCTATTTGAAAGTTGCATACTAAAAGAGTTATAGCTACTTTATTGTCATTATTATTTCACATGTATACATACTCCTCGAATGTTAGTATTGTGAAAACTACTTCATCGTTTTCAGAAACACAAAGTAAGCAGAAAAATAAAATCATTTTGAAGGACTGATACAAATAGTCTTTAACAAAACACGTACTAAAAAGCATGTAATGATACAAAAAGTTTGCCATACCTTAGATAAGTGATATCAGCAATAACCAAAAAAGTTTTTACACGGCAGTGCTTGGAAATATCCAAAAATTTGTGTAATAACATATTTATTTTTTGAAAATATTACTCTATTATGCAACTTTTATATTGGTGATTTTTTGATATATCAACTTCTTGTGACGAGTTCTAATAGCTGTTAAAATTGATGACTTAACTTTGAAATCTATGATTTCAAATGCAAACTTTCTGGCACATCCTAGGATATGGATTCAGCTTTGTTCACGACCAAATATAAAACTGCCAAGTCCGTTTCTCTTTCATCATAACATAAAAGAAATGGGATATTATACCTTGGTTGAAATCTCTAAAATTTTGGTATGAAAGAAATGTAAATCAACTAGAATTTGTATATCAGGAATGGCTACTCATTGAATTTTGAACTGGTTTGAGTTTTAATCTTCCTCTTTGAAGATGATCACTTGGTGATCGAAATTCGAGTCGAGGTGTTAAAAATAACGATTTGGTGTTGGGAAAAAACTCCAGCAATATTCATTACTATACCAAAGGTTCGAAACAGTGCATCATAAGTGGTTTGAGTAAGTTGAAATGTCTCTTCTCAGGACAATCATGAGCGAGTTAAGAGAATATACCTTAATGATGAAAAATGTTTATCCTATAGACAGTTTTGTGGCAATTGTTCGTTAGTGTGAACCAACTATATTCAGGGAAACATAAACCCAAATTTATGTTAAACTAGAAAATACAAAAACGAAATGATTTTCGATTTCTTGGACTGAATATTATTGCCATCGTTTCATTCAAACCAATCCAGTTCTCCTTATGGCAACTCCTGTGTTTCTCTTTGTTTCTGATTTAAAGCTGATGGAACATATTTCTAATATCCCCACAAAATCCAATTCTTCATTGGTGGAATGTCATATTGGGTTAGAATCAAGGAGCAAAAAATCACGTAGATTAAATCCATGTGTTTTGTTCAAATAACACCAAAATGTGACGAATACCCACCTCCAGAGGTCTTCCATGTATCACAAATTTGTTTGGAATTGTAAGATTAAGTATATCAATTTATACTAAAAATTGTACCTCAATTTTCAATGTCTTGTTCCTACAACCAGAGATTAGTGCAATGATCCAAGGTAAATATGCTTTATAACCAGCCGGTAATTTATGTGCAGCACATCATAAGTCACAATTTGTATGTGTAAAATGAAAACATGTTTGTTAAAGAGCAATATTATTGAAACTCATGTGTTGAGAATTGCAATTATGTGCGAGTCAACACTGGGGATTCCACAGTTACATAATATGTTAACGGGCATCCTTTGCTTGGGTATTTTTACAGTATTGAAAGAACATTAATATTCTGTAGTATTCCTGAAAATAATGCCGGCAAGAAAAAGTTGTAACGTTTGAAATGAGTTATCAAAAAAGACTCCTGAGAATAAATATCACTGAAAGTTTGGAGGGCAAAAACAAGTAAACTTTTTATAAACGCCAAAAACCAGGAACACAGTTTTATGAACTCAAATTAAGCTACACATCTCTCAAAGAAGGACATGAAAATAATTATGTAATAAGTAGGTTACCAACTTTATTAATTATGTTATGAAAAAGTTTTATATTTATATCCGATCGTAAAAAAAACTTTAAAAAAATATTGAATAAAAAACAAACATATAATTTTAGGATATCAGTAGAAGGTTGGAAGTGATGTTTTCATATATTCATAAATACTATAAAAACAATATGGGAGTAGAAGTTTCACTTTGTTTTTCAATTGATGACGATTCAAGATTATGACTTGTATTATAAACAGATTAGTGTTTATAGACCCATATCACAGTACCACCTGTCTGGTAAAGTTTTTTCTATCGAAAAGCTTGTAGTAACTGAAAAATGTTCTTCGCAAATATTACAATTGATTTTTTCAATAATTTCGCTATTGAATAGCCAAAAAAAACCCACGAACATCCATTCCCACAATTCTGAAAAATTGGTATAGGAATGTAGGCTTTCACGGCTGGCGTCAATATTTTAGTTGGTTTCCAAGTTTTGTCGTGGTCTTCGTTGGTTATAATCGCCAAACGTTTCAACTGCAACTGCGGCAGTCATCTTCAGAGGCGTGTTGAAGTCTTGGCGTATCAACTGAAACTGAAGCTCTCATTTCTGCCATGTCACATTCATTGCGCTGATTTTTCGCGCACTTTCTGTGATGGCGGGTTCGGGCGTATTTCCCGCGCGATTTGGGTGACATTGTTTCGTTTTGGCGCCTTTCATTGCTATGTGGTAGATATGTTCTCTCTTCCGTTCTGTTGAAGTTCTCTTGGTGTTGGTGTATTTCTATAGCAAGAATGTATTTAGAAGCCATAGAAAACGAAACGAAAACCTTGTCACCCAAATCGCGCGGAAAATACGTGCGAACCCGCCATTACAGAAAGTGCGCGAAAAATCAGCACTATAAACGACATGGCAGAAATGAGTTTCAGTTGATACGTCAAGAAAAGTACTTTGACCACTGAAGATGACTGCCGCAGTTGAAACGTTTGCAGTATGTAACGAAAGAAGACCACGGCAAAACCCGAAAACCAACCATAACACTGAAAAATTTGGATATAAAACTTTTTAGCTTTTGTCGTGAATCCCTGTTAGCTAGAAAACTCAACAGTGCTATCACACAAATAATCCATTGCCACAGTGGACACATAAAAAAATATCACACCAACTAGCTTATGAGTCACGTTCCAAACGAACGTAAATACGTTTGTATAGTGGAATAGGAATATAAGAAAATTAGAAATGGAAAAAATGAAAAAGATTGGAAAATATGAAAAATGAAAGAAATAAAAAAGAAAAAAAAGAAAACGAGAAGTGAAAAAAGTGTATATATGTAAATTCTTAGATAATTCATTTAGTAAACAAGAAATTACAAAAACAAAAGGTAAAAAATGAGTAAAGTTGTAAGAGAGAAAGAAATAAAAGAGAAAAAGAATAACCACTCACTAAGACTAACCAAATACTAACCTCTAAAAATAAGGAAGAGTGTATTAAGCATCTTGAAAATATTGAAATATGGTGAATTCTACATGTTAAAATAGACTGGCAAATTGGTTATACCAACGCCATTTGAACGCACACAAGACTTGTCTTAACAACCTCAAGAAATTCTTGTGTTCTCTTAATAACTTGAATTATATGAAAAAATGCAATGTTTCTCATAATAACGACCAACTTCAATGTTGTAAACTAGGGCCCTAACACAATGCATTTATTGTTCAACACCAGACAGAGCTGTTGCGACCCGACGTAGATCTCATCAGTGGTGCTAGACTGCACTGTCCTCAAATGATATGCCTAAAGCCGGGATTACATTGGTATAGTTACTTGCACCAGTTACTTTTACAAATATATCTTCTAGGACAGTTCACATTCGTAACTTGACAAGCTAGTATGTGTTTACACATAAAAGTGATTATTTCTTTGCCAGTTCCCAACGTGCACTAGATCCGTAAAGATGACAACTTTTCATTGTCGGCGCCGTGCTTTGTGCAATTCAAAATTATTATTAATTAAAAATCGCGTTAAAAAAGGTATGTTCAAAATATCGAGAATTTTAATTGAAGAAACCCAAAACCCATATCTTGGACTAATTTTTCCAAAGCTGCCGATCTCATTTTATTCCTTCTGTAACTTGGTTTATTAACATTCCAGAGACACTCGTATTTCCGATAAAGTTCCAGAAATTTAACGGTTTCGGACCACTTCATTATTTCCCTATCAGCAGACAACTCAATCCTTGGATAAACAAGGCTCCCCAAAGCGGTCAGTTGTAGAGCCGAACTTCCGACATCGACCGCCACACCGAGGAGAATCGCCCTGTCTTTCACTGCAATGTAGCTTGTTCTTCAAGGACAGTTAAGTCCAGAAATGCATTCGGTTCAGTTCAGCCTAGCACCATTAATGAGACCTATGGCGGGTCGAAACAGCGCTGTATGGTATTAAATCATAAATGCGTAGTGCTTGAACTCTGGTTTCCAACTAGTCGCCTTGCAGTGAAAGACAGGGGACGAATTTCGTCGATGGTCGCAGCTTTGCTTCGCAACTGACCACCTTGGGAAGCCTATTTTTTATATTCAGGGATTAAGTTCTCTATCGATCCCATAGATGGCGTCTTCGTGAGGGGAGGTATCATCGCCCTCATCAACTTCACCGTGTTTAAATTAAAAGTAAAACATTTTTACTCACCTGTTATCGTCCGTGAGTAATTTTTACTTTCCTGCCCGTTGATATTCAGGTACATCAGATTAGTAATAGCACATCGCAAAATTCATTTATTTTTTTGATACAGGAGGTCTCCTTCTGCCAGTCCACACGTTTGTTTATTACAAAATTACCCTTTCTATTAATCCAATAGCTTAGAGTGAAAAATCCGAAGAAGGGTAAACAGAATTAAGAGAAAACATCCTTTCATTTCTTACTAATTCTGGTTCTACCTAAGAATTTTGTCTCATACAATCTGTGACCTCAAGTACTTTAACATGTTAAATAATCGAAATTGAGTAAACAATTTTTTCTCATAGCAAATAGATACCATATACCAGGAATGAGTTTTTCCTGTTAGTTATACTGATAGTTTCAGTGGAAATTAACTTCCTATACCTCTTGGAAGTTTTTTTGTTGTAACAGATTGGCTTAATGAAATAAATGTCTTTTGCAAATCATGAAACATATATTTTTTATATAATATATTATCGAGGAAAACTTTTAAAAATATCTTTATCGATTTCAAATAATTAGACAAAATGAACAACTCTGAAATTTACTATTAGAAACTGATTATCTGCGACTGTACCTGTACCGATAACGAGCAAGAACTCAAAAACCGGTGTCCAGGTTGTCGCTTATTTGGAATCCCAACTCATTTTATTGTAGAGAACACAGTTCTCAGTTACCAACTCATCAGATAGATAGATGTTACAAATTAAGACATACATAGGTTATGCATCAAAATTGTACTGGAACTGAGAAATAAAATATCGGTTTTCGGAAACCAATTTGATACGATGACCTATGTGGTGAATTTTCAGTGGCTTGGACATAATTTTCTTTGAGTAATATAAATCATTTGATTACTCCAACTGTCCCTCATTAATTTTCCATTATTCAAAATAAGGAATCTCTCACAATTGCGATATTTGGTAAGTAAGAAAAATTGGACAGATAACTAACTGATGGCAATTAGTCTCCGTCGTACCATTAGCCTGTTAATAGTCGTAAAAATGCCAAAACGCGAAATCAAATTAGTGCCAAAAAAGGTAAAACACATAATAAAAACATCCAAACAACAATAAATCATCTATTGGTCAAATTACTATAAATGTCAGAGATGAGCAACGAAATTCACACACAAAAACTGTCGAGGATAAATACTGAATCCATAGAAAAATTAATAACTTAAATCAATCAGTATACTCTACTATTTACAGACAGATCTTAATTTTATAGCTATTATCATTATTAGGCACTATAAGAACTTTTTGATATTGGTTTTCATGTGGCGGACCTGGGCCGGGTTCACTTTGATTTTTAATTGTTGAACAAGATCGTAAATTTTCAAGGACGGTCCTACCTTACCACCTGTTATGTCCAGTACGTCCTCCTTACTGAGATTCAACAGCATCTTTCCATCAACTCTCTATAAAAAAATCATGAGTCAGAATTTGAGTGAAACAATGTGAATTTTTAAATTTAAGGGTTTAAGAGATTTCGATTGTATTTTTTTTAATCTAATGGGTACAGTGTAACTGAGATCGACAAGGCCATGAAACTGAAGACTTCCACAACTCAAAATAGGGAGGAAACTCAAACGGTGGCACGTGCATTTCTACCGAACATTCATAGGGTTACAGACGGAATCGAAAAAATCTTAGGGAAGCATAAAATAAAAACAGTGTTCCAGCCCACCAGGGAAACACAACAAAGCCTGGGATCTGCGAAAGACAAAAGAGATCCACTATCAACTGCGGGGGTATATCGTATACCATGCACCTGCGGAGAAGTTTATATCCGTACCACTAGAAGATCCATGGGTACAAGGCTGAATGAACATTGGAGAAACTGTAGATTAAGTCAAATAGACAAATCGGCAGTAGCGGAATACGCGCTTAGTGAAGGAGATCACACGATACTGTTTGAAGATGTGAAACTACTTGCCCCCAATCATGGATACCACAGTCGGCTTGTACGGAAAGCTAGACATCCATAAACATACGGAAAACTACAACATAAAAGAGGAGGCGGTAAAGCTTAACATTTGGAATTCCTTACTCAAAGATGCTAAAGTAGCAACAGTGCAATGCAATGTTACGTCATTAACAGGTAATAACACTTCGGCCAATAGCAACACATCAATAAGAGAGACGGACTACCTGAGTCAACATAAATACAACCTACGAACTAGAAATCACCAGTCAACGGTGAATAATCAAGATGAATAAACATCTGAAGAAGCCAACCACTAAGGCTGGCGAAACGTTAAGATGCATTTCCAAACTACTACAGCCTTCGAACCCGAATGGAGATAGTAACACTGAAAGAGTAAAGAATTTTCCACGCCATATAGAATAACAAAACTGCAGAAATAATATGAAACAGAGTAAAAACATAAAAGTGTAAATCAAAATACATGCTGCTTAATTTTCAGTAATCGAATTAAAAGCCTCAAAAGGGTAAAAATAAACGTAAATGAATAAGCATTTAGTTATTTTTGAAAGGAAGTATGACTGGAGTATTAAAAGTTGCACCTAGGGATACGAAATATAGTAAAATCCTGGTTAATCCAGGTCCACCATAACGGTTCATTCAAAAAAACAACTAATAAAACAATAAACTATTGTAACAAGTAACCAATTTTCACAATAAAAAAACACAAAGTGTAGTATACAGAAATGATATGTAATTCAGTTTTCCTACACACATTATTGTAGACTATTTCTAGATGTTAGTGGGCTAACCAAAAATTCGTTATCTGAAACGAACATTCCCCCTTCATTTCGGATAACCAAGGTTTTACTGTACTATTAAATTAAACTTCGAACAAAATATCGACTAAATAGAATGAAATGACATATTATTTTCATTGTACCTGTTTACTGAAGGAGTCGCAATAGTTTGCGCAATCATTGACCCTCAAGAATTGGGCCACATCAAACACGTTCCAATCTGACGGACACAAATCCCCTGTTTCACAATTTCCGACAGAGGCATCCGCCAGCCTAGGTATCACTTTCGGGTTTGGGTTGTTAGTTCCCTATAAAAAAATGTAGGAATGAAAAAAATTTCTGGAAAATGAGTGTTTCACTATATTTATGACTCTCTAGACAACAAGAAATATGTTATAGCAATTTTTGTAAATCTGTTGAGGCATTTGACACTATTGATTTCAACATCACTAATAGTGAATTGAGTATTTTCTCTTATCTTTTATATAGCCTTTCTCATGAATTTAAAAAATGTCAGTGAGAATGATGAACACCAATCTGAACTTTATTCAATGATCAAAAGTATACGGGATGTTTCTTCCCCGCTTAGGGCTTGGTTCACGAGATGGAGTTGTTACTAGTTAACAATCTTTCTTTCAGACGACGGTTTCATATATGTAGCGAAGCCATGTTGGAGTTAATCGAGTCCCAGACACTCTGCTCTCTGGGTAGGATCTTTCCTGTACTGACGAGAGGTAATACCTCGAAACCGCGATCTGCAAGTGATCTACTTGAATAATTTCAGCATGGTCCTGCTACTGGAAGAACGAGAAACATCTGTGAGACTAGCCTCTGTGAGGTATCTTGCTTAAATGTCGAATATAATTCAATATCCAGCGTGGAATCATCCGGGGAAGTAGTTGTTTTCCGACAGACGTTTACCACACCCTACTGTGTAGGTAGTTGGGAGAGATTAATATTTTGAAATTAATTTCGAAATATTCATTTCCTTATATTTATTCAATGAAACTGGGTATTCCTCAGGGCTCCATTTTGAGCCTGCTAATGTTTATTTAAAATACCAATGGTTCACCTACCTACATGACCATGAATTGTGTACTACTATACACAGATAATTTGACTATAGTCATTTCTGATCAAGCGGTGACGAGGCAGCGCATTCATGGAACCTTGTGCAGTAATTTGTGGTGAAACACGAAATTGTACAGCTTCGTCAGCCTCCGTACATTCCCGACATAGCTCCCCGTGACTTAAAAAAAAAAACTTTTGAAATCTGTTTCTTCCGTTAACCAGCTGTCGCACCCCTACGAAAGACAACCCTCGGAAGTCGAAACTTGTGCGAGCTAAGGATTAACGAGGTCTTACCTTTTAACGTGTGATTCCTAACACGGGATGTTTTGAAAATTAAAAATGTCGCTCAAAGGAAAGCGGTTTGACGATATCGGGACAATTAATAATAATGATGCGCGCGAGCTGAAGGCCATTTCAAAACCTGCGTTGAAGGACTGCTTCGATATGTGGAACTACTTCGAAGGATGCCTCGGCCCGGATGATGAAGAACGCAGGCCGGATATGTTTTGGACACATTTCGTATAGATATGTGATAGAATCGGCTGATACTTGATGAAAATACATAACGTGTTCAAGAAAAACTTTATTGTGACATTTTCATCCAACAGTTTAACAAACATGCAACACGTGTTTCGCAAAAGAATAGCTGAAGAAGCTATTGTCTAGCGAAACACGTGTTGCGTTTTTGTAAAACTGTGAAGAGAAAATCTCACGATAAAGTGGTTCTTAAATGCACCTCCGTATATGTTTGTGATTTATGTTTTCAATATATGTGATGTTGATCAAAATAAATGTTTGTCTGCCATATCATACATCATTTCAAGATCAATGAATATTTAATAAATATGATTACAATTAACATCTCTCTAGGGATCAACTTTTCACTATGAAATACTTACGATAACGTACGAGGTGGCTTTCCTCTCGGCGGGTGGATCTACCACTTCGGATGATACGGGCATGCTCTGATCGGGTCCGGCAGGTTCTTGCCCCGCCTCGGGACCTTGGTGCTCCTCGTTAGTCTCATCACTCGTGACAGTCAAGTTGTCGTCAATGAATGTCGACATAGTCGGTTCTTCTACTTTTATTTCTACCTTTGGTTGTTTCAGATTGGTCGTTGATGTAGCGGCTGATTGTGTTTTTGGAGGATTATCCTTCACTTTCTTTTTCCTTTGTTTTTTCTTGACTGCATCATTGAAAGAAGATTTAGATGAATCAAAATTATATAAAAGTTAGTTGAAGAGATAAATGAATTCATTATCACAAAGGAAGGATCACATGAGAACTCTTACTCAAAATTTACACCCGAGTGATTCTCTATGATTGTTCCTTGATGTTGGAGTTTTTAAACTTTCACAAACTGGAAAATATATGAATATAGATGAACAGAGAATCTGCTGAAGTGTAATGACGGATAGAATGAAAAAGTTCACTCAAAAAGTTATTATATAATATAAATAATAGTAACTTTATTCAAATAGGTACATTTGTGTAATTGATGACTTGTTAATTTTGTGGAAATTTATAATAACTTTAATGAAATCAATGAAAACACCTTTGCATAATTTCCACTAGTTACTTTATTTTTACAAGCGGTTTTAGGTTTTATCCCATTATCAAGTTATTTAGTTTTCATACTGATATTTTCTAGTTTATTGTGTAAGCACACAGATAAACAGATAACGAAATTTAAAAAAAATCGATTTACTGCTTATGGATTGATTAAACATGCGTTATGGAGAACTTGAAATCACACATGGCCTGAAAACAAACATAATAAAATTAATTACAAGTTCGGACTTCCTTTGTCTGATTCTATTATGATTTGAAATATCTGAAAGAAAAAATAAAATGAAAATGAATAGGTAAAAATATCAATTATATCAAGCAATAAAACGTGAAATGAAATTGTAGAAAAATAAAAATAAGCAAAAAATTAAAAATTGAACAAATAAAAATAAAATTAAAAAAGATTTCAAACCAAGTTATTTCATGACGTTATGATTGTTAGTATCCACAATCGTCTTCGGGTGATGACTGGACTATTCCTCAGAGAGATGACTATTTATAGGTCATTTGAACGTTTTCACCTATCCCCTCTTCCCTCTCTCCGCTTCACCGGTTTAGCGAGGGTTGACAGTTTTTCCGCTTGATTACAGATTTCCATATGTCGCGTATCTCTAAGCTAGCTTGGCTGAATGCGTCGTTTGACAATATATATGCAGCTTCTTTAAACTTCCTCTTATATTGGTGTTTCTCCCTGTGGACCATTTGATGTTATGTTGATGAGACCAAACATGCTCTGCTATACCCGATTTGCTAGTTTTCCTAGCTGTGTGTTTCTCTTGTGCTCGGCAATGCGGACTTTCAATGGCCTCTTAGTTTCACCAATATAGGATTTGCCGCACTAACAGGGTATCCGGTAAATGCAATTCTTAGAATCACAGTCCGCGTTTGGTGATCTGGTTTTCGTGAAGCTGTTACGGATGGTATTTCCGGATCTGAAGCAAGTTCGGATGTTGTACCTGGACCCAATTCTTCTCATCCTTTCCGACAATCTTCTGATGTATGGAAGGGCAAGCACTGATTGTGACAACTTCTCTTCCATGTGAGGCTCTGGCTATCTTCTAGCAAAAATCTGTTCCACAGTCACTTTGGAGTAACCATTCCGTTGAAGATATTTTTTTATGATGCCTAGTTACTCCAAAGTGATATTTTAGCTACTCATTGTTGATTTTACTTGTTCTTTCAGATATTTCAAATCATATTAGAATCATTAGACAATGGAAGTCGAACCTGTAACTAAGTTTATTATGCTTGTGATTAGACCGCGTGTAATTTCAAGTTCTCCATACACACATGTATGAACAATCCATGAGCAGTAAATATATACTCTGAATGGTGCTGAGAACCGTATGTCAGATAACAGGGTCTAATGATAAACCGTGAGCCATATATCAGTGTGCATGGTGATCAATAGGTTAATATAATCAACTTACATTCATCCATTAAAACATTCACTACTCATACATTGACAATGCAGAACTCACCTTTGGGTGACTTCATAATCTGAGCCGCAGGCTTTGCCGAAATGGGGGGCCCCTCCAATTTATGACCTACACTCTGGCACCAACCAACGGGATATATGTCGGGGCTCTCGCAATCCAACCACTGATCGTATTCTTCTTCCCAACCATCAAAGTGAACTTTCAGCAGCCTGCCAACTACTTTGGCGATAGTAGCAATGCAAACTAGTCTCGGATCCATCAGGTCGGCCGCCTCAATTTTCATACTAGTGACAAAACCATGAGGAGGTACGAAGGTGTTAAACAGCAAAGGATCTGCGGGCCTAAGGAGTGATACATTTTATTTGTATTTTGTTGTATATTTTTCAGTATTTGCTCATTTACAAATTTTCAACTATTTTAAATTCACTACGAGGGCTGTTTAGAATCTCATGACAATAATAGCCTTGGGGACAAATCTGTGTGTTGATTCCCAAACAAGCACTGCTCCCAAAAACCACAACTGCAACACTCTTATCTAATACCATTTCAAATTAATGAAATATATAGCATAGAACGACAAATAAAAAAATAGCACAAACACATATATACAAAATTTAGAAAATATAGAGCCCAAAACAATAAAAAACATGATTTTGGGAGTTGAAACAATAACGTTTGAAAAAATGTACACATAGAACTAACAAATGAGATAAATAATAGTTAAAATTCTTATGTCACAGTGTTAGTTGCCATACTCCTCAGAAACGGTTTTAACGATTTTTATTAAATTTTATATGTATATTCGGTATATCTGACAATACGTTTCAATCTATTTTTCTTACTCCTAAGTGATAAGGGTGCTTCACACCAAATATTTTTTTTTATTTTTTGGACAAAATTGTTCTATTTTGTATGATGTGGCATTAAAAATACATATAACCTTCAATTTTTACCCTTATATCACCAACCCCTACTTTTTTAATAGTTTAATCATTTAATCATTTTGGTCAGCTATTTGGTCACTTGTCACTCAGTAAACAGCACGGAGTAGGGATCAGAACGAAGCCGGTCTGCTGTCTCTCACACAATAAGCCTTCCCTCACTCCCTAAACAGTGTCGGCCACTATTATTATTTACCATCGAGCGTAGACACAGAATAGTCTGTGGCGTGAGCGTAAATACAGTTTGCGATTCCAGCGAAGCTGTGAATTATCCAACAGAGTTTTTTAACTCATTGGATTTGCCAAGCATGCCACCGTATAATTTACAACTGAAGGTTGGATCTCTCCGTAATTTGAATCCACCACGGCTGTGCAACAGCACACTATTAGTCATTAAAAAATTCATCAAAAACATTGTCGAAGCCAGCATTTCAAATGGCAAGTTCCGAGGTGAACATGTATTAATATCACGAATACCTATAATACATACAGATGTGCCAATTCATTTTTAACATGTGCATTTAACAATTAGTTTGGCATTTGTAATGACAATCAAGTCCGAAGGCCAGACAATGTCCGTTTGTGGCTTGGATTTGAGCACACCATGTTTTTCACATGGACAAATATACATGGCATGCTCTCGAGTGGGCAAACCATCCAGCTTGTTTTGTGTTAGCTAATCATAGACTAACGAAAAATACTGTACACACTATAGCATTAAGGGATTAATATTATTTGTAAGTGTTATTGTTCTGACACACACTTACAATGAGTTACGGTTTTACTTCAATACTTAATAGTATAGCTTTCAAAGAAATAGGTCTACTACAGAAGCAGCGTACAAACTAGTGTACAATTTTGTCGAAGGTCTTTGACTCTATATTATGAGTCAAATGAGTCAAAGGCTTCTGGCTGCATATCGCATACTATTTTGATAGAAAAAAAATGCGTTACCATTGTGTCCGAAGCACAGCTCTCAAGCTCATCCAGTCATATCTCACAAATAGGTACCAATATGTTGAAGTGGACAACATTAAGTGAGACCTCAAAGAAATGAAGCATGGCGTTCCTCAGGGCTCCGTTTTAGGCCCACTATCGTTCTTGATCTATATCAATGATCTATGCAGTTTTATGAAACCAGCAAGATGTACCATTTTTACAGATGGTACGACTTTATTATGCTCTAGCAAAGACCTAACCAACTTACAACTAATGAGGCGAGATGGCACAATATCAGCATATAATTGGTTTGCTGCTAATAAGCTGATTGAATGAAAATAAAACTCAAAATATGATTGTATCTTTCAATCCCAATATTAATTCAAACGAAAGTATGAAGAAGAAAAGAGAAATAAAACTTTCTATGTTTTTTACCACTTTTATTTGTAACTAACGTTACTGCAGTTTCGTCCTATACGGATATTTTCAAACTAATACAAAAAGTTACGAGTTTATTGTATAAGTTTGAAAATGTCCGTATAGAACGAAACTGCAGTAACGTTTGTTACAAATACAAGTGGTAAAAAACATAGAAAGTTTCATTTCTCTTTTCTTCATTATGATTTCCTACCACGTAGTAACGGCTACATCCATCAATTTATTGAATGTATGAAGTTTTTGAGTTATTGATAATAGATTGAGCTAATCTGATCATATCAAAGATGTCACTAGAAAACTTTCTAACGTTTTGTTTGTTCCGAGATGATTAAATAATGTGGTCAGCTTGATGATGTTTAAAAAAGCCTACTATGGATTATTTCACTCAGTTATGTCAAATGGTATTCTGATTAGGGGTAATTCTAACTCTATTAGTGTTTTTATGTGCCTGAAAAAGGCCATAAAAATAATAGCCAAAGCAGGTTACAAAGAACACCGTCATCCTCTTTTTTTTCAAATTGGTATTATACTACTTCCAACACTATATATTTATTTCACTACGGATTCATAAAAACGTTAATACATTTGACAGACATTGTGATAATCATGAATATGAAACGAGATCCGCAAGTTCATTGAATCTGCCCAGAAATATATTAACAATTAGTAAATTCACTAAACTTACATCTGTATAATCATCTTCACTCGTCTCTGAAGTCACTAATCCTTGTGAAATTTAAATCTACTATTAAAAAGTTTCTTCTCAACACTGTTTTTATAACATTGAGGAATATATTGATGTGGCAGGGTCTTCAACTTGTCACAATTTTATTGATTTTATATTTGTGCTTTAAATCAACCTACACTCTTTTATATTTATGCCATTAATCAAACTACACAACTCCAAACAACGATCTCTGTATTCCTGACTTGCTATAAATGTACTATAATGTAAAATGGTCAAATAAAGTACTCTACTCTGTATTTGAAAAGCAAACTCAGCACTAGTGTTGATAGTATTTCATTGTATTCTTTGTTGCATATGATGTAAATATGTTATAGTTGTATAACTTTGAATTTTTCGTAAATGGTGTTACCCATATATAATAAATAACTACAGTGATGAATGACTAGACACGAACTTCAAACAAAAATCCCTCACCTGTTATTGGTCTGCATGAGGTAGGCGCGCCAATTGAAAGTGGCCTGATCGTATCCTTTCGGAGGGGTGAGAGGTATGTGATTCCGCTCGCAGAATCCAACCGGAAATATACAGGGCGACTTCACGTGGTAGCAAAACCAGTCGGCGCCCGTCGCGTCTGAATCGTACGTGTCGATACGGATCATGATGTAGCCATAGTTCAAAACGTCCATCACCGTCGCGACGCAAATCGAAGACAGGTTCAGCGGATCAATCGCCTCGAGTTTCATGCCGACGCAGAAACCAGAGTGGGTGTGTTCCATAGAACCGATTTGGAATGGAGTGAACAGCTCTTCGGTTGCGTCATCTTCGTCGAATATGCCTTGGTTTACTCTCTCGAGGTAGTTGATGGGTGCGACTAGATGATGGTTTACCTGCAAACAAGACAAATTATGTCAATAAAAATTATCTTTTTCAACCATTTTGGAACCTACATCCAAAAAACTTTATACCAACCTTACTCTCGCTTGAGTGTGAGTCAGAATTTCCCAAAATACTTGGGTATTAAATGCTTCAATACTTCTTCTACAGTATGGATAAATTTCTTACTTTCAGTGCTTAGATTTATTTATTTATTTATTCATTAACGGGTAACACCCAATTAAGTTTAAGAGATTTCACAATAAATTGTATGAATACAACAAATAATTACATCTAACTTACTTGCTAAAAGTAAAACTAATTTATTAATAAAAAAAAAAAAAAATAACAGTGAGAAAATAAATTTACTGAATTGAAATATTGATTAAATAAATGAATGATTAAGATAAGGAAAATTCATTAATTGAGGATGTTTATGTTTATATTTACTACCATTTATAATTCATTTCTGAGCGAGCATAATGCAAACTTAAATTTTGTTTCGTTCAATGAAAAGAAGTCCAGATCGATTTTATTACCACCAATAGCAACTCTAGACAGGGGAGAATGTTTACCGTAGTTACAACAATGCAAATCTATTGCAAATGTTTCTGTATTCCTTGTACTTCTAGAAGGAACATGTAAGCCAATTTGTGCTAGCAATGCAGGGCAGTTAATAAGAGAATTTAATAATTGGAATAAGAGTTTTAAGTCAGTTTCCACTCTACGACTACTTAGCTTCATTATATCTGCAACCTTACGAATATCATCTAATGAATGGTCCTTCACTGGATGATATTCATAGGGTTGCAGATATAATGAAGCTTAGTAGTCGTAGATAAATAACATGACATAGTTTCTTTTATACATACAGTTTTTTTTTAAATTTATTCAAGATCAAACATTTGTGTTTAGCTTTTAGTGTTTTACTTTTTTGACTAGTACAATAAGTTTTCTCATGTATTTAATCTTGTAATTGTGTATGTGTGAAAATTTCAGTGATGAATAAAACTATTTCTATTTCTATGTCAATCGAAATGGTTCGGAACCTATTTATCAAGTATATAGCATTTAAAAGAGGCTCAACTTTTGGCACTAATCGTTATGTCGAAATATTGTCATAATTGAATCTACAATCGCTTGAAAAACAAAGACTCATTTGCGACCTTCACATTCTTCAAACTTTTTTTTAGGTAACATTAATTGACCTAACTTGTTGGTGTGAGTGGAGTTGGGCTGCGTGAAACAAACTAGAAATATGTAACTTTTTCACACAGCTACCTGTCACACAAATTATAACTTTCGTGCTCCGGTGAATAGAATACCAAGACTTGCAAATAAATAACACTCAGACATAGACATAATAATAATAATAATTTTTATTAGTCTCAAGAAACACACAGTTTTTAGACACGTCAATACAATTTCTAAAATAGGTTTGAGAGGGTAAGATTTGTCAATATAGTTTTTAAAAAATGCTTCTAGATAAATTAGATTTACAAAAAAAAATACAAGTTAACAAGATAAAATTCCAATTTTATAAGACATGACTAAAATGTAAAGCCATGAGCTTTTATAAATTATAAATCACATAGCTAACGTACTATATATATTCAAATTTGAGTAAAAGTTCGGGAGGTGACCACAAAAGTGTCTCTTTCTTCTTGGATAACTTCGAAAAATTGATCAATTTCATATAAAGGATGTTTGGTTAATATTTTCTTCAATAAGTTTTTGAATTTTCTAAATGGCAAGTTACGAAATTCGGCAGGTAAGGCATTGTATAGCTTAATTCCTATATTATCTGTTCTTTTCAACCTATTAGCTGTAGGAACAAGGTTTGATTTATTTCTTGTATCATGTTGGTGTATATCCTTGTGAGCAACTTCATTCAACAATTTTGTTGAACAAGAAGCAGATTTTCATAGACAATAACTGAATATAGGGTCATTATTTTAAGTTTTACAAATATTGGTCGACACTTTTCATCATAATTGGCAGAGATTATGCTTACTGCAGATTTTTGAATGACAAATATTCTATTAATATTTGGATCAACATTATAATCTTTTGAAAACCAAGAGTTTAAATTAGGATGACGTAGCATACAGATAGAATGAGTTTGTTTAATTTGCAAAGAATTTTTTTGTTTTAGTTTAATCACGTTTTACTTTGTAAATCATTGCTAAAGAAAATGTGAGTATTTTGAATTTGTTGAATCATGGTTTCAGTCTGTGTTGTATAAGCCAAAGCTCTAATGGCTCGTTTCTGAATCATAAACACTGACTGCGTGCAAAGGGAATGACTTCAGTTGATTAAATCAAGTCATAACATATTGAAACATTCCGTGGTAAGCCGAGATGGCTGCTTCAAAGTTACTTTTGGACCGGCCATTTTTACAGAGTGGCCCACCACATTCACCTCACTATTTCTACGAGAAATGAATAGAGTTAAGGAAAAACTTCCAGCACAGGTATATGTGGGTCCATGAGCAGCATATTCCAAAATCATTTTGAAATATACAGGGTGACTCCCAAACAAGTTACATACCATAGTTATATTTTTTCTCATGGAACACCCTATATTTTTTTATATTTTTAGATACTAGAGAGAAAATAAAGGTGAGTTACTATTATATTTCCCATACTTAATACCGACCGTTTCTGAGAAATTTCAAAAAATTTAAAAATACAGACCATAATTTAAAAATTGTTTTCACCCTGTAACGCGCAACGAGCTGCTCGTGATTAAATGTACTGCTTAGCTCAAAGGTTAAAGTTGACTACCACATGAAATTTTTAATGCACTATTTTTTCAATGATAGTAGGCTCTGGCCTAGATGACGTTAATTATTATTATGAAATAAAAAGTATTTGACAGTGACACAACTTGTTAATCAAACCATCATAATTGTTTTAACTAGTTTAAAATTATTGTCATTTTGAAATATTGTAAAATGAGAACGAACTTGCTACTACAGTACAGTACCTACTTTCACTACTACAGTAACGGAAACCCTAATATTTTTAGAACCTTTGATCACCAGCACAAATGGTCTGTTAATGTGTGGGGTGGAATAATTGGAACGCAAGTAGTAGGTCCTCACTTTTTTATGGTCATTTGAACGGTTTCATATTTCTCGGATTTATTAGGGATAATTTGCCTATGCTGTTGGAAAGTATACCTCTTAATATTCGTCAACGGATGTGGATGCAGCTAGATGGTGGTCCTGAACACTTTGATAGACGTGTTAGAAACGAGTTAGATCGACAATATCCAAATAGATGGATAGGACGAGAAGGTCCACAGAACTGGCCAGGCAGGTCTCCGGACCCTACAAGTCCCGACTATTTTTTATGGGGATATATCAAAAGTATTGTTCATGATACACTGCCAACGACACCTCAGGATATGAAAGTACGAATAAAAAGAGCGTTTCGTTCCATATCGCATATGTTATCCAAAGTTCAGCACTAATTTCAAGAAAGAGTTCATCTATGCATCGAGAATAATGGACACCATTTTGAGCATTTGTTGAAATAATAAACTATTTAAGATTCTTAATTTTTCAATAAAATAACTTCAAGAATGCTTTTTTGCTTTTCATAACAATACAAGGTGTTCCATTTTTAAGATGAAAAAAATACTTATAAGTAAAATATTGCATTAAAAATTTTATGTGGTAGTTAACTTTAACCTTTGAGCTAAGCAGTACATTTAATCACGAGCAGCTCGTTACACGTTACAGGGTGAAAACAATTTTTCAATTATGGTTTGTATTTTCAAATTTCTCGAAATTTCTCAGAAACGGTCAGTTTCAAGTATGGGAAATATAATAGTAACTCACCTTTATTTTGTCTATAGTATCTAAAAATATAAAAAAGATATAGGGTGTTCCATAATAAAAAATATAACTTTGGTATGTAACTGTTTTGGGAGTAACCCTGTATGTTTCAAAATAATTGAATGTGGTGGGCCACCCTATATAGTTCGAAAACAAAAGTGGTCCTACTACATAACCTTACAGCACATCATTATGCATTGTCAAACATGAACTGATCGGATTATTGCAGTAAACTACGGATCAAATGCCTTACGAATGTGAATGGAGACAGCCAGGGAGAGAGTTGCGGCTTCACAACCTACCACGGCTACCCATACTTTGGTTATGTATTATTTTTGTTTCATTTTTCTTTAATCCACGGCCTTATGGTGTGAGAGAAGATAGACCACTGCACAAGCTCTATCAAAATTGGTAAAAGTATTGTCAATTTCAGTTTTTGATACACATTTTGTACTATTGTAAGATGCACTATTGAGATGTGTTTCTTCGAGTATGAAAATAGGGTCCAAAATTTTCAAAATTATGCCTGTAAAGGAAACTCTTATATTCACTAAAATGATTCCAAAAAATCAACACAATATTGTATTCCACAATTGATGAGTGAAATGAATTCCTCTAGTTTTTAGCATTTAAATTAACATCGACTTTCAAGTACTATTCATTCTTATACACAGAAGCTAAGTAGTTGCAGATTGGAAAGTGACCTGAATCTCTTAACTGAATCTCTCAAATAAACTGTGTAACACACTCCCTTCTACGAGTACAAGACACACAGAAACATTTGCTGTAGGCTTCTATCACTGTAACTATGGAACACTCTACCCTGTCTAGTTTTGCTACTAATGGTAATGAATTCTATTTGAACTTCTCTATTAGGCAAAGCGAAATTCCAGAGTACTTCACTACACTTACCCAAATTATGATATCAAACGGAAACAAACATTATTTCACCGTCATCATTAATTCTTCTACACCAAAAATTTGTTTTGTCATTTTAGTTGCAAGTTAGTTTTACTATACATATACCAGTAAGTTAGACGTAATAATATATACATGTGTAATTCATTGTGATAATCTGTGCTTATCACAGTAGATATGTAATTGGGTGTTACCTATAATGAAATGAATAAATAAACGAATAAATTAATGAAATAATTAATATTCCATCAACAACAACCTATCAGCATTCAGAAATGCCAAAATTTCAACTTTGGCAGATTGATATATTCATCATCTGACAATGTACATCAAATAAAAAAGAAACTTTTCACAACTCCTGTTTAACTATACAACTCCTTTAGGCGTTTGTTTGAAGGTGATTGACAATGTTTCGTGCTGAATTTTATTAGTTCGAACTTCCACTGTCTGATTTATAAAATGATTTGAAATCCCTGAAAGAACTAATAAAAAAAAGAATTAAAAAAGAATAGCTGATAATAACACTTATTTAAGCAAAAAAAAACCCTGAAATGAAATAATGAAATGAGATTCCGAGCCAAGTTACTTGGCTTGGCTAGCAATTTTCCATTTTTATTTTTTGTTCAAATGTTCCATTTTTCCTTGTATTTTATTTCACTGTTATTTCATTTCAGGAGTTTTTTGCCTAATATAATTGTTATTTTCAGCTATTCTTTTTTAATTCTTCTTATTTATTAGTTATTTCAGGGATTTCAAATCATTTTATAGAATATCAGACAATGGAAGTTTATCGATGCTCATTGGTGAGCTATTATTATTATCACTCACCTTTTTCGCCCACCCAACGGGATGCAACAACGGCGAATCTTCGTGGCACCAAAACCCTGCGTCTTCGGGAGGCATGTCGTAATACTTCACGTTCAATCTCTTCCCGATAATCTTATGAACAATGGCGACTTTCACTTGCGATATGCGGTTCTTATCGACGACTTCGAGATTAAGGCCACATTCAAATCTGGATTTGAGACTATCGCTAGCTTTATTGCTGAAATTCGAAGGCAATGTCCTGGCGCCCGTCAGTCGTTTCCTGAGGAAGTCCTTCCAGTCGCTGTACTTGTCTTCGACCGTCTTGGGAGGTATGAGCGGTTTGCCTCTGGTGGCACACCAACCGACCGGATGCACCTGGTTCGAGCACAGGCTCACCCAGAAGTCTTTGGAGTTATTGGAGCCGAACCCTTCGTAGCGGAGCTGCGCTTTGTATCCTGACATTAAAAGCTTACTTATTTCCAATTCATAATAACATGATGAGAGTTTCATAATTGACGTACTAGGCTAATCTAGTTCTTCCTAAGTAAATATCAAAAGCTCATTCGATTGATGACTTATTTATTTTGTAGAAATTCATGTTGAATATAGAATAAAGAAAATACTTTCGTCTAGTTTCTACTGTGTTTATTTATTCATTACGACAAAAGTATTTTCTTCATTCTATATTAAATACAAAGATATGTTGCGGAGACAATACTAATCTGCTTTACAAATGCAAACACAAGACCATTTATCCACTTAATTCATCGGAGACACAAGATCTAACCTCATTTGGTGAAGAGAGGATTTCAATGAAGGACTCTATAGGCCAATCCTTTATCTTACTCAAACATCACATGATTCAAATTTGAAAACTGCTTCATCTTTCACTTTCGATCTGGAATTATCTTTCAAATAACATTATTTCCTTAAACATTACTTTCACTACAAATTTATTATTTTTCTTGTAATTTCAGATAAAATGTAACTTTGCTTCCTTGCAATTATGGTCCCCCTCAAGTAGAAATATGAAGAAGCTCAGGTTGAAATCTGCTCCTTTCTTCACTATCATTCCTCATGTTCTTTGTATATTATTTTTACATACCAACCACTTACATTCTTATGTTTCATAACTTTTTACATAATCTTGATATTTCAATTTTTATAATAACTTATTTAAAATATTCCAATCCTGATATTATTAATTCCTTACTCATTTATTTTCTCTGTGGATGAATGGTCATCCACAAATTATTCAGTTATAAACAGTTCTTTTTCCAAATTTAAACTATTAACGATGATTCAACTGCGGAAGATTATTCATTCCTTAGACAATAAAAACAACTCTGAAGTACTGAATAGCAAATTTTTAAAAGAAACATTCGAGGTATTTGGGTATGTGATATTNTCATTATTGTTATTATCTATATACATATTTGAATTTTATTAATATTTTTGGCACTGTGGAAATTTAAATTATTAATTAGTTATTATGTCTTGTAAAATTAGGATGTATCCTATAATAATAAAGATTACATTCCTTTCCTTCCTTAGATTTCAAATCTCTCGAAACCTTTTCTTGGCAATGAAAGTCCCCTAATATTTGATATAACAATTATCAATAACATTCAGAGTTTTGAAATATCAATACAAACAATATTTGTCGTTGTCTTTTATCACTAACACATAATGAAGCAATTTCAAATAGTTATTCTAGTCACTGATATAATAGAATAACCAATACTGACTTTTGAGAAACTTCTAAGAATAGTTACAATGCTACAAATATAAGTTTTGTCTCTTATCTAATTATTATTCTCAGAAAATAACAGCAGAAAAAGGTTTTCTGAGCAATTAGAAAAAAGTCAGTTGGAGTTAAATCCGGTGACCTAGGAGGCTATTTAACTGGGCATTTGTGTCAATCCATTTATCCCCTGAATATTTCATGAATTTATCTGCTTGAATCCTACCATTGAGAGAAGGTGTCCAATACTGGTGAAAAAAATATTCGATTTTCCACATTCAGAAGCGCATAACAAAAACCTGACAAAACCATTTACTATCATGAAGCTTACCTACAATCCTCATCACCGTAGCCACCCAAAAAGAATCCGGAAACGCTTCCGACACATTATCACAATCGGTGTTTTCCACCTCTACCTTCATCCCGACCATAATGTTCTCCCAAATATCGGCCATGGGGGCGTGCTTGAAACACGTGACCGGAGCGGCAATGAAGTACTGATTTTCCAACTGCGAATCCCAATCAAAGGAATTAGCCAGCTCGGACGGTTTCCGTCTGATGAGAGGTAGAGAATCGTCGATGGGCGGCAGCTCAGGCAGTGGAGACAGCTGGGGGAATGGATGGTCCAGGTAGGCGTCCGTGAAATCATCTTCCATTTTCATTGTGAAACGATATTTGGCATAGTGTTGTTTGTTGTCGGGAGTGTTTTGGTTCGACTGAGGCAGAGGTTCCGGAATCAAGCCACTGTAGCCTCTGGCGCAGGCCATGCTGCAGAACCTGCGTTCTCTGGTGTAGAAGGCGTGTTTCACGCCAATGGCCCCACATTTTTCGCAAACCGCTGAAATACATCAGAAAAAGATATCCCAATAGAAATATATGTAAGTATGAATGAATTAATCTTTATTGAATAGGAAATTTATTGTAATATACATATATACAAATCAGTTTTACAAATGAATCCATTAATAACATACTCATACGTTGATCACTGACAAATGCATAAATAGAATATAAGGTGATAATGATGGATCTAATATGTGTGGTTATATCTTTCTATTCTTTTAAGCCCTTATCAGTGTAGATAATATCATTGCTTCTGTAATTTTTATATTAAGTTTGAGTTTATTGTTATTAGGATACAACTGAATGGTTTCTAGAGAGTTGTTCATTTGATTGGATGTTCTATGAAAATTTCTACTTGAAATAGATATTTGAATATGCCCAGTCATCGGAGACAAGCTCAAGATTTATAAACCTCTGAAGAAGCTAGCCACTTGTGCCAGCGAAACGTCAGGAAGAAATTCCAAAAATCGACGACCTTCAAACCCGAAAAATAGTGATTCTGAAAACCTCGGTCACGAAAGCCTTGACCATTTAGCCTTAACCATTTCGTCATCTGCAAAAAGTTCATAAAGTCATAGGAATAGAAAATATGTGAATCATGGCGGGAAGGTCAAGTCCTTCCATCAATCTCGAGTGCTTTTACTGTGAAAAAGAAGTTATTAAAAATAAAATCCAGTGCAATCGATGTAAGGTGCATTTTCACCCGAGTTATGTTGTGATAGAGAGAAGAAAAAAGTGTTGTCAAAATCCTGAGTTCTTAGAGAACGAGATGAATGAAAATGAAACAGACTTACCATTGTATCAAATCCAAGCAGAAAGTCTGCACTGGGAAAATAAATTCTTAAAGATATAAACAAAGAATTACAGGAATATATCATCTTACTGAAAGAAAAAATCAACAATTTAGGTTCAGAAAACTTCACCGAGCTAAATACAGAACAAAATAATTGAAAAAAAAAATAAAAAATATTCAAACGCTTTGAACTTAACAGCAGAAGAAATAAAATCAGCTATGGAAACCAAAGTTAACTTTCTGTTGGGAGAAATTATCAAGAAATATGTAAATGTTCAAAAATAATTCAACCGAAAAAGAATCATACCTACAAAAACAATCAACATCAACTGATAAGAATCTCAAAAAAAAATTGACAAGACCCATGGAAACTTCAAACAAAAAGCCATCATGAACAAGAAACAGGAACTTCAAAAGACAGGGTGGGATGGATAGTGCAGTCAGGAAAGCGAGAAAATGAAAAAAATGTTGGGCAATCTGAGGAACATAGATGCAAACCCAAAATGTTACATTTATTTATACAAAGTAGATGTAATTAAAGATATACTATCTTTTCCCAGTTACAAAACCAGTGATTTAAAGAAGAGTTAACTTTAGGGTTTTACAACCAACAAATAGAAAATACAAATGCTTTCTAGTTGTGACACACTTTAAATTCAAAAATATGCTGTAAAGCCCATACCTCGCGGCCAGAAATATAATAAATATTATGAGAAATATCAAATTAGAGACGAGACAAGTAATGGTCTAGACAACTCTGAAACAAATAATACAAATCTTAATGTGTTGATAAAACTAGAGAGATCAATAATACTCCTAATAACACCACTCACAACAAAAAAGTGAAACATAATTTGATTTTCTATCAGAATGTAAGAGGATGAGAACCAAAACCAAGGAGTTATATGAGAATTCTCTAGCAAACAATAGTGATATATGTTCATCAGAGACCTGGCTTAATGATTCTGTTTATGATTATGAGATGTGTGATGACTGATATATAATATTTAAAAAATGATAGAAACTATAAAGAAGCTGGAGATAAAAGAAATATAAACCAACATTGACCCTGAAAAGTGTTGATGTAGACTTTCAGTGCATTTGTATGAAGCTGAATATGAATGGAACATTTCTGACAATATGGTATATATACTTAAAATCTGGGTCGAACATATCAGTGAATGAGATATTTTAAATTTATCATGGGTCATCTAAATCTAAAATTATATATGATATAGTCTGCAGGTACGATTTATACTCTTTAAATGATATTTTAAATCACACAAACACATTAAATTTGGTTTTGAAGAATGTAACAGAAGCTAAGGTGACAAAATCTTCTTACTTTTTCGAAGATTAAACCGATAGTCTTTTAATAACAGTACAGAAAATATTTAATACTTCTTTAAGAAACAAGATATTTCCAGACAAGTTCAAAATTGGTCAATTAACACCCATACATAAATCAAGTAACACTAGTTTACTTTGCAACTACAAATCAATTACAGTTCTTCCATCGCTGTCAAAAATATTTGAAAGAGTCGTATATAATCGGATATATCACTATATTTCGTCAGTCACAATTAACCGACAGCATGATTTTGTACCTAGAAGATCAACTGTAACAAATTTAAGCCTCTTCAGTAACTAAATTGGTACAATGGGGAATGTTCCTCCTGATGAAAATCAAGTCGTTTTCATAAAAGAGCTCTAAAACAACACATTTTAAACTTATCATTTCAACCTTTTTCTTTAAAAAAATATTCAAATACTTAAAAAAGAGGAATGAAATAATGCATTAAACATTCAAAGGGATTTGTTTCTATTTCACCATTTGGCAACATCGGTTATAGCTAATAAAGGAAATGAATCTGTTACCTTTATGAGATAAACAAAGATGACATATTTCAGAGGCGTGTTGTTCTGTTTACTTATGTTCCGAGTTCCGAGACATTCTGTGACATATGACATTTTGTGCAGCTAACCTATCTTCCTCTATATAAATGAATAACAAAACCACTGTTGTTTATGTGGCTTGTGGAGGTGGTATTGAACTATAATTTATATTTTGCCTTAATTGTTGATTTATAAAGATAATTTTCCTTTTTTAAAGTAGAATATCTAGGTAACCTGAACTCCGATCTAACATTCTAGGCGCTGTTGTCAATATGTGAATTAGAAACAAATCCCTTTAAAAATTAAAACCCAACATTTGAAACATCAATTTGAATACTTTTCAAAGTGAATTTGAAAAACTCATGAATTAAACTCAACTTTATTTTGTTCAAACTTGCATTTGCTGTAATAACCCAAATTGAGGAACATTCCCCACTGAATCTCAAGTTGAAAAAATCTATACAGATTTAGCAAATTACAGGAATTGGCATCAAATATATCCAAGTATAAAATAATAATCTTTATAATAAACCTGATATCATACAAACGACAATTGAATGATTTCAATTTAAAAACTCTCAAAAAACGTAGAGAAAACTTTCAAGTATTATTCATATTCAACTTATTATGAAACATCATGTTTCTCCCTGATTTACTTGCCTCCAACAATTTCAGCATACCATTCACCTGAGATAAAGGGGTTGCATATTTCACAATTTCAACATAAACTCTCCACTTGAATACTCCTTAATAACTACTAATAAACTATTAGTTGAAAATACTGATATCGATATCTTCAACATTACCCCAGCCAAAATCAGATCTCAATTATTCTCTATCTAACAAGAGTGTATTGCATATGTTTGTTCACATGAATGTATATGTATATATATATTTGCAACTTTAAATTTTAACATGTACATTTCACTGCTTTCATCGATTTTGCATGCTCATTTATTTGGAGTTTATGATTTTAGTTTTAGTGTAGGTTAGCTAAGTTTATTACTTGTACTTGTAGGACTGTGTATATGTAATTAATCTATGTTTGTATGTATGCAAGATAAACAATAAACAATCAATTAATTTACATACAACAAGAACAATAATAGTCCCAAACTTGTGGAACACCAAATGATTTTTCAACAGACAGAGAAAAGATTATAGTTGATTTTAGTGATTTGTTCTCGATTATTGAGGTAGTTCTTGAATTCCACAGGTACACTTAACACCAACAGCAGCTAGTTCTTACATCAGAATTTTATTATGGATTATCTCAAATACTCGTTTCACCTTCAAAAATAATGTATTCTTCATCATTACTTTTTTTCCATTTAGTATTAGTTTGAGCTGCAATGGTGATTCACATGCGTGATGTCAGAAGCCTGATTGGTTTACAAATAAAAAATATTAGTATTCATGTATTGCAATATCTGCTTCTATACTACCATCACAAATGTTTTCAAAACTTGGTTAAAGTATTGACTGGTTAATGTTTCCACGACTTCACAGTATAAGAAAACTTTTGGTTAGGTACAACAGAACTTCATTTTCAATTAATCAAGAATGGATATTGAATGGTGTTCCACAAGGTAGTGTGCTTGGGCCACTACTTTTCTTGATTTATATTAATGACCTGTCAAATCAATGACAATGGTTACAATGATATTTGCTGATGAGACACTCCCTTCGCCATTCGGAAAAAAAATATTGAAGTGTCATCAGAATTAGAAAAGCGAGTTATTTAAGAAGCTACGGACTGGTTTGACGCGAATAGCCTATATGTGAATAAAAGCAAGACACAAACAGTTATGTTCTCGCTGTCTCATAATCTCTCAAATAATGTGAAATGTCTTGGTATAACCATTGATTCAAAGTTAACTTGGAAACCCCATATTGACAAACTAGCAAAAATCTATCATGCAAGGTCTATGCAATCAGGCAGATAAAAAATAAAGTCAGTAATGAAGCTGCCCATACTGCTTAATAATTATTATAATAATATTTATTCATCCTTAAAGACGTTGACAAACGTATAGGATAGGTCAGTATTAAGCACATAAAAATCACATCAAACGATAAAATTGTAGATCCGTAGATAAAAATAATACAATAAAAATTATACAATAAGTCAGAATTACAAAAATTAAAACAATTGTAGTTATAAAAATTGAATATGTCATGCCAAAGCCGCATGAACCCATTCAGTCGAGATGGTACGAGAGAAATTCACCAATACTATACTAGGCCTTTGAAAGAAGCAATGTTTCAACTTCTTTTTTAAATACTACAGTGTTCATCTGTTTGAAATGGTCTGGTAACCGATTAAATAATTTTATTCCCATATATTTGGGAGAATGTTCGAATTTTATAGTTTTATGTTTAGGAATACTCAACTCCTCTGCATATCAAGTTGGGTATCTATGATAGAATGAGTTCCTAGTACAGTCTGTTATACATTCGCGAACATATAAAAGTATTTTAAAGATGTAGATGTAGAGAAAGGTTAATATTTGATGACTTATGAAAAATGTCTTGCATGATTCCCTCCAAGGGATGCCTAGTAATTTCCTAATAACTTTTTTTTGAGCAATGAAAACCCTATCTTTGTCAACACTGTTTCCCCATAGGATCACATTATAACTTAGATGGCTATAGACCAGACTGTAATATACATCTAAAATGGCGCGTAAAGGCATACAACTCTTAATTCTTAAGATTGCATAATACCCTTGATTGATTTTTTTACATACAACTGTGATATGGTGAGACCACTTCAAACAGTTGTCTACATGAACGCCAAGGAATTTTGTACATCTTGTGCATGTCAGTGCCATTCCATTGATTAGTAAGGCAAGCGATTCCTTTTTCAGAACGTTTTTTAAATTAAAATAGATAAATTTTGTTTTGGTCAAGTTTACAATCAGATTGTTCATTTCCCACCAATTTAAGAACAGTGATATCAATTCCTCTGTTATTGATTTTAATTCCTCCCGACTCTCTGCTGATACAGCTAAAGACATGTCATCTGCGAAAAGAGTGAGAGCATATTCATTACAGGTGAAATAAGTAGGCAGATCATTTACAAACAACAGAAAGATCAGCGGATCTAACACAGAGCCTTGAGGAACTCCAGAACATATATCATGATAGTCTGATTTCATATCTTTAATCTTGACAAACATACGATCTGTAAGAAAGTCAATGATCCATTCTAGGAAGTCCCCTCTAAAACCTAGATCATATAATTTGCTCTCGATTAATTTAAAATTTAAACACTCGAAGGCACGTGACTGATCGAAGAGTACTCCTGCAACATGCTTACCCCTATCTAAAGAAGCGTATAATATGATTTCTAAGAATCTCTAAGTAGTTGATTGAGTGGACTTGCCTTTGCAAAAACCTTGTTGAGAATCGGACAGGATCTTAAACCTTGATAAGAAGCTTAATATATTCTCTCATTCACAACCTTTTCAAACATTTTTGAGAAAATGCTTAGCAGGGCCACGGGGCGATAGTTTGTAATATTCGATGTATCGTTCTTCTTATGAACTGGTATGATCATGGCTGTTTTTAGAATTGAAGGGAATTTTCCACTTGTGACTGATAGATTCAACAAATACGATAAATGTTTTGAAATGTGTAACTTGATTTCTTTTAAAATTCTCACTGATACATTATCAATTCCTGTACTTTTTTTATTTTTAAGACTGTTAATTACTGCGTCAATTTCACATTCGTTAACGGGCATAGAGAAAAAAGTATTCGATTCAATTCCAGAAACCGTGCATACGGATGATCTATTGTCGCCAAAATGGTCTGCTAAGCTATTTTTTACCACTGAAGAGAAATAGTCCCCAAATATGTTCGCAACATGATCTCTATCTGTGATCACTTTATTATTATAGTTGAGAGTAATATCTCTTTGAATTTTTTTCTGTTCATTTCTTTGTTGACTAGGTCCCAAACTGTTCTATTTTTATTGTTAGAATTCTTAATTACATTTTCGTAAAAATTCAACTTTGAAGCTTTTATTATTGATTCATAGTCTTTCTTCGCTTTTTTGTATGCTGCACGAGAATCTTCGTTGCCTATATTTTTACATAACCAATGCATACTTTTTAAATCAAGACTGGCCTGTTTCACTTCAGGAGTTATCCAGTTATGTTTGTTACTAGTGGACGATTTGTGTTTTTTGGTCGGCCAACATTTATCGATAGCATCACTTATAATATTCATGAAGGCCAGAAAGTTCTCATCTATATCAGTTTTGTTATATGAATGCAATATTTCATAGTTCCTTAATTTATGGATTGGTAAACTGGGGCACATCTGTTCATATCTCGAGAATATTTAAAATTCAAAAAAGAGCAATCAGAGCTTTAGCTGGAATAGGTCAAATGGAGAGTTGTAAGAATTGGTTTATTAAGTTCAATATATTAATTCTGCCATCATGTGTAATATACTGCAATTTGATACACATTCAACCATTCTTATAATACTAGGAACAAGGATAATATTAGAGCACCAAACCAAAGACTAGAAATAACAAGAAGATATAACTTATACATATCATTGTACAACTCACTGCCTCAATCAATGAAAATTGCAACCTTTGCTAACTTCAAAGAATGCTTACTATGATGCGTCTGACTCAAGTTTTACAGTGACTATCGGCAATGTAAGTACTGTCTCTATGTATCTTTATTTTTACGTTTATAGATTTATTTACTTTATTTTGTGCTTTTATCATATACAATGTTTTAAGTACTATCTACTCCTTTTCGGTACTTCCAATTGTAATTTACATTTATTTTATACATTATTTACTAGTCATAGCACTAAGGTATAATAACTTGACCAATAAAAAATCTAATCTAATCTAAAAAACTTCATACTCCAATAATATATTCATAAAATTTAATAACCCATGTGCCTAATAACCTCAAAAAAGTAGTTTTCAAAAAATACTGTATCTATAATTTCACTACTATAATCATTTTCCAATTTATTAACAATATTCGTGAGATCAGATAATTCTATTTTCTGAAAATGTGGAAAGACGCTTTATAGTGGCAATGAGATATCTTACATGAGTCTCATCAATGCTCTTGAGTATATACCTATTACTGTTAATAAAAAATTCTGCGATTTCAACTGTTCTTATTATTCTTATATGACCATCTCCTTTTTTGAATTCCTTAATAAATGAAACAGAACTAAAAAGTTACGAATTTGCTTTATCTGTAATTGATTTGAAGGTGTGAGTCACAAGTAATTTTGGCTACTCACTCAACAATAAACGTTCACGTAAATGACGCATTTTTAATAGTGCTAGAAAAAAAATTAATCACAGTTAATATTATAAAATATTTCATTAATAGAGTGAACCCAAAACTGGGTTATTTCTAGCAATTTAATTTGTTTGTTATTTCATTTCTTTAGTTATGACATCACGAATCTTCCATTATCTCTTGCAATTCTTGATTTTCAAATAATGAAATTATGACTGCTCTGTCAGGTAAAAATGAATTGATTTCATCAAAAACTCACCCATTCCATCCTTCTGAATAGGAATTACCGAAGGATCTGTATTGCTCTGATACGCTATTGGGGTTTTCAGTACTAATCCAGGGTGCTTTATTGGTTTGATCTTCCGGGTCGGGCATGGCAGTGTTTGTGTTGACGTTGTTATCATGTAGATAGGATGTGAGTTTTCATCTTCTACGTAACTGGAATCATTGCTTTCGTTTTTCATGTCCATCAAATGCATCATATCATAGTTATCCATATGTTCCTGAGAAATAAATGATTAGGTTTTTTCAGCTTAATATCAATTTATGAAATATAAGAGAGGTGGAGTTACCTCTCATGGTAGCAAGTTAAATTTCAGTTTTGAACTGAAATTTGTCATATGTCTTTCCCTGCCTCATCTCAGTTGATATTTCAAACATATACTCAATAAATGCTGAATTTCAGATATTATTCTTCACACATTTGAATAGTTCTCACAATGCCTTACTCATTTGTCAAAAAATACATGTCAATTTTAGTTTTCAATTGTTACATCATCCCTCTAATAACAAATTCTTCATATCTTGAATAAAAAGGGTGTTGAGTTATACCTTATTTTGTAGATTATTTAATTATCATTTCGAATATACAACTTGGTTTTTCTCCTTTCTTTTGAAAACTATGTAAGGTAATTAGGTAGACATCAAAATACACATTAATAACTTTAGAGTATCTGTAAAATGAAGGCTCTCATTATTTTCAATAATATGTGGATATAAGTTTAGATTTTCGTAACCGTATTTAAAAACTCAAATTTAAGTTTAGTCCATATTCAAACAAAGCTAATTTGTTTCACACCAACTTTTGATAATATTTCGTTCAGTTCCACCACATGCCACAAAAGGTTGGCGTAGTCTGGGGATGTAGTTACCTTTACAGCGATAGGTAAAGATAGATCTCTCATGTACGACCAAAATAAAATTGAGCCTTGAGGAAGTTCTGTATATAGTTGGTTTTTCTGAGTTTTTAATCAATATTCTTACAGCCTGTTTACTATCGAGTAGATGTGATTCAAACCATTTGAGCATTATTCCTGTGAAACTGTAACACAGTCAAAGTACTTTGAGAAATCACCGAATATGTTGCTTCTACCCCACCATTTGGGCCAAATTGATACTGTAATATTCAACTGTGTTTTGAAATATACTTCAAGAAGTGATATGTGTCGATAGTTTGAGATTTCCTATTTCAACCCTGTTATAAAGAGGGATTACAATAGCTACATTTAGGCAATCTGGAAATAATCTCGACAGTACTGGAACATTTAGTGCACTATTCGACAGATTTTTAAGTATCTTAAGAGACATTCCAACTGGTTTCAATCCCATGATATCAATAGATAGAAAAAAACAAGTTTTTCGGTATCCGATCCGTCTACTAGATCGGTTTTTATTAATCACCTTAGAAAAGTAGAACCAGGTGTCCGGGTCAACAATACTTACCATATGAGAATTGTGCACAGCATGCATGTCATCTATAGACTGGTTGGATATACTATGATGGGATGGAGTGAAGTACATGTTATCAGGATCCAAAAGCATATCGCTATGTTCTCCTGAGTCCAGGCCCATGGGAACGTCAGAAGACGGTTGTCCTGCTCCCATCCACACCATCCCCATGTCCGCTACCCCCGGCATTGTATTATAAACTGAAATTATTTTTTACAACTGTATTACAAAAAAAAAACTTTTTACTGGAAAATGTAATGACTTTGACGTCAAATAGAGATTACGCTTGGTATCTGTCCAAGAATATGACCTTAATTAACGATTATCAATTAATAAGTATTCACAAAGGATGCAATAACGTATTTTTGTCCGGGAAACATATGAACACGAATCTGTATAATATATTAAAGATATGAGTACCGTTCATCTTCAGAAGATAGTTTTGTGGATCATTGAAACTACTTTAATTCATATTTCTTAAACAATGGCCAATTTCTTTTAAACATCGCATCCACCAACGAAAAAAAGGCATAACTACATAGTCCTTGTCACTTGTCATAATTTTTCATAGATGTTTTCTTTTACCTTCAACTGGAACAGTGTTGCCACTAGCCCTAACATAATAAGAGGAAAAACGCAGTCTCAGTTTTGAAATATGCAAAAATAATCGAAAATACATAAACGATTTAAATAATTGAAAATACCCATTTTTCAGACCTGTTGGAAAATGTACCCCTCTGCGGTATCTAGTGGATGAATGAATTGTTACTTCTCTCAGTTCCAATTTTTCACAGCTGTTCGCTGTTAAAATTAAACTATTCAACGCTTAGTAGATCAGGGTAGAAAAGAAGAAAGAAGTATCTGGTGCTTGTCAGGGACTTTTTTATGGATATTGTTGATCAGGAAATATAAGTAAGTATTCTTTTATTTTTGTTAATTCATGACTAGAGTTCATTATATCACTATTGATAAATAACAGTCGCATTTTTCTGAATGTTTATAAGGGGACTAGGAGTGATGCTGGCATTTAGGGGAAGTTCGGGGTGTATAATGAGTGGGTGCATCGAAAGATTCACTGCTAAATTTAGAAACTTGATCATTCGATCATTTCATTATAATTTACTGTGTAAAATATATGAATATATAATCGAACATGAATACGCGTTTTGTCATTCTACAAAAAAAAATTGCATGCAAAAATTCATTTCAATGAATTTGCCTTAACATCGTTGCTCAGTATGTAACTAATAGAAAACCTTGAGTCATAATGATATCGCTCGAAGTTCGAAAATGGTGTGATGATACTATGATGAATTGAATAATCAAAAACACCTCTTCATCAATGATTTTTTTCGACGTTTGTACGCAGCGCCTAGTCGTCCTTTTATATTTCCCATGATCACAGAAGCATCAATAAGTAGGTATTTAACGAAACGTAATTCAAACTTGATGAAGTACGAACGCAAACAAGATAGCGAACGAATTGGAACCCACAAGCGTTTTCTGGCGCTCATGTATTCAAAACGTATTCGTCTGTAATTCAAATACATCCATTTTGGCGTTGAAACGATGACGTTACATCAACTATGATTTGAAACGTATTCATCACGATTCAAAACTAGCGTGAGGTTGGTTTTGAAACGGAATTTGACATTACGTTACGTCAGTTGTCAGTTTCTGCTTTATTTTGATCGTTCGTTTATGAAGTGCTGAAAACTTTTCATCAAATACGTTGTAATGATGTACAAAATAAAGCTGAAAAATAATTACTTGCACAAATCCAATTATAATAATTGATCAAAAAGTTTGTTTTCATCATTGAATTTGACATGCCACAAATTGAATCATTTAATTCTGGCGAATCTTATTAATGACGTAACTACGAATCGTTTTTGAATACACGCTCGAATACCTACAATTAAACGCCAGAAAACACCTCATATTAGAAAACAATCCGCACGCTCTTTGATCGGCTGCATTTGCTATCGAGGAAGAGATTCCCGGGTGATCAGATGGCGCCACGAACTGGTTGCCGTAAATACATTTTCTATTTTACTTCTCGAAGGTTTGATTTGAAAATGTACTTAGTTTTAAAAACCTATATTCACTGTAGGGCAACTTTCATTTTCCATGATTTCAAAACAATTCAGTATACATCTTTTGCTGGAAAAATCCTCACTTGTTTACTTTTTGTACTTAATGTTCAACATATGTGACTTTCTGAAACTTCAACTAGCGTTTCCTAATATGACTGATTACCAGTCCGTGCAAAGCTTATTGTTAAATCATCTGAAAATGGAACTTTTAACGGGTGATGATCAACTGTATTGCCAAGCATGCGCCAAACTAATAATATTAATATATTTCAGAGAATGCTCTATATTTCATAAAGAAAACATCAAACATAAAATGAAACAACGTCACACAACTTCTACATAAAGGTTTATAACTTATCTAGATATTCCTGAAGTGAATAAGGCTCTAGCATGATCAAAAGCTCTTTGACACCTGTTTTGAATTTTTTCAGTCAAGTATCTGTGTAATTTAGTAAAAAACCGTATAGACGCACAGGATGGATGCTTCTCTGGGACACTGTCAATTTGTGAATCAGATTCATATTGCGCTTATGGTCTAGCTTCCAAAAATCTACTCTTATTTTTACTACACTCTCATAGATATAGATCGCATATACTGTCAAGATATTATCTGCCGTGAAGATTCCCCGGCATGACTGACGAAAGTTCAGTTTGAAAGTAACTCTCATAATTCTTTTTTGAATAAGAAATATATAATAATAAAGGTCTTTATTATTTTCAAATAATATACATATAGATTTTAACATTGTATGCAAAAAATAAAAACATTTCTGAAAATAAAGGGCGAAGTTCATTTTCTGCCGACAAACGATAGTTTTACTACGAAAATGTTCTTCCACTTAACCCTAATACAGTGTATTAGGGTTAAGTGGAAGGTATTACTGCTGCTTCCCCAGAATATTATACCAAATTCAAGTAAAGATTCAAAATTCGCAGAATACATAATTTTTAATGATTTTTCATTGAGGTAGGAGCCAATAACTCTAATACAACAAATTTGATTCAATTTTTTTCCCAGATTTGAAATATGCTTATACCAATGCAAGTATTCGTTAACATATATACCAAGAAAATTTGTTGAGTTCTGAACTGCAAGTTCATTGTTTGACAGATTAATTGTACTTGGTGTTTCAATTCTTTGCTGTGCCATTCTAAATAAAATAACATTTGTTTTCTCAACATTCAGAATCAAATTGTTCTTCGAGAACCAGTGGTTTGCTCTGTCTAACAGCTTACCCGACTCTATAATTAAGTTTGGATAGTTGTAATCTGACACTAACAGATTTGTATCGTCAGCATAATTGGTGATTTGAAAGGTTTTACTGTCATTAATTAGGGTTTCTAAAATATCGTTCTTGAAAATAATAAAAAGCATGGGACTAGTTATACTTCCCTGTGGGATGCCCACAGTATTTTCTCGTTCCTCCGATTTGAATATTTTCCCTTGTTTTATGATTTCAGTTTTTTGCAGACGGTTTGACAAATATGATTCAAACCACTTCCAGATATTTCCTCTAATTCCATAATTTTGCCAATAAATATTTATGATTTAAGCAATCATACACTTTTGATAGGTCCAAGAAAAACCTAGGACTATTTCATTATTTTCAAATGGCTGAATAATTTTCTCAGTGAACTGAATTATTGCCGTTTCTATTGATCTTTCTTTTATATACCCATGTTGAGAAGAACTTAACAGGTTGCACAATTTCATGACTCTATCACACATGGCCACCTCAAAAAATTTTGAGAAAGATTGTAAAACGCTTATCGGTCAAAAATTCTCAAATAACTCGCAATCTCCTTTCTTATAGATGGGTGTTATCAAAGCAACTTTCAACTTTCAGGAAAGATTCCATGTTTAAAAGAGTTATTAATTATATGGCAAATAATATTAGCAACATTATCAATACATAATTTCACTAAACTAACTGACTACTATAAGAAAACAAGTATACTGAGGCACCAGTCAATCTAATAATAATAACACCGATGATCTTCAAACATGTCTCAAGCACCAAACTTTTAAGGAAGCATATGTCTCAGATAACATGGTATTAGCCGGGGAAGTAGTTCTTTTTCGACATTCACCAGAGCCTACTGTGTAGGTAGTTGGGAGAAATTAATATTTAGTTGGTCAATTAAATTCCACCGTGAAGTGCACACACTGTGGACACCTTCGATCTTTTCTGGGATTTGTCTCTCCGAATACCACAAAGAACTAACCAATTGAGTTTGTCACAATGCTTGGATTTCTTCACAAGAGAAAAAAACTCTGGATGGAGATAAAAAACCAACATGTTCGAGGTGCAAGGGAAAATGCACAAAGCCCCTATCAATCCATAAATTTTCCCGTATTTTAGTAGTTAATTTAAAAAAATTCTCTCCAACAGATAGATTCAGAGGCAAATTGAATGTTGTCATTGTCTTTTCTTTGGAAGGATTAGATATGAGCAATTATGCAGCAGACAATATGGCTCCTTGTAGTTATAATCTTTATGCAGTTTCAAATCACAGTGGGACTACTTACAACGGGCATTACACAGCATATTACACTCTTACAGTGGCATGAATACAACGATGCACAGGTGTCCCCAATTTCACCAAAATCGTGTGAGTGGGGAGGCTATGTCCTCTTTTATAAACAGAAGGGAACAAAGCAGCACTTTTGAGGGATTTTTCCTTTTTATTTTTTCATAAACTAAATTCTGTAAATTGATTGGAGAAATTGTAAAATTGAATATATATTCAACACTAAAAAGTCATACTAAACCTGGTGTCCCAACAGGTGCCTTTTTTGTCTAGGAGTAAAGCGATAATTTTTCTTATTGAATAAAAAATGTTCAGTTTTTTCATTCCTTTTCTAGCATGTGATAAGTCAGTTGGATAAAATTACATTAGGAATTTAACAAAATAAATATACAAAAAGTAGTCATTCAAAGTATATTTGGTCTCATAAACTCAGTGAATGATATAGTAGGTGTACATAAAGTCATAGACTAAAATTGTGTTTCCAAGGAATACTTTCAACTCTTATCAATTTTTGAATATGTAAACTTTGTACTCACTTATCTAACAAATCGACTGCATTTTTGTAGTACCTTTTTTCTTACCTACCAACTGCAAAGTAGCAGAACCATAGAAACATATAAAAACATTGAATTTACAAAAAAGTTTAGTTGTTGTGAAAGATGAGCAACTCTGATTCCAGAAGAGAATCCAAAACAAGCACATTTTCCAATCACCAGAACTGAAATACTTTTCTCGACGCGCTTTTAACCAACTTGACGTCCTCAGGAGATGAAAAAACTCCTAATTTACTATTTCTAGAGAGAAAACTCCTAGTTTTCCTCATCAACTGAAAACGACAACTTGGTTGGTGAAACGCACATTGAGAAAAGTATTGCGTTTCTGGTGATTGGGAAAACTGCTTGTTTTAGATTCATTCTAAGTCAGAGGTTCCAGTTTTACTTTTTATTGATGAAAAGAATTTTTTGAAAAAAATCAGGGGTTTTATTGACTTTTTGAGAATTCTTACTTTTGAAAAAATAAAAATTATAAAGGAAAAATTTTATAAGGGTGTTCTATTTCACTCTAATATGTGAATTTAATAAATTCATTTCAAAGAGCAAATGTACTACTTGATAGTAACCAATTATGTCTATCAAAGTTTTCTCCATTCTCTTCTGAAAGTTTGTAATCTCTTTCAAATTTTTTTTCAACAGATGTCAAAAGAAAACATAAATCATGTCAAAGTTATTGAATAACTTTTAGAAAATTAATTCCTGTGTACCTGTTTTCGAAAAAGATATTCAGGAACATTTTGTAATACATACATTATTCAAAAGCCAACTTCCAACATATTTTATAATTCAAATTCCCTACAACCATTGAAGAAATTTAAGAATAAGATTATGCATTTTTAGAAATGTAGCTGGGATTTATTATTTTCATGGTGAAAGGTGATTTTATCTCTGAAACCCTACGACGAGTACTCTTTACAGTTTTTCATTTTTGCAGAGTTCCACACTTTGCAAATTCCCAAGAAAGTCAATAACTTTAACTCTTACCACAATTTTCTTTGTTTGACGTGTTGCTTTTCTTCAAACTATAACAAAATCCAGATCAATCATCCTTTGTGTGTATTAAATTCAAATTTATCAGGAAAGGTATTTCACTAAAAAAAAAGGCACTGAAATGGCATTTAACGCCAAAAGTATCCGTTAGTAAACACCCTATAAACAATATACAAAACTACCTGAACACCTTAGAACAAATGTATTTTATCGAATATTTGGGAACATTCATCATTTAGAAAATCAATAGCGGCGTCTACTACTACCACCGCCGCTGCGCCTTGGTCTGTTTTCATCGTAACGACTGCTCCTCCCTGATCGGTGAGACCTCCTGCCTTCTCTGTCGTCTCGCTCTCTGTAGCTTCGGGTACGACCGTAACTAAAAATTAGCACCAACAATCAACCAACCATTGAACCAACTGACACATTTTCCAATTTAAGCTATTATTGTCCACGCCAAGTCTTATGGGGATCAACCACCGCCATCATACATATCCATACAATATTCTTTTACCAAACCATTTAAATAAACAACCATGTGCCTGACAAATCACAAAACAAAAATTAGATCAGCAGAACAAACTTGTGAAGCACTGCAGTAAATTACAACATCTAAAAAGAAACTGGTCGTGGCAAAAAATTAATTGTCAATGAAAAGCCAGATGGAATGAATGCCTGCAAGCAAAATGCTTTCCAGTGAACATAATTCAGACCTTCATTGTCGAAAATCAAAGCAATAATATTCATTTGTTTTTGAGCTAGGCTTGCAAGTATTCACCGTATTAAGACAGAAAGTTTTGCTGTTCAAATGCTAATAATGGTCATTTCTGAATTATTGATACAGAAATACAGAAAAAAGGTATTTAAAAATTATTAAATGTGCGAAGTGGCACAGTGGTATCGTACAAAAAAAAAAACTTCAACGCCCATTCAAGTGACAGAATATACTTTTGTTTTTAATTGGCTAATATTGTAAGGTGTCTATTATTAAGTTCAAATTGAGATTTATTTAAGAAAGCATAGAAACATAGTTTTATAATATATAAGTTAAAATTGAAGTTAAAAATATAGTGATCCTTGAAAAATGTATCGCAATTTCAGCAAAATCGAAAGTTAAAAAAAAAATATCGCAATTAATTTATTGGTTGCTCATTAGCATGTAATCTTATACTCCATTGAACCTTAGAAGGTACCACTTCTGAATATGGCGATCAAGACTTTAGTTTCATGACATCATATTTTCATCACAGCAAATCATCAGAATTGTTCAATGAACGCCAAGAATACCTGCCTTAGAAGTACAAGAACAGTGTATACAATTAAGAACAATATAAATGGAGCATCCAATATGGAAATAGTAGTTAATGCGTTGAATACAACAGGAACAAGAATCAGAGCACCAGCTTGGGTATTGCGACCATTACCACATGGCCTGTGAAACCTGGAAAATAGCCGGCATACGAATGATAGAATTCTTAAGTTGGAACTAGAGTTATTAAATAATGTCATCAAATTTTATCAAGCGTATAACTTTTTAATTTATTAAAATCCCACTACTATACACAGCAGACTATTCCGGGACTTTTGATCTACACCTCATTATAGTGTCTAAAGTCGAGGTCGACCAATTCATAAGTAAATAAATAAAATATCAGTTACACCAATCACTACAATTTACTGGGAATTTTTTCCCTATCCTTGTTGATGTCAATGATTCATTTATGTCTCATATTATGCATTCAACATTCAGCAAAACTTTCTGAATTTCCCACAGCACAAACAAAAACACATAAACTTTAAATATAAACAAATAACGTACCGGTCTGTTTCTCTGTCTCCCCTCTCTCTCTTTTCGCTGCGCCCGTTTACTTCCGGACAGTCTCTATAAAAGTGTCCGCTATATCCGCATTGGTAACAACGCATGTTGGTATTATAAAAACGCCTGCCAGAACCCCTGGTTCGGGGTCTGGCATAACTGACGCGGATTCTACATCCGGAAACCTCCCTGAAATGGAACACAAATCTAGTTTTGCTGCATATCTAAGACACTATTATTTGTAATTGAATCGGAATATGCAGAAAAAGAACGTCACTTTTGACTAATCGCATATTTTTACATACATTACATACATTTTTTTGATATCACAGTTTGTGACATTAATTCAATGAAATTTTGATACGAAAAACAAACATCGAGACAGGCAGACGACAGAATTTCTATTTCAATGCTGATTATTGTTCTTCAAGGTTGATAGACACCTTTTTCTTCAAATATAAAAATTTGGGTTTGCTCTGACAACCCTAAAATAACCTTTCCCAAAAATCATAGTATAAATAAATAAATAAAAAAGAGAACATTGAGAAAATACTTCATTTTAGAAAATAATATTCTACATCAAAAGGATGAACCTGTACAAGTGTAAAGGACAATTATTCATCTACAGATATTGAATATGTAATGAAATTATTTTCCAAAGATACAAATGAGAATTATGCATGCACAAGTCACAATTTTGAATTTAAATTGCAATATGAATTTAATGTTGAATATCTATAGTTATTTGACTATCACACACAGTTCATTATCATAAAATTTTAATTTCTCCTTTGTATGCTAATTTCACCTTTATGAATAGTGAACATTTTCACGATAGGTAATGTTCCAAGTATTTCAGAACTGTTGAATACTTGTACAATCATTATGGTTTGTGCCATAAAAAATTGAAAAATATTTGTTTGAAAGACTTTATGAAGTATGTTGAATCTGATATTCTGACTCAATTACATAAACAAATGAATCTGTCAATCTATAATTTCATATTATATAGGTTCATTTGAAATTCTGAACTTATTCAATTATTACTAAATATTGTTCAAACTGTGGAGCAACATTACAACAGAAGTGATGTTTCTTTCCAACTTACATTCCATCGCATGCTTTCAAAGCAGTTGCAGCATGTTTTTTATCCTTGAACACTGCGAATCCAAAACAGGGAGTGCTATTGGTCATCCAGACCTCTTTCAATGGTCCATATTGTGAAAAAACTTTTTCTAAATCAGATCTCCTGATTTCATCACCTATATCGGCAATATGTAATCTGTAACCATCAATTTCACTGCTGCCGCTTCTTGAACGAGATCTAACAAAATTAAAATGATTATTCACAGAAAAAAAAAAGAATACAAAACTTATGAAACGGTAATAAAAATTGTACTGGGCAATGTATGTCGTATGCACTTTAATTGAACAGGTAAAATTCATTAAATGGTTTGTTCCCTTAGATAAGGCCTGAATTAGGTGATGACTACATCTTTGCTTTTTATAATTCTGATTTATAATCAGGGCCCTAATAGATGAAAAAGGTAGACTCTGATTCTAAAATTCATCAAAGAATTCAATTACAGTGCGAATAGTACTGCTTCGAAGATTCTTCAGAGTGGAAACTCTGAAGAATCAATTGTGAAAAATTAGAAAATTTTCCATGTATATGTGCACAAATGCATTAGAAGAGATGTACTTATACAAGTACGAAAGTATGTAAATAAATCATTTTCATAAAATAAATTAAAACATAAATAAAATTTTGAAAATTAATAAGCAGTCAATTTTTTTCTACTCATTTGTAAACCACAAACATTTTGATTTTTATATCATCGAGTTTTCTGATTTGAACGGTTTGTATCATTGAGAAAAGTATAGTTTTTCATTCAGAAACTGGGCAATTTCAGATCAAATCAACACAATACACCTCAATATTGACCTTCATCACCCCAGATTTTGATAAACCTACTTAATTATAGAAATTATAAATATAAGTAAAGCTCCAATATGTTGTATATTTGTTTAGTGTAAAAAAAATGTTGAAAGTTGTATTTTTTTTTCATTTCCGAGCATGAAAAATTGAAAAAATAATGACACGTGTCCCAAGGCTCTAGCTCAAATAGAAAACGATCAATTGCAATTGTGTATATTATTTTTTTTCAAGTTTCAATTCTGATTTATATATTTTTTTAGTGCACTGTTCGTACTTAGTTATGTTAGTTAGTTTTTGAATTACTGTTGTTTTCCCTACTATAACCATTGTATGTTACTTGGGAAAATAAATCGTTATTATTATTAATAAATGCTCACAGAGCAACTTTAGGTGTTTTTTGGAAATTCGAAATACCTATTACTAAAAAATTATTTGAAAAAAAAAATCAAATTTATATATTTCTTTGTCTATATAAAATATACATATGTGCAAAGCTTCATCAGAATCTGAGATATTACGATTTAATAGGCGAGTTGATTTGACACGTAATGACTCAACTGTCAAAACAAGGTTTAGCAAGAAATATGCCACCCCCTTTTGCTAATACAACATATGAGTTTTTTAGCTGACACAAGTCTCTAGAATACTTGTTTTTCATAGAACATAAATAAATTACTAGTGGTAAAAATAATTTTTATGTAGAATTAAAACTGAACCTTGATCGGACCCTGTTACTGAAGTAGGTGAACAATTAACCGTCACCTAAATTCAAATAAACCTTACAGGCCACAAAAACTACAGAGTGTTCAGAATGAAATTTTTCTTATTGATGAGTAAAATCCACATTTTATAAATGACACCCTATTTACAAGGTTGAATTCCTATTTAAACAATGTTTCAAGTCAAGAGCAACTCAAACAAAACTTATATCAATAGCAAAAAAGGCTAATCATACACATAGTATCCCAATTGAAAATTTTCCAGATATATAACCAACAAATTTACTTGTCAGGTTGAAGCATTAAAATTTTGTAATACTTTTGCAAATTGAGTTTCTTTCATCTCGGATGGAAATATTATTGATTCAGGGACTGTAAGACTGCTCTAACATCGTACTCGACAGTCAATGTATTAAAGAACACTAATGTGCATCATTAACCCTAATGACGAGGGCAGTTACCCTTCTTTGATAAAAATGAGGGACAACCATCAATCCATATGACTATCTAGGGTTTCCATCAACCAAAGTAACCATTTCATTATCCAAGTCTTGAACCCATTTTTCTGAACCAATCCAATCAACCACAATATTATTCAGAATTCTGCATGAGATACCACTACAAATTCATTTGTCCTGCTTTGACAGTCCCATAAAGCTAATTTTAACACGTGTGCAATTGAAAATGATAATCGTTACAAGAGCAACATGGATTCTGGCGAACGTGAAAACTGATGACATCTGAAATATTTAAGAACTACAGATGGAGATGGTTGGGTAAAGTAAAGCTTTAATACCAACCTCTTTGAAATACTCATAGCTTTCAAATTAGATTCCAATCCTAAAATGATGTCAATACCCCAATCCATAACACCCCGATTACCAATTTACCTTGAAGCGCTAGACCTGCTGCGACTCCTGCTTTTTCTGCTGGTGCTGCTATTTGAACTTTTACTCCTGCTTCTTTTAGTTCCCGAAGCAGGAGAGTCTCGATCATTATCCCTCATTCTGAAAACTATAATCAGTCTGAAAACACGTAACAAAAAATCGATGACGGCGAGAATTCAAATATGTACGATAAGAAATTATACTACCTCAATATAGATAATTCACTATCAGAAAAAAAAAAAACAAGATAAGAATGCCATCAACTCACCTACAATATATTTCAAGTCAAAACCTATATATGTATATTGGAATACTGAGAGATTGATAACTCTTGTGAAAATTAACACAGTAGTAGTTGGGAAATAATTTAATCGACAAGAAAACTATTTCACTACTTGACAACGCGTTGTACAAATTACAGCAACATCCGCCCAGAAACTTGCTGATTAAATTATGAATGACAAGTGACAACAAGGCAACTGGCTTGATCAAAGAGTAGACCAATTAGCTTGATATTGATCACAGAATACGTTACAGAAGAGACAGTCTGCATAGAACAGAAAAATTTAGTCGAGTTGTTAGTGGACGCCACAGAGTTCTGTGGTTGACGCATTTGAATTCGTTCCGTGGTTGGATTTTGACAGGTCCAGTGCAGTATATCAATGACAGGGCACAACATATTGGAATTATATAAGAAATATTCTTCTAGTCTGTGCGGATCATATATATGAACTTTGAGTCAATGCAACATAATTACTAACAGGAAACTCAAATAATTCTATGATAATTGTACCATGAACTAACTAAAACTGCACCAAACTACTATTTTCTATTCAGAACCCAATATATTCAATATTTTTGTTTGTTAGAAATTGAATTCATACTTTCACTTCATCAACTTTTTTCATTTTATTACTCTAGGACTCCCACTCACTTTCGGCATTCAATATTATATTCCCTCAAGACATAAACATCTATACTAATAACCTTGATACACCAGAAGTTGAACAAACATATGTTTAAAAATGAAAAATTTATTATATATTTTTTGATACATTTATTGGACATGTTCAATTTTCTTCAACTTTTAAAGGGTTTACGAAAATGACCAGGAAATTAAATTTCATTGAAAATATTCAGGGACATATTGATGTTTTTTTATTGGAATCATTCAGAAAAGTATGCATAGATTCTTCAGACAATGATTATGTGAATAGTTCAAATATGGTACATTAAGAGAATCCCGATTCGATACGTTGAAATGTCTATATTGATCTTTGTCACTATATATTCCCGTTTCGAGAATCTACTCTTTTCCTGGGTACTAAAGACAGAATTGAAAACTCATTCATAGTACTATTCTTGTGCTAGGAATCGAACATTAAAAATTGAGAGATGTCGTTCCTAGGGAGGTGACAACTTGTTAACGAAATTAACGAAACATATTTGTCAATTAAAATTTTATTGTAAAACGACGATAAAAATAAAAACAACAATAAAAATTAATTGGCGTTAATTATTTTTATCGTTGTTTTACGAAACATATTTTGAAATATTTTTTCCAAATATCGATCTACTATTCTTATTCTCATTTCAAGATGATCTCCTACCACATAGTAAAGGCTACATCCATCTACTATTGTTATTCTTTTTCATATACTTGAATTGCGCATGAGAAATATGATGTTAAGAGTTTTATTGTTGAAGTTCTTTTCTTGTATTCGAAATCATTAATTAATAATAAAATGAATTGGTAATTATGCAATAAAAGCTTTGAGATTGCCATCTTCACTTGTGTTTCAAAAACAAATTGATTTAACCTGGAATATATGTTTCAAATTTGAACTCAATATACTCTTTTTATAAAAATGGTACTATCAGTTGTTATGAAACAATAGAAAACAAGGATATCATTTAAAAATTTGAAGTTAATATTATTTGGAATTCAAATTTGGCTCCCTGCACTATGGTATCCTAGAAAACCTTGAAAACATCAAATTTAATTTGGCAACAGTGGCAACTGGAAACGATCTCAAAACAAACCTGTGACGTAGTCAACAGGCCTAGCTTAGAATTCCAAAGAAATTTTGGCTTTTTTGGTAAGTTTTTTCTGATACTACAAAAAAAGTTATTCTGTATGTTTTGAGATAGAGACCTATTAAAATTCTCTCGGTGTGGGAAAGTGTACCTCATGTTTTCTGTTTTAAGAAAAGATTTTGGAAGGGTAGAAGGTGTTAGCGAAATGCCAGCTGAAAATTATTATTGGTAAACTAATATTTCATTTGAGTATATAAAACTATGTATAACTTGATTTGAAACTCATTTGAACATAGAAGTTGCCATAAGATTTAATAAATTTTGTACATCTATAACCATGTGATTCTAACCTAACACTTCCTCACTGACAATGTTTTTTCTGTAGCCCAGATAACTTCTTCAAGAAGATGACAGATTTGGATTCACCCAAGAAAAATAACGATTGTTATTTTTACTATTACTCCACATGTGCCAAGGTAAGATTACTCTGCCATATGTTGTTGACATTTTTTAAGATTTCATCATTTTAAGGGGGACAATTGCACCTTTCGTCATGAACCTTCAGCTCTTGGATGTGAAACTATGTGTTCCTTCTGGAAGGAAGGCAAATGTTTGAATGTTCACTGCAACTTCCGTCACATGGAGCTCCGAAAAAATAGAAAGGCTATACCTTGTTACTGGGAGTCTCAACCTGTTGGTTGTCTGAAAGCTCATTGCCCTTTTTTACATCAAAATCCGAGGCCCTCTGATGATTCTTCAATTGATCATTCAAATCTATCTTCAGGTAATAATATAATGTTTATTGTCATTAGATCCAAGCAGACATTGACGTCCAATATATTATATAGATATTTGAACACATTACAAAGTTTGAAAAAGCATGTTAAAAGATGATAATAATTCAATTTCAATGGATTCAAGAAGTTTTGGCATTGTATTTGATTTATATTCACTTCCTCTTTTGAATAGACTGGATCCAATTGAAGGTATTCTCAGTTAATTTGAAGAGTGTATTTACCATCACTGTCGATAACTTAGGATTAGATTATAATAATAAGCAATCTAAATATTTATGTTGAAAGAAGGAAGCAGCAATATTTCAATTTTTTCAAGAATAGATCTGCAAGGCGTCAAAATATGAGTGTCAGGAATGCTACTAATGTTTATTTTCTTGATCGTATCCCTTTAAGAATTTTCATTATACGCATTTATGGTCAAGGTAATGTTTTGTTAAGCATTAAATATAAAAGTGTTCATGTACATACATGAAGCCTCTGTTCAGTTGGACAATATTTAAACGAAATATCCTCAAATCATTTTGCTCCAAATTTGTTCTGCCTGCTCCTGTTGCTGGCAAAAATGACACTAATGCACCATTTAATTTCCCCTCATACCTCTATGCATTTTTAAGAGTATCTTCCTTTTATGGTGACTGTTACTGGAAGAATATATTAGATCACCAAATTTCAATAAAATTGGATAAGGGATATTTACAGTATTAATACAAAAAAGGAATTTTTCAGAATAAAGATTAACACTCTGTATCTTTGCGACAATGCATTTTCGGACCTATTTTTATGTGAACGTTTTCCATGAAGTTAGCTCTTGGACATGTTTTCAATGCAATTAAACACCCTGTATATTACCAAAATTTTGATATCAACAAAGCAACCCTAATTGTGTCAGTGAAATTGTTCAAAGTATTAAAACAATGGTTTGAAACTGAAACAATATAAAGATAATCATGCAAAAAAATTATAAGTGTGTTTTTAGCAGTATAGCCGAATTGGTCAACAGTTTTATTTACTCCAATTATTAGTATAGCATTGGAGAGCAAAAAATTTAGAAAATTAACCTGTTTTTGATCCTCAGCATAGAATGTATACTTCCCAAATTTTTGAACGTTATTTGATTAGAAGGAAGAGGTTTCATTGTGGTTGTGTCAAAATTATTTTGAGTTGTCCGTGCATTGAAAAAATGTCTTTGAGTTGTTCAAACGGCAATCATGTACATTGAAAAATTTCAAATCAAGCTAGTAGGTAGTTGATACATTGTTTTAATGGAGTAGTAGAAAGCCAAAAACTTTCTTTCCCAAAAATTAATCACTCTTAAAAATATAACCCTTTCAATTCAAATTGTTTTAATATAGTTTCAGATAGATCTGTTTCCGAAAACATGTTGAATGACCAGTTGAATCAACAGAACGAACGTAAAGTGACAGCTGTTGACAGCCTAGTGGTGAATTTTGAAGAAGGTATGCAACTTGTCAAGTAATTGTAACGAAGAAAGCAGAAGCAATAGTTGATTTTGGAAAAACTTGAGTTATATTTGTCGTATTTTATGGTTTCGTTGAGATTTTCGAGTTGAATGTTTGATTCAATATTTTTTGAATTCTTACGCCTAGTGACTACAAAAGTTTAGTATGAATGAATTGTGAGCTTCCCCGCAAGTGCAGCTGGTTATCGTTATTTTACTTTTTTTTAGCTAATTGTATACACACGTGTAGAAATTTTATGAAAATTTTAGTAATTTTCGATGCTAGTCCATGAATGAAGCAAGCAGAAAACGTTGAATCTGTATCGTTAGACAATTTAACCATGTCGATATGGTTGAACTATTAATGAATAATTAACATTTAATTAACCACTTTTTTTGATCGCTGTCATTTGGCAACTTGGATTTGATTATCGCATTTGAATTTTTGGTTGTCAGATTACAGTCAAAATTTGATGATGAATACTGTGTATATGGTATTGAGATGAGTTTATCCCATTAATATATCAAATTATTCGGAAGCATTAGACTTTGCAGCAAGAAATAGTTTTTAACAAATATTGCCTGACACATAGTTGTTGAACAATTATGTCCTTCTCATTTAATTCGACAACTATCATAGAAATGAAAGTTTTTGAAGGGGAAAGTTGAATAATGAGATATTTTTCAGTACAAAATAGTTTATCTTAAAGGAATAGATTCTTTATTGAAGGACCAATGTAAATCACGTTTCCCAACAATGAAGTGCAAAACACCTGTGATGCTAATTCGTTTATTGGAAAATAAATTGAGAAATGTTTTGTCATTTGGACGGACATTACTTAGGTATTATGTAACTACCACCCAATGCATTTGCTGGTGAAATTGTGATGGCTGAATTTTTTATTAGGTCTTCATTTTAAGTGAAGTTTTTTTATTTGATGTTAAGGGTGCAAAAACCCTTTGTTCTCAGGATCTCAGGAATTATCGATTGTAGGATAAAATGAGTTACTATATTTTTCACCACGATAATTCTTTAAAAAAAAAAAGGTTCAGACTCTTCTTTCTCAGAAATTACAGTTTCTCAAAACTTTGGAAGTCTAATCATAACATTAATTTATACGAATTCTCAGATCTACCATGAAATGGGCAGTTACCCATTATTCATTTTGAAATTTTCCTCGAAGCACCACCCATGCTTTTTTAGAGAATTCATTCATTTGCTTTTTCAATTTGACATTCAGTTGGAAAGCATAAATACTTGTATGTGATAACTGACTAAAATATTGGAGTCAGGCTGAGCTGAAAAATGTTCAACATTCGGATACACCAATAGGATATGTCAACTAAAAGAAAAAAATCTGAGCATATATCATGTCAAAAGTGACATTATAAAAATTAAGGAAATGCCATCGATTAACAGGACATGCTTAAATAATGAGTAACACAAAGTTGAGTCAACATAAGAAGTAAATGAATAAAATTAGCATATAAATTCATTAACACTATTGTAATTTTCCCAAACCTTACCAAATAAGTTTATTTGGTGAGGTTTGGGAGTTTATTTGAGATTAAAAATTCTGGACTTCAAAAATAATCACTACAAATTATTGCAGAACAGACAAAAAGGCACAACTGAGTAAAATAGCATACCACATGTGGGATTAATATGTTCTTCTCCATAAAATGCATGAATAACACTCATTCATGTTGGAATTCTGTATACAAAAAAGTTTCATGAACTCACATTTCCCAATATAGATTATATTCCATACTAGATGTGTTTTTCATGTGTGATTTTTTTCACAATATTATACTGTTTCATCTATTTATCGAATAACATTGACCTGTTCTGCAATTTACTGTAGGGTCCCGATCAATTTTGTCTCAGTATCTTGATTGACAATAACTACAACAACCAATAATGATGAAAACTCTGATCCTTTGAACTATTTGAGTTCATGTTCAGTTGTAGAACAATGACAATAGCCGCCCTGTTATCTAGATGAATATATAAGCATAATATTGTGAATAAGGTCCACTTAAATAAACACTATTAGTACTTTACACATATAAGTACAGTGTACAAATATATTGGAAATGGTGATTTTTACAATGAAAAACAAAAAATTATTTTTGTTTCATATTCATGATGAATAAAGTTATAATCATTTTATAATATTTCAAATGTTATATATTTATATTTTTTTAAACGGTAGGAAATTTTTTGATGAACAGTAAAAGCAAGATATATTTTTTGTAGAGAAATATATAATATACTATTGATAGTTTGGAAGTAGATGTTTTTTGCTCTTTCAACATCGAATGAAAAAAATTCGTACCTTTCAGAGGTAAGATCTATTCAAAAATTTTGGCAACTGCAATTTCATCAACACACAGAACACAGTATTGTTAGAAGCGATAGTTTGTCTTGATTGAAAGCACTTATTGCCGGGAAACTCTGATATATTAATGGGTTGCACTCATCACTGGTCTCACCATTATTTTCGTTAAAATTTGTTTGTTGTCAATTTCAGCACTTTAATTTTATTAGTAAATTACAGTCTCCGCAAGTGCAACTTATATATCATTTTTCTAATAAATAAACTCAAATTTATACTATTCCACTAGCCTTAAAAGGTAATTCCTTTTCATTAGTAATGTACTAATATATTGTGGATTGACTTTATCGAGTCTTTGCCGGATTGACTTTTTTCTAAACCTAATTTTGATAGGTTACTTTGGCTTTAGGCCATGCTTTTGACGGACACTGGTTTATAATATTTGATAGAGCCAATCCATGATTCTCAACATCGCCTTCTCACATAATGGGATATCATAGCATGTCATTATCAAAATATTTGAGTTCCTCGATTGAATCTCTATAGTACTTGATGTATAATTAGAGAAAATCATGTACTGTTACAGCTCAAGAATGCTTTGTCGGAAATGAGAGTTTCTTTTGATTATTGAGGTTATAGCAATTTTAGTGAATGGTTTTTGAAACTGTACTAATGTTGGTTTGAATTGTTTATCCGTGAAATTGTTCAAGTATTTTAGGTGTTTGGAATTATTGCAGCTAAAATTCCTTTGTGATACCAATAGTTTATTTTTATTTTGAAATCATGTTAGTAAAAGGCGAGGTGCATTCTTGTGGCATTAGATATTTACATTTTTTAGGGGTTTGGGAGTGTTCAGCATTAACATGTCTACTTAAATATTTATTCTAAGTGTTTTACTGTCTCTGTACACACTGCAAAACCATCCTCGAGTTAGATTTCTAGACAGTTTTGCCCTATGTACAAAAATTTGTTTTTATTTTCACAAATGTATTTAAGACTTGTTGAATTTTTGAGTTGAATTTTTTTGTTGGCTGTTGAAATAAGTATACTTATTATCGACAATTGAATAGAATTTAATTTCATTCGGTCATTTTTGATGTTGACAGTTGAATTTATTTTGTGTAATTTTTTGGAATAAAATGTTTTTTTCTATTCAGTGTCTTTTATTTTCCATCAGTCTGCAAGAATGCACCTCTTGATAATTTGAAAACCTTGTTTGAATTGGTGTATTCTTGCAGAGTCTGATAATGAATCTGGTCCTTCTAATTCACCTAATAAAAATGGAAATCGAATTGTAACAGTAAAAACTTTGGAGGAAATCAAACTCGAAAAAATTCATGCAGAGGCCGCAGCATATTATTCTTATTTTGGTGAGTGATCATAAACAACAATCTTAAAATAAGTTTATTTCAGATGCCTACATAAGTTGTTATATTTTAAGTCTGATAAGTTGGTCTAACAAAAACTTTTCACTTTACTACTAAGTTTGACAGTTCTAGTCGAATCAATATGAGCCATATTTTTTTGCTAGGATTATTTTGATATTATTTCAATCATGCTTTCTCATGCAATGTTATCATACATCAAATTGCTAAAAACATGCTCTCAGAAGTATGTTGTCGTTCTCACAAAATTACTGCATAATCTCCATAATGATTTATTACAAGGAAAATTAAGGTTATATTTGATATCACTTCCAAAATACAAATCATCAAATTATAAAACAACAATAAAAATTAATTGGCGCTCCAGGGGACTTCATTGATTCCAGTGGCGCATTCACTTTTTCAGCTGCAGAAAAACCTGCTGCACCACATCATCTGAAGATCTTGATCTCTCTTATAAAACAAAATGTAGGGTGTCTCCAATAAATTTACATCGCCAGAACACTTAGTGACACTATCTTCAAACTTAAACCAGTTCGTTTAAGTCTTTGACCAAGGCGTAATAATGACCAAATTCAACGCTAGAACCACAGTGAACAATGACTGCATGAAGATTATAATAGTAGTCTGCTAGATTAGTGTTCATCTATTTCGAGCCTTGGTAAGAGTTTGGTGCTTCCATCAGAGGTTGAGTCATGTTTAACATCAGTGTTACTATTAGATTGACTGGTGCCTCAGCTATACTTGTTTTCTTATAACAGTCAATTAGTTGGGCGCATGTTTGGCAATACATCTACATACAAAAGTGGTGAAAAATCATATATAGAGAATTACAGACCCATATCTATTTTATGGATGTTTTCCAAAATTTTTGAGATTATTTTATATAATTGCATATATGCTTCTATTCAACAGCAACTATCTCAACATCAACATGGATTTGTTACTGAGTGTTCTACTGTTACAAATTTAGTCATTATTACTCAATTTATTTCCGAGGCATTAGATAACAATGGCCAAGTTGATGTTATATACACGGATTTTTCTAAAGCACATGATAAAATTGCTCATGGTATTTTGCTCAATAAACTGATGAGTTTTGGTTTTTCGAATACTGCTTGTCAACTGATGCAATCCTATCTGACATGTAGAAAACAATTCGTCTCCTATAACGGTTATAAATCTAAAACATGTATAGCTTCTTCTGGTGCGCCTCAGGGCTCCAACCTAGGTCCTCTTTTGTTTTTATTATTTATTAACGACTAATGTGAAAGTTGAGCTTGTGAGCGGTTATGCTTCGCGGATGACTTGAAATTATTTTCTATAATTAAGGAAGTAGGTGATTGTGTAAATCTTCAATCTCGATTAGAATTTCTTGTTGCTTGGTGTAGCAATAATAAATTGAAACTCAATGTGGAGAAATGTAAAGTAGTGAGTTATAGTCGAAAAAAAAGAGGTGTATACATTCCGTATGTAATTCAGGATTCAGATCTGCTGAGATGTAATGAGATCAAAAACCTATAGGGGTAATATTCGATCATAAATTAACATTTGGTAGGCATATTTCACAAAAAGTTTCAGAATCCCTCAGAGCTTATGGTTTCATTGTTAGAAATTGCAGAAACTTTTATAATATTAAAGCCATGAAGCTGTTGTATTTCACCTACGTACGTTCGAAGATAGAATATGCAAGTATCGTCTGGAGTCCATTCTATGAGATTCATAACATAGCCATTGAAAGAGTGCAAAGAAAGTTTTGTAAATTTCTAATTTTCAAAATAGATGGTTCTTACCCAGAAAGAGGTATTAGTAATGATGTCATATATGAACGTTTGAGACTTTTTAGTTTAGAGCATGTTTAGAAAAAATGTGCGTCGCTCATATTTTTATTCAAGTTAGTGAATGAGAGAGTTGACTGTCCTAAAATTCTTGAACAAATTAACTTCAATGTATCACGGCCAGCTTCACGATCTCAATCCATTTTTAGACCTCTCGGAACAAGAACTAACATTATGCTCAATTCCCCAATATATGTTATGTGCACAAATTTCAATAGCATTTGTGCCCATGGTGATTTATTCTTCACTAACCTTCATAACATTATTAGAATTGCTAACATGTACTTGAAGTAGGTAATTAGAATTAGTTTTTCTTTTTCATTCATTTTATTTTTCGTTTATGGTTAAGTATTGTGAATAAAATTTTATATTGTCCTGTAAATAGGTAACTGTTGGACAATAAAGCTATTATTATAATACAGTCGATCATCACCTGTTGAAAGTTCCATTTTCAGATGATTTAACAATAAACTTTGCACGGACTGGTTGTTAGTGATATTTATTACTAAAATTTGAAATAAAACTTTGAAAAGAATAATTTTCTATTTCAATTTTTGTGGAAGCACACACACGCATCAAATTGTCATAGATACAATAAAATTAATATGCGTGCTTTGCAAAATTAATGACAGAAATTGAAATAATTTCAAGCCAAAATATGGCTATGAAATGAAGATATATTGACTAGAATTACGTGGACAACTTTTATCTACTCAGTCAGGTTCATTTCTCTTATGTCAAAGTAATTCAAACTAGGATTCATCTGTAAAAATATGGAATGTGCTATATACGTGGGTGACCTGAAAAGTTCCCGATCTGACAAAGATACAAGACATTTTTTCAGTATTTTTTATTTTTCAAAGTAGTCTTCTTTTAACTCTACACACTTCTGCAAACGATGCTCTCATCTCCCGTCCAAATAGTACTCGGCGTTTTTCTCTGCAAAATAATTGTCCACGAAGGTGATTACCTCTTCATTTGACGAAAATCTCTGTCCTCCGAGACGAGGGAATAAAAAAAAGTCGCTTGGGGCTAGACCTGGTGAGTAAGGCGGATGGTCAAGCAGTTTAAACCGTAATTCGTTGTCATCACTTTCCCAGCCGAAAAAACAGTTTTTGCTTATTGATCGAGTCCCAGGCACACTGTTGTTTGGGTCAGATCTTTCCTGCACTGATGAGAGGTAATACCCCGAAACTGGTCTGTAGGTGATGTACTCGACTGATTTCAGTATGGTACAGTTGCTGGATTAAGGAGAAACATCTGCGAGACCCACCACTGTGAGGTATCTTTCATAAATTTCTGTGGAAGATAATTCAATTTCCAGCGTGGTGTTAGCCAGAGAAGTAGTTATTTTCAAAATTTCATTTAAAAATATTTATTTTCTCATATGTTCGTATCTTTTCCTTATTTTGACTACTAAATTCATTCAAGAATAAAATACTTTTATTTCAAAAAGTACAACAAAATTTGTATTACTCATGTATGATATATATTTTTTCATTAGGTACATATGCACAATCAAATCACTGGCACAATTTTTCTCAAATTGCATTGAAGTTCATTGCAGCTAATAACTTCACAATTTATGTTTCTAACATGATGGATGTGTCTATTCCACCAGTGACTGAATAGGACATTTGGTGGGAATTGGTTAGGGTTAGGACGATCGATCGATCCTAGCCTCCTCATTCTCCACACCTTATACCACTTGATTTTTCCTACGGGGATATTTGAAACAAAACATGTTAGTATTGAATGAGAAGGTTGAAATACGATTATTTATTTGTATTTGTTCAGTTGTCTAGGTTGGGAGACAGTTTTGGTAGGTTTATTCACTAAGATATCTTCTATTTGAAGCATCTTGGGAATTTGAAATCAAAATTTCATACTTCATATGCATATCATCATAAGTAATGTATATGCTTTGTTGAAATATACATGCGAAATTTTTTAACGCTGTTAAACATTGCAATGGAGTTGACGTTAACGTTTAGTTGAAGAAATATGAATTCTACAAACTCGCTTCAATAAATATATCATCATCGCTAAATAAATATATCATCATACAGGAGTAACTCAAATTTTTCCAAAAAAAAAAACAATACAAAGAGTATAACTTTGAATTCTGTATTAATTATTTTGTAATATGCCCTGTATGCCGTTTGACTTAAATGCATTATATATGGGCATTTAATTGGTATTAACCCTATATGTTATCCAGAAAGCAAAATAAATGAATAGCAGGATTTAACATGTATGGTTGGGTAGATAAAATCATCAAAAATAACGGGTTGAAATAATTGTCATTTTGAACCCTGGAAACCATCTAATAGATCAAAAACACTGCTGTTTCGCCTTTTTTTTTTAAAGGAAGCCTTAGCAAAATAACAAGTATAGTTCTTTTAGCATTATACTTGTGGCAAAATATTAGATTGGCCTGATATACCCAATTAAGAATTCAATATGGCAAACATTTTAAATATTTGTTTTCGTTTCGCCGAAATCATCCTGTCTGCAGAAACCTTTTATTAGATCTGGTACATATATTTATTTTGATAATAAAAATCTACCAACTCTATCGGGCGATGTGACAATCATTGTTAGTACGTAATTTCTTCATCATGATGTCCATGTCATTCAACCATACTTTCTTTATTTTAACTTTTTTATTTAATTTTGTCAAGAAGAGGGAGCAGAGAAAATTTTTGTGTGTGCTTTTTTGTTTATAAAATTGAAAATGTGATAACATGATTATTTTTGCAATGATTCATTTATGAATTCAGATCCGATATTACGCGTTTGAAGTCTAAATTTCGACTTCACTCGGAATTTCCACGAAATAGATAACAATATTGGCCCTTCTGCTTTTCCGTATACATCTGGCAACGCTGCTCGTACTCTGCAACCAATCATTTTACTATTCCAAAAATTAACCAATTTGAAATTGTCATTTCTCAAGAGTAAATCGTATAAATTACGAATTCATCTATCAATGGCGAATTTTTGAAAGAAATATAAACAGTTTCATTATACCAAATAAGCAGAAGATCAACAAGTTTATAAAGTAAATTAGCGAATGGAGCTGGAGCTGTCAAACAGCTCTCTAGAAGTGAGTTCAGAACTTCCAGCTATAGGTATGCTTTCCTAAATATTTTACTAGTTCTAATTGCTTTTGGCATAAAGATATGTTGTTGAATATTATATACATATAACTATGATAGATTTACATATATTGGAATTTCAATTTTGATGTATTGGTTGTTTTAATGAGTCTTTTTTAAATTGTAATATCTCGGTGAATACTGATTTAATTTAATAGAAATAAGCGCCATTTGAACCAGTGCACTTTTGCCAACGTAATAGATAGATAGATAGATACATTTATTTCAACAGAGTATTTTATAATCATTCACAGGAGTGGCAGAAAATTTTTGTCTGAGAAATGCGTCAATAGGAAAATTGTAAAAATATCAAATATGTGTACATATAAATCTAAAAATGAAGCATTCAAAATGAATAGCTTCAAGTTTCAAACACGATTACAAACATATTAAATAAAATGTGCGTCATATTGCGCATGATTACTGAAAGTAGAGATAATTTATATGAATACATAGCGCGATTTTGAATAAAATTTGGTTCATAAATTTCCACAGGCCAGAAAATATTCATCAGTATTGTCTAGACTACATAAGAATTTTCTTACAGATTTCAGAAATCTGTTAGTAACGACAATATCTTTTATGTTTTTCGGAAGATTATTATAAAATTTCATTCCAGCATAGATAGTGTGCTACATTCATGTAGGGATTTTGCATAGATGGGATATGAGAAGTCTTTTTTTTTTATTACTGAAAACTGAATAAATTTTATTGCAGACCAAACCCACTCATCTCAAGTTGCAGAAGTCGGCGAGGACCTAAGACAAAGGATATTCGATAGAATGATATTGAACAAAACACTTCCTGAACGGATAGTGACCCTTCCGCAATCAGAAAAACCCAATATGACATTCATTACGACACTCAATCCACCAAAGAGAAGGCTTAGTAACGATGAGCTAGCAAATATTCTTGGTAGGTTTTTAGAATTTTTTTTTTATTTTCAATGTTTCAGTGATTAAAGTAGATGAACGTCACCTTGAGCAATATTTTTTTTGCTGCTTGGGATGAGCCTGTTTCTTCTGTTTCCTCCCATCTTTTTAAAACAATTTTGTTCTGTATACTGTGACAAATTAAAGAATTAACTGTCTTAAACAAATTTATTTCCAATAATATTTCACTAATCACAAACTAATTCATTTACAACACTTAGCAACTAACGCTTAATTTATTTCCACTATTTGAATCTCTTGTTTAGCCACTCGATTCACTTTCTGAACTGCCCTCTTGAGTCGGGAAGCCGGGCGTATATAATGTAACGGTCTTTCTAGAAATCTGTAGTCGGTTTGGTACTCAACAAGAGTTTTACCGGTGGTTGCATTATTTCGCGTTGATGTCATATGATTGTTCGCTGAGTCGGCCGTCATATCGGTCAGGGGCGGCTTTAGATTCGTTACAATACTAATTTTAGCAGGTTCTCTATTGGATACTTATTCAAGGCCGTAACAAGGATTCCATTTTGAGGGATTATAAATCATAATGCTACGAAACTTTTGTTACTGCAGGATATTCGGGGCCGCTACAGAAATATTTTCTTCAATGTCATAATCGAAAAATTATCTTCAGCAGAAATGATTTTTATAATGGTTGGATGGTTGAAGATAACTTAATTGAGCGAGAGAGGGCTGATGGTACACCGCTTATTTATTTATCAAAGTTTCAAAGCCACCAACGACTAGTCTCGAAGTCACTCTCACGGTTCATCAATTTCCCAACTGCAACCTGTGAGAATAGTGATTCGTTTATAGATATTATTTTTCTTGGCGAAAAAACTATGATTTCTACTTTATTAATTTGAGTACCTATCGAACGACTTGAAGTTGAATCAAATGAGAATTATTTATCATTCTGTTGTCGAAACTCAATGTTATGGCATAAGTGCGTGGGGAGGAGAAATCAGAAATTTAGGAACAGCCCAAATATACCTTTTGACGATATTATCCATCTAATTATATTATGAAGCTGAAGAGTTTCATATAATACAAATATTTTCTCAAAATTTTCTCTTCATTTTATATCAATATAAACATAAAAAAATTGAAAAAAATAATACAGTTTACTGAATATTACCATAAAGCAAATTTGATCATTTGCAATGTTGAAAGAAGAGAAGAATTGTTATTTAATATAACTTAGGAAAACTTGCTTCGTTTCATATATACAAAATATAACTATTCTATAATCAAATTGTAATAAGATGTGATCATTTTGATCAATACATGAAAAAGATGAGACAGCAGTAGACAAATGCTTTTGCGTATAATAATTTAAGGTAAAATTCTCGACCTAAGGTCTCGGGATTTCATCAAATTATTATTCACCCAAGCCATTTGATTAGCAAAATTTCAAAATCAAAACTTGGAGCTCTCAGGATATATCTATTGAATATTTTGTGTATTCTGCTGGTTTGGATGCAGAGTAAAAATTTTTGAAGGTGATACTTTTATTTTGATGATGCATTATTTAATTTGTAATAATATTATATTTGAAAATCGGTATCCCGTAATATAATATTTATTTATTTATATATTGAATTTTTGCAAAATATGTGGGTTAATAATTAAATTATTAATCAGTTTAAAAAGAAAAATTGTGGAGTGACAATCAGGACGGCAACTCAAGCTATTCATAGAATGTGTAGCTAACAATGCATCATGGTGAAATCTAATTGGTGGATAGATATTGTCCGATCTATAGGAGAGAAGTTTTAGGAAACGTCGTTGTACTGATTCAACTTTTTCTGTACTTGTGTGGAGTACTTACAAGAGAAAAATTAAAAAAAAAATCAAATAATCATTCTGAATCATTAACAGATGACTTTTTCCAATTACAATTCTCATTTTTTCCATGGGCCTTTTTTGCATTATAAAGAAACGATTCACAGACAGTTCAGTTTGCTAATTAATTTGTGTCTGTGTCAACGTTTTTCATGAACCTGTGTATGTATTTATATTTTATTTCGAATTTATTTACTTCACCTTTTTTGAACTCGGAAAGCCGCCCTAAATGTGAATACTTATCAACGTTGTTTTCTGTAGAGTGTTCGAAGCTACATTCTAGAATCCCATTTTAACATGTATGTCTTGTTCTTATACTTCAGAGTTCTGAAGATGAAACAAAGTGTCGCAACGTCGACATTTTTGCAATTGGTTTTCTTCAACATTTCGACCGAATTCCCGCCAACTTGACAATCGAAATCGTATTCAACGGTCGCCATTCAATTCGGTTGTAATTTTTGAAATCACATAAGTACATATATGAAATGGAAATTCAGTCAAAGAAAACCTGAAAAATCCAGAGAATTTAAATAGAACCAGTTAGTGCCAATCCTGCTGAACCATGAAATTTACCAAAAAACCTTTCTTGTTAGTATTCTCTTTCATTCCCTCTATGGAGTATGTTTCTTTGAATTATTATAAGTGCAGCTATTATTTGCATTGTTATTTTCATATATTACTGAATAACTTCATCTATTTACAGGTGATGAATCTCTTAGAAAAAAACCAAGAATTGTCTTTGACCGCGAAGCCGAAAATCTTGAAGTAACGTTAAGTAAAAAACCCGCTAAGGTATACTATTCACTTGCACACGACCCGAATAGGAAAGTCACTAGACGGAAACTGCCAATCAATTCTCCAAATTTATCCGATATTAAAATAAAAACTTTAGCCGAAATTCGGGCCGAAAAGCAAGCCAGGGCTTTGAACGAAATAAACACAGAGGAAAGTGACCAAGAAGTAACTAGTACCAGCATGGAAGAAAACCCTGTAGAAAACAACCACAAGGAGAATTCGGAGAAACACACCAAGAATGCCACTCTTAGGAAAAAAATTAAACTCCGCAGGCCGGTACCCGATGTAGCATCAGAGCGGAATGAGGAAGAATCAGATGTTCTCAAAAATGATCAAATGGATACCTCAACGGAACTCTGCGACGCTGATAACTTTTCAGGAAAAGCGATAGATGAACATTTGTTGTTAGAAAGCGACGATGACGATGAGAGTGTTACCTTAAAAGTGGAGGAAGAGTTGTTGAATGATTTCGACGACTGAACTAGTTACCGTACTTTTACCTAATATGATTTCAGAATATATTTTAGATTTTATGATTCACGTTCCATATCAAAGTTTAATTTGATGATATTGAGAATAAACAAAAATTTTTAATTCGAAAGTAGTTTACCTCAAAAGATTCAGAAAAGTTTTCCAGCAAGAAAGTGAGGAATGACATACACTATGAAACATCTATTCAGTTCTATCTTCAGGAAAAATTAACAATCATATACAATATAAATAAAAATGGAGATATGAAATACAGAGAGCTCAAATGGGCAGAAGGTAATTGGTGTATATTACTGGAGTTTTATCCCAAGACCAAACCGTTATTTTAACTCCTCGATACGTGTTTCGATCACCAAGTGATCATCTTCAAGAGGAAGATCAAACTAAACATACTTACAATGTTATCCTTATTTATACCATAGATACCTCTTCTAGGTATAGTTCAAGTAAAACATATAGTGCCCCCTACCTTCCAGCAGTTCCCCTTTAATAACACACACAACGGCGGTACTCATCGCTACATTCTGTTGGTCACCGTAACATGACTTCAAATTTAATTTTATGACTCTTCAGCCAATCATAAAACTCGGTTAGTAAAAATTATCCAATACAAACCGCCAATTCTTCAGTCCACGTGGACTAATTCGTTGCGGCATAATTCCTTTGTAATGGTTTTTTTGGCCTTTGACATCGCCGACACCTTTAAGATTACTATATCAGTTACTTCGACTATACCTGCGTCTTAAGTGTTTTAAATTGGTGTTGGAACAAAACTCCAGTAATATAAATACAAACACAAACATATTAATAAACATGAATATTGAGATGTTTCATTTCAAGGCAATTTTTTTTTTCATCAGAGAATCTGATACTATATAGGGAAAAATAATATTGCTTTTTGGAAAAAAGTCTAATCGAATTAAATTGGTCCTGGTTGTTGAAAAATGAAATGGTAAAAAACTGTCAGAAATGTAAAAACATAAATAGTGAGTAACTACTTAAAGAGGACATTATACTTCATTTTCAATGTATTGACAGTCTCATTGACATTGTAAGTATTAACAAATTTATCAATCTTTCAGTCCAAATTATCGAAATATTGGAATTATAATGTTGTAATACATTTACACACACACACACCCTCTGTGACGATGATTTTTCTCAAAATAAATCTCACTTTTCTGTAAGATTTATTTCATATTGCCCAAACTTCATAATTTTTTTATTCAATTTAATTTTAATATACTTTCACCAGTTATTTCAAAAAATATTTTAAATTTGTTTTCATCAATAATGCTGATAAATTATATTTTGATTGAGACCAAAGGCATTGTAGTTCTAATAGTGTTGAAAATGTGTACATTACAATACATTTTCGTTGTACCCACCTGTTTAGATAGATAGATAGATAATTCATTGATTTTTCAGATGTATAAAACAATACAAATAATATAAGTCTAAATTGCAAGTTCACAAACGATATATTTATAGATATAGAGTTATGATTGTAAAATTGACATTGAAATAACACTAAGAGGAAACTTAAGAATAAAAAAATGAAGTTTTTTTGTTTTTGTTTATACATTTTCACATGCGTACTTACATGTACACGCACATACACACACATACTTCAATATCCAGGTATAACTAACATTCAATGATTTGTTTTGCATTGAATAAGACAGCTATATACTCGTCAGTAGAGTAAACACAATTTGTAATCAACAGATATTTCAGATACTTTTTGAACAAATCTTGATTTCGATAGAGTTTCTGCTTGACCTTTTCAGTCTGAATCTATTTGCCCTCAATAAATCACATCCTCTTGTCTCATGGTCGTGAAAATCACAATTTGTTTCATGTTAATTTATTTTTATGAATATCTATCAGTAAATGATATAGTTAAATAGAAGGTACCGCCGTTATTATCAACAACAGGAAATGAAGTTTACAAGATTCTAAGTAACCAGTCCCAGATAATAAATATCCTTACGGCTTTTTTGTAACATAAATATCCTATTTGTGTTAGTACTATTCCCCCAGAAAATTGTCCAGAGATATGAGAATAGAAAAAAACGTAGTATGCTGAAAATGGCGCATGTTGAGAGTGAGTTTCTCAATTTTCTAAGTTTAATGCAAAGTTGTTTAATGTGCTCTAACCAGTTCAAAGTATCATCTAGATTTATGCCTAAGAGTTTAGCACTGTGTCCCATGACCCAAGAGGTGTTTGAAGTAAAAATGATGTTGAGTTTTAGTTTCCTTCAACATTAGATTATTTCTTCTAAACCACATGTCAGTATTCATTTGAATTTGATTTTTATCGCGCACCAAATTACCCTCGATTTTTCCGGATGTCGTGAGAGTAGTTCAAAATGAGTTTCATGAAAAGGAATACCAGTGTTTTTGGCCTGTTCGTCATTGATAGAGGAACATAACGGAAATTTGAGGGTGATAGATCCTCAGATATTCTCACACCTATGTTAACAAACTATGTATTGAACTCATTCGCAGTTAACTCACTTTCACGATTTTTTATACCTTTTCAAATATTTTCAAAATAAATTAGTCTTCAACTATCCCTAAATTTATAATAAACTCATCATATGAACATCATTTCGCTGCAAGGTAAGCCTGTTAGTGTCTGTGTCATCATTTGTACATTCAAATATTATTTTTCATCCCAGTGGGGAGATTTTTTAAATTTGTCAAAAACGTTCCTGAGAGGTACTTTTACGTTTATTAATCGTGTAAAACAATCAAATAGAAAGCCTCAGTTGAGCTTAGCTCATAAAAAGACTCAAATCAACTTCATTGAGGAAATTTTCAAACTGTATTAAACCAGTTTTGGTGACGAATTTTTTTTTCAGTATTAATTTATTGTTATTATAGTGACCTAGATAAACATGTGTCAATAATCTTTGTGGGGTATATCAGTTATTATATTGTCAATACAACTTTTTGCATGATTATTAACTCTAGTGAAATCAGAAATTGTGAATTCCTGTCCAAAAGAATGGAAAATAGAAAGCAAGCTAGATCTGTTCGAACTAGGTGTCAGAAAATCAACATTGAAATCCAACATTGAAATCCATCTCAAAAACCTTCATTGTATTTATATTGTTGAAAACAATTTCATTGGAAATGGGACTTTTTGCTGATTTTATTAGGACGTTTACACATTCGTTTTTGAATTGTAATTGAGTTGAAAACAATTCGCTCTGCTGCACTGAAAGCCTATAAGTAGAGATTTTTCATATTGTTATTGTTGTAAATCATGCCTGAAAGAAAATAACGCCCGCCGCCACTGGTAGTCATAAACCAATGGTGACGTAGCTAAGAGCGCGCGAATGTACGATGATTCCCCGTCACTCGAGAAGCAGCGAGAATAATGCTACCGATTTCGACGGAACTTCGGCAAAATTTCTACAGCATTCGATTACGATATTTAAACGCTAGCTGCGAGCAAATCGAGATAGTCAAATGGACGTTACAGTGCGGTACGCGAAGTGATCTAGTAATGCGATAGACATTCAAATAATAGTTGAACTTTAGTTGAAGTGTTTATTGTATTCAAAGAGAAATAAAGTTAAGTTTGATTATTCAGTGTAGTGAATTATTGGTCAACCCACGGGGAAAAACGTAACATTATAAATTATGTCCTGAAAAAAATAACGCCGGCCGCTGCTGATCGACTGAGACTTGGTTGAGTTCATGCTCAATCCCACCTGTGTTTCTCAATACTTCCTAGATGTCGCGTGTCTTCAAGAATATTTTTATGGGATTCCGATATCTTCCATTATATAAGCACTACCAACATGCAGAAGAAGCTAGTCTAGTTCGGTAAGTGCAGGCAAATTAAGCAAATGGAGCGATAGACATTATTAGTTTGGAATTCAGTTAGAGTTTCTGTATTGACAGTGTAGTAGTGAAAAGTTGAGTTCAATTATACATCGAACCCACAGGGAAAAAGTAACAATATTTTATTTACTTGACGATTTATTAGGAGGATCTGGGTTAATGAAAAAAGATGTAATTAACATATTCATTTATTCTTTTTGTTCTAAACAGTCAAGAGTAATTATCTTTGTTTCGAGAAATAACTTTTGAAGCAATAATCGATAAAATACATAAAATGTATAATAATATATAACAAGAGTTATAGTAATCTCATACTTGATTCAACAAGTGGACATAGAAATACTCTCTTTATTGTAACAATTGATATAATATTGAAATAATCCTGCCGACTTTGCGAAAAAATTGCTGGATTTTTATAAAAATCACTTAGTACCTTGATTCACAGTTATTAGTTACAAATTTTGACTCTACCACTTTTAAATTGAAAAATAAATAAAAAGACTAAACATTGGGTAGAAGTTATGTTGAGTGCCATCGTCACATCATCGTGAGTAGTAGCACTGTATATAAAGAAAAATAACTTTTCTGCTTCCCATTATTGGCACTTTTTGTACTTAGATGGCACACCGTAGTTCCCAATACCTAATTGCTGGCAAACTTTTCATAATGATTTTTGAGTATTGCATCTGCAACTGTTTATCTTGAGTGAATGTTTTATCGCATGGAGCTAGCGACAGTTCTGTTGAAATCATGCAAGAACTTTCAAAAAATTTAAGAGATGAATCCAAAGATAATAGAAGTTAAACTCCTTACACGAATACGCTACTAATGTAAAACAACTTTACAAAAGTCGTTTGAACTAAATCGATAAGAGCCTACTTTAGTTGTCTTTCAATGCCAGTTCTCTTGGAACGGACGGGTCAGGAAGTTTTTCGTAATTGGGCTCTACTCCCCATATGTCTTTGCCGTATTCTATTATGGTGCGATCACTTGAGAATTTTCCAGAGGTGGCAATGTTGTTGATTACCATTTCCAACCATTTCGCTTGATTCTGAAAATGAAAACAGATTTTAGAATCAAAGCTTTAGACAAATTCATGTCTAGAATTTGATTATAAAAAAAATATTCATTGACTACCTGAAATTGAGAATTTAAAGAAAATGTTTCAACACTAAACTCAAACAGAAAAATTATATAAGGTAATAGGTAAGAAACAAATTTGGTGCAGATTTCTATGATTTTTTTATTGATATGTTTAAATAGTCCTAGTTCAATTCAAGTCTTCTGGCATTTCATTTTAATAACGTTATAATTTCATTCAAATATCATGATAATGCACGTTTCATTCTTATCTCTATTTGTTTTATTGTTTATCAAATAAGAATGTTGGTTTTTTGTAGGTCACAATGCATGACTACAGCTTTCGAGTTAAATTGTAATATTACTAATGTGTGAAACTGTTGAGACGTTTCGATAGAACTAAATAAATAGGTTGGAATATCGAAGGAAGATTAGGGATGTGTCTCTTTTCTAGACAATTTGAAGAAGTTTGACCGATTTAGCCTTCTTGAATTTTCTGAGAATAAAATATGTCAGAAACACACGGCAAATTAATTAGAGGTGCAATACAATAACCCAAAAATTACAAAAAGATGAATTCATCACTTAGAAGTTATGCAAAACTTTGAAAAACTGAGTTTCCTTATGTGATGCAATTGGCCGATACTTGACAAAAATCCGTAACATATGAATGTGTGTGAATGCTCCCAAGGAAGCTATTGTATAGTTAAACATGAGTTGAAGTTTTTTTAACCACTGATGATGCCTGTCGCAGTAGCAGACGAAACTTTGGGTACTTCAGGTTCCACTGGACTTTGGTTGTGAAAACCTATGTTTTTATATCACCATAAAGTATTACTTGAACTGAGTTTTTTTATTCTATTGCTTTTCATACAATTTTCGAAGTGAAATATTATAAACTGTTTTTGTTTCTTAGAAATAATGATAATATAGTAAGTTTATTACTTTTTTGTTTAACTTGTTTTCCACAGTTGCTTTACGGTTTAAAATTTATTTTAAGCTTTTCTATTAGATTTTCTCACATATACACCCTATAAATGGGACTATAATGGTTTTGTTTCGTTACCACAACTTTGAACTTAATGCAACTGCCCTGACAAGAGAAGCCTGGGTCGGAAATGACGATGGCATCTCCCGTTTTCAAAAGCCATCTATTGGATTTACAGAAGAGTCTAACCAAAAATATCTAGGCTCCCAAAGAGGATTTGTTGCAAAGAATGTGAATGCTTTGTGTTTAGGCTCTGGTTTCGACTAGTTACTTTGCAGTAAAAGCTGCAGAGAAAGACAGAAAGTGAATATCTTTCGGTGGTGGACCTTGAACCTTGACTTTAGAATGAAAACTACCTTTGAAAGCCTAGTTTATCATTGATATTCGTGGTTTGTCTCTTGTCGATCCCATAGATAGTGTCGTCAGAAGTTTGAAGGCTAAGGTAATATATTTATGAATGAATATTTCTCGTATAAATAAATCTCGGTATAAACCATTGTAGTTTCTTAAGATTGAATAAGTAAAAAAATGTATATACAAACATACATACAAAGGCTTCTAAAGTTAAAACCTTTCCTTTTAAAAAATGAGAAATAAAAGTTTCTTTTGGACTTTGCCTTAGTGAGAGAGTTAAAAGTAATACTATAAAGTTCTTTTTTATCCTAGTATTTGCAGAATTGGAAATCAGATGAGAGACCCCTGCAATCATTAAGAAATATGATGTTAATAAAATTTGAAAATATATTAAGGAACACTTTTGAGGTTATTCGACAAGAAGATTGAATGTTCTTATATCTTATTTGATAAAAAAATATCAACCATGTTTGAACAACTTCTGTAAACAAATTTTATTGTATATTAGTTAAAGATAATTATTTAAAAGGAATTTCCTGTGTTAATAAAGCATTTTTGGCAAAAAAATACTATTGTAGCCAAGGCTTGGCTTGATGAACATTATTCGGACTTTGCATCAGGAAAATCAACAGTTGACAAGTGGTTTGCTAAGTTTAAACAAGGTGAAATGGTCACTGAGGACAATGCACATAATGGATGGCCCAAATAGGCTGTTACACAAAAGTATTTTGGTGCATCCTTTTCTCAAAATTTGTCCTTTACAATATTTTGGTAAGTAAACAAGTCACGTAAAACATTTATTTGAAGTAACTCCAGATTGAATAAGAATACACATCAACGATCACTTACCTCGTAGACAGCGCTAACTTCATCCTGCTTCTTGATATAAGCCTCGTAATCAGCCAACAGGAAAAACCTGTCATACTTCAACAAAATATCCGCCAAATCCTTAAACTCGTCTGGATTTCCTGGACTGAAGAAACCGTTCTCGATCTGATCGATCACCTGCTTCAACTCCGGGTTTGAGTTATAATAATCATAGGCATTGTAACCCTTCTTCTTCAGCTCTTCCACCTCTTCCACGGTCATGCCGAAGATGAAAATATTTTCGTTACCCATTTCCTCGGCCATTTCAACATTGGCGCCGTCAAGAGTACCGATGGTGAGTGCCCCGTTAAGCTGGAACTTCATATTGCCCGTACCGGAGGCTTCTGTTCCAGCTGTAGAGATTTGTTCGCTCAAATCAGCCGCTGGCATTATTTTCTCAGCCAGGGTCACCCGATAGTTCTCCAGATAGATAACTTTAAGTTTGTCACCAACGATGGGGTCGTTGTTCACAACGTTCGCGACCATGTTCACTAGTTTGATGATTTTCTTGGCTGTGTAATATCCAGGTGCAGCTTTGCCCCCAATCATGATTGTCCGGGGCGTAAATTTAGCCGCGGGGTTCTTCTTTATCCTATTATAAAGTGTGATTATGTGCAGACAGTTGAGCAACTGCCTCTTGTACTCGTGGATACGCTTCACTTGGATGTCGAACATCGATGAGGGGTTAATTTTGACGCCATAGTCTTGTTCTAACAGTTGAGCCAGTCTGAGTTTATTTTCCTGTTTGACTTTCATGATGGCGCGTTGGAAGTTGGAATCTTTTGCAAATTTTTTCAGTTTCTGCAGTTGGTCCAAATGGACAGTCCATTCGTCGCCGATTTTGTCGGATATGAGATCACTCAGGCCAGGGTTGCAGAGAAGCAACCATCTCCTGGGAGTGATTCCGTTCGTCTTGTTTTGGAATTTTTCTGGAGTCAATTCATAGAAGTCTTTGAACCTGGAATGAAAAAACTCATTTTGAATTTATTACAATTATTTCAATTACAGCATTCTAACATAGGAGGAATACAAATTTTTCAATGTATCTAAATTATTACATAATTTCAATTTCCTTGTGGAACCCCATAACGATTGTATGAGATATTGCATCTGTCTGACCTTTATTTACAGTTTTTTGTAGTTATTATAATAATAATAGTAATAATAATTCTTTGGTTCAAGTCAGACAATGAAATCGTGTAGGAAGTGTCAATACAAATATACATAATACAAATTAAAAAAGAGAAGAAAAGGGAAGACAAGCTCATAATCAAAAACTGAAATGAATATGAGTTATTTAAAGACTTCCTGCAAAGTATAAATAAATCTTTAAAGATCTTTTTCAAGACCTTTGAATGATGTGAAGTATGGTTATTTGGTTATATATCTTTGGGCCAATGTATTCTGGTTCCCATGACGTTACTTTCAATCTAGCTAAAGGTGCATGGGATGGCGGAAGAACTAGGCATCAGCTTTGATAGTTTAAAACGTATTGGAAAGGTCAATAAGCTCAAAAAGTGGGTTCTCCACAATTTAAAGAACAACTTGTGAGGAATCTTCCCAGTCGAAGACGTTGCACAGGTACCTGATAGTTTTACTTCAACTCTCTGAGCGGCATTATCTGGGTTAGTTGTTGTTTTTCCGTTGTTATATTATTTAATTCCATTTGTATTATTGTACTTGTTTTATTACAACAATTTTAATATTTTCATGCTTTTATCATTTTATTGTTTTGATGATTGTGGTCATGTAGAGTAAATATCTTACACAGATTTATGAACCTAATAGCTTTGTCAATAAGAATGATTGATTGATAGGCATTATGACAAGTGTTCCATAATTAGAAATAAATTAAATATAAGTACTTACAAATCACTTTTGATGATTTCAGAATGTATCCTGGCCACCCCATTCACTGCATGAGACCCAACAATGGACAAATGTGCCATGTTGACCCTCTTTTCACCATCTTCTTCGATCAAAGACATACGTCTCATTCTGTCTAAATCACCAGGCCATTTTCTTTGAATGTCTTCCAAATGAAAATGATTGATTTGGTAAATGATCTGCAAGTGTCTGGGCAAAATACTTTCTAGCATCGTAACAGGCCATCTCTCCAAAGCTTCTGGCAGGACGGTATGATTGGTGTAAGCGCAAGTTTTGACAGTGATATCCCACGCTTTCTCCCATGGTAAACCTGTTAACAACCACTAACGGTGAAAGAGAAAAATAACATTTGTGACTCATTACCTTCGATATCTACCAAAACTCTCATGAGCTCAGGGATGGCCAAAGAGGGATGAGTATCGTTGAGTTGAATGGCTACTTTGTCAGGTAAGAGGTCGAAATCGGTTCTGGTAGCTTCGCGGGTGCCAAACTTCGCTGCCTTGAACCTCCTGATAATGTCTTGCAGGGTTGCGGCACACATGAAGTATTCCTGTTTGAGTCGTAGCTCTTTACCCTCGAAGAAGTTGTCATTAGGATAAAGAACCCTTGATATGTTTTCGGCCAAGTTTCTGTCAAGCACAGCTTGGATGTAGTCTCCATCATTAACTTGAAAGAAATTATAAGCAAGTCAAATTAACATTCAATTCACTCAACTGATTATAAATGTATACACTGCGGGTGAATGAAGATGAAACAACTGTGAAGTCACACAGTTGGCATTTAGAAAAAAAATAAACAGACCAGTTTTTTCATTTGAGTGGCAAATCTGATATTGAAAGGGATTAGGGGTCAAAAGATATCTTGTGAAAGGTCATCGATTTGTCTTTTCAACACTTCCAACTTTTTAAAAATATTATAAAAAAAAATGTTATACTTGGCACAATTTTCATTGAATATTGCCATATTTGCTTGTACAATTTATTGTTTAGAATTCAATACTTGAAAGAAAAATTTACATTCCACTTATCTACATGTAATATCTCACAGTATTTTCACCTAAACTATTTTGAATTTTACTATGAAAACAATAGGTGCATTAATATTACAGCACATAGTCATTTAAGGTTTGAACATTCGGATGAGCATATTACTGAAAGCCAAATTTAGGAAAAAACGATTGGGACAAGGAAGCTGTAGAAGTTGCATTTTTTGGGCCATGTCAAAATTATTCTCAAGTTAAGTATCAGACAATTATTTGAGTTTCTGATATAAGCATACGAGCTTTAGAGAAATCTTAAAATCACATAAGTTCCACCCCTATAAAGTTATCTTGTGCATGAAATGAATGAAGGTGACTTCGATAGATGTTTACAAATTTAATGAGTTTCTTGTGAATAGATAATAAATAACCCGAATTTGTTATTCAACATCTATTTTTCAAATGACAATTTTTTTGATCTAGATTCCTAATTGCCGTAATTATTTGTATTGCTCAGAAGAAAACACATTCAGTTCATTAAGTTCACACACAAAATCCTGAGAAGCTCAAAATGTGGGCTGGAATTTATGGCAACTGTGTTGTTAGTCTTTTTTTCAACTAGAAAGTCTTGCGGGAAAATGTATATTGTACAATCGTTACCGTACATTCTAAATCAAGTAATCAAAATGTGAAGGAATTCACATTTTGACAGGCCCTCTTAATGTACCTTTCCTACAATTATAATAATAACAATAACATTTAAATTTTGGAAATAGTAAGTATATTTGGTAGGTCAATGTACTTAGGTATAGAAGAATGAAGCTGTGCTTAGAGAAAATGACTCCTTTTCCACAAAAATGGCATAACAAGAATTTTGATTGAAGGTAGACATAAATTAACTTTCTTCGAATTTACTTGTCATTAACTTTTACCTTTTCTCTCGATGTCTGCAATATCAAATTACAAAAAGTAGAATGTGTGAAAAAGGGAAATAGATTACTTTTCAATCTAGGTATAACTTGATACCTAATTAAAATTTAAGAGTTGGATTGAACCCCGTCGAAGGAGTGGAAGTGACAAAGTTCAAAATATGCCCAAAGAATTTCCGCTTCAAAATAAAAATGTATGTATCTGAACAAGTTTTTTCTAAAAGCCAAATACCGAAGAAACCAGCTCTGTTTCATTCTCATTGGCACTCCATGCGAAAACAATTACAGAATACTCACAGAACTTCAAATTGAAATCAACAGGGGACTTCGCAGACCACAATCTCAGAGTATTGACCACGTTATTGTTGTACCCAGGAATGGGGTTGTCGTAAGGCAAGGCAAACACCACCTGAGTATTGACCCACTTTTTACCTTCCGGAGTATCAATTACGTTGCCGTAAAAATTCACAGGCAACATGTATTCTGGTCGTGCCTTTTCCCAAGGATTTCCGTATCTCAACCAGTCGTCCGGTTCTTCTTGCTGTTCACCATTAATTATTTTTTGAGCAAAGATACCATACTCATATCTGATACCGTAACCATAGGCCGCCATACCTGAAAGATAAATAAGAATGATTGAATTCCTACTTCTGAAATAAAAATTATCATGCTTAGTTAAGATAGAAAAAGACATTTGGGGTTTACCTTTAATTCTGTTTTAGAGGTCTACCTGTAATTGTAGACAATATGTGTAATTTTTTAAATAACAAATACGATTTCGAAAAATGAGTATATCTTCATTCAACACTCTGAAGTTGAAAAATTATATAGTCCTGGATGAGTTGAACCAATAGATGCATATGATCGTTACATCATACATGATTGTTGTATTTTTATCACTCCAATATCAAGCTTTAATACATTATTGGTTATCACTTTATTTCATCATATTGGTGGTTAGGGATTTGAGGTTTGTTAGTAAATCTAATATATTATCAAATCTTCAGCAATAAGCGCTGATATTAGTAGCTCAAGATATCAGGCTTACCAGAAATTGATATGTATTATAAACCCGCCTATAACAGATCATTTCGAAATCATAAAATTTCATTGAGCACTCTGTTAGCGGTTTTGCATTTATAATGAGCATTTATTACATTTTAATATTAGGTAACAGAGTATAGACAAAACTATGAAGGATTGTCATGTACAATGTTGCATTATGGAAAGTATGAGGCGTGAATGAAAAACAACAAATGACTTTTCTCTGCGACATGGTCCTTAAGACGACTACTAATACTCTTGAAATATCTTTCTTGAAAAAACTTCATTTTGAATCAAAATATTAACAATTGTTCGAATTTCGATTTAGCTTCTGCTCTAAAACTGATCCATAATTATTTTTAGCATAAAAAAAGTTCGACCTCTTGCTTGCAAACACTTGACTATTTGAAGCAGCAATTACAAAATTTTCTGAAAATACCTGAGCATGACCAAGCTTTTTTCTTTTGTGGTTTCATTTATTTCATTAACAAACAATACAACATTTTGGAATTATTCAATTCTCAATTTCAAAACAAGAATGAAAAATATACTTGGAAATCATACTGAACATTGCATTCAGTAATTATATAATAATGGATATTCATAAATTATAAATTCAATTGTAGCTACAACTTCTGTTTTTGATATAATAATATTTCAGAGTATTCTTACTGTTTCCCTTAGTTGAATGTACAGGGTCCATTTGCATTTATTGATTTTTCAATAAATTGAAATATTTTTCATTCAGTGAATTATTTTCATATGTTTTCAAGATGAGATAAAAATGTATATATATGATGGAATCGGCGATACTTGATGAAAATCCATAACTAAGGTATTCTAAAAAGACAGTTTTACAAAAATTTCGTGCATGGCAATAAAATGTTTTTAGAATACATTATAAAAATTTATGCTTACTACAAAATAGTAGTTAATGTTTTAATAATATACAATATTTGCATTATATAAGGGTATAATTCATTTAGATGTAATATACCACATGTTAAGATAGGGATTAGCCCATTCAGATTTCTGGTTACAACAGATGCTAAGAAAGCTGGGTTGTCATATTTTGAGTTTTATTGTTTTATTACACTGTTTAGTAGTTCATGGTCTGGGATAGGGATCAAGTCTTTTGGATAAGCAACATCACAAATATATTTTTATGAAATAAAGATCTGAATTTTTGTTGAAAATGGTAACTTATACAAAAGAGAGAATTTCATGATGAATGACAAAGGCTAATTTCATTTTATCATAACATTTAAAGTTTCGGAAATGCTCCAAATATAATATTATTATATTATTGTGAGTTAAATGCAGATTAAAAATTGCCTCAGATCTTTTTGGTACACAATTTTTTAATAAACAATAGGGTTATCTCATTTTATGATATATATGTATGTTCCCAAGATATTTCAAGTGTAATTATTATCATTTCGTTACAAATTTTAAAATATTGAACAAGTATTTCTTCAATTATGCAGAAATGATTTTGAAAAACACAAATAATTGAAAAACTGTTGGGAGTAGTATTCAACTTGTTGGTATTATCAGATAGGATTTTTAATATAGAATATGAAAATAAACTAATAAGCATGGTGCTCCATTTAAAAAATCGAATAATCTTGAGTCAAGAGAGGACCAAAATCAAAGTAACATTTGAAGCGACCTATAAAATGAAGAAAATGGTGAACATACATTCAAATTTTTGAAGGAACAACTTATTTACAGTTATCTTGTGCAGAGCCTACATCACTCCTTATTTTTTCAAGAAATTCAATAACTGCATTGTGATTTGAAAAAAATTGTAATGGGTAAGCAAAGAAAAGAGTATTTCAATGAAAGAACAATAAAATGGTTGTTTCAAAAGGTATGTTTGTGCTATTGTGGAATAAATATAAAATACCTGTTCAGATTTTTGGTTACAACAGATGTTAAGGCTGGGTTTTCTTATTTTGTGTTTTATGACACTGTTCAGTAGTTCATAGTCTGGGATAGAGATCAAGTCTAGGATAAGCACAGTATTCACTTGATGGGGATGGAAGTGTTTAGTTTTCATATTTGCTGAAAAAACTTTTAAGGCTCTCAGTACTGGGCACATTTATTATGCACCTAATAATTTTTATTTGGGCAGTGAAAACTTCCTAAGACCTGATTGACCATCCCCAGAAACAAACGCCATAATGCATAAGGCTGTCCACCATCGGCAATTGAGAATGTGTAAGTACCGTTCTCAAATTTTTCTCTGATATCAAACTCGATCAATGCACTTCCAATCTAGATGTTCATCAATGCACGCTGCTAAAAACGTGACATGGGCGGCAGATTTTTAAACTAGTTTTTCATTTACAGTGAGTTCAGGATATTGTGTCCAATCCACATTGAAAAATGGTGAGTTGTCATATGTCCACATTGCAAAAGATCGGATGAGTTCATTACAGTGTGTTCCAAGCGTTTCATCAGAATTATCTGACACAAGAACAGAGATATCATCTGCATACATTGTAACACGGACAGTTTCACATAGTTTTCCAATAATATTAATATTAATAGCAGAAATAATACGGGGCCCAAAATAGAACCCTGTGGAACACCTACAGTAGAATTCGTAACCCTCAAAAATACATTCTGTTTGCGATTTTGAAGAAAATTTGTAATCCATGTCAGTGCAGTATCTTTTACACCAAAATGGTAAAACCTCTTTATCGAAAATTTCAAGTACTTTTAGACCATTCGTCATATTCTCATAGCCATTGAAAAAAAATGCTTTCCTCATTAGAGCATCCATTGAATGTAGCCTTTTATGGAGTTGGCTTTCATTAAACTATAGTATGTTCATATTTGTATGCTCATATGCTACTTCGAAAATTGTGAAAATCAGTAATTCAACTAGGAATGGGTTCAGAGGACATCTACTTACCTAAAGTTGCCATAGAATCCAAAAAACATGCCGCCAATCGACCCAATCCTCCATTACCGAGTCCAGCATCTTCTTCAAGTTCTTCTAACTCTTCAATGTCCAATCCTAGTTGGTAGAGAGCTTCATCCACTGACGATTGAATTCCTAGATTGATCATGGTGTTTTGGAGAGATCGACCCATGTAAAATTCCAGGGAGAGATAGTAGACCCTCTATAAAGTAGTAATTTATCAAAAATGAGGGGTTATACCAGATGATACCCAGGTTTCTAAAGCTCATTTCAGAACATTTTCAGTTACTGATAAAAAAAAGCTGTTACCTACGACTGGCAATCGTCAGAAATCGGAGTGAGAGCTAAGGATTAACGAGGTCTCACCTTTTAACGTGCGATTCCTATTGGTGCACATAAATGGTATCGAAAATTGATAGGTTCAGTATCTCTGAATCAACAAATTCCCAAAGATTCTTAACCTCACATTTCATAATTAGTATCGACTTCAACTGAACGAGAATTTAAAACAGTTAGCATACAGTATTAGAAAAATATAAGAAGGATAACCAAAAAAACTTTAAATATGCTAATATATTTATATCAATTGTTAACAAGGACATTCTGGCTATATCTAGTTAACTTTTTTGAAAGGAGTAATTTGAAACAATACCTACATCTAAGAGAAACATTTCATTTAGGAACAAATTAGAAAAAATTGAAATATCACTGAAAAGGTATTATTCACAATTACTTTTAATTGCAGGTAATAAGTATATAAACTTTTTTATTATCCGGATTTCCTCTACTGTACATTTAATTCTGTGTAAATAGGATTCGCACGTTGAAAGGTAAGACCTCGTTAAACGTCAGCACGCACAAGTTTCGAGTTTTTACGTCAGCCCCCATTTTATTTTTCAATTTACGCTCAAAGAAAGCGCAGAAGGGTAATATATTTTTGATTTGTTTGTTGCATAATTTCGACGAGATAAACTTTCAATTTTAAACGCGTCATTTTGACTTTAAAAGGAAAATTTTAACTTTTTGATATTGAATTTTAGACAATAATCTCAAAATTTCGAATTCAATCTAAAAATGTATGTGATAAAGTATACATTTCGTATATCTTAGTGTGAAATATATGATGGATTTTTTAAGTGCATTCGTTTGCATTGCTTTATGTGTCGTTTTAAAATTTATGTATTTTCTTTGTGTGAGAAATTAAAATAACAAAAACGTGTGGCAAAAAATATATTGGCTAGACTAAGCGAGTAATTTCAACTAGTTTTAAAGAACACCCAGCACAAATCCGATTTTGAAGACCAGAAAAATCTAGTGTCGTTAAATACGCCATGAAGAACGGGCATAGAATAAATGAAAACTGTCTGAATTTGTTGAGAAAGGTTCATGGCACTGAATTTTTGGATGCTTACGAGTCTGGCAATAACAAAGTGTGGCATGAGAACTATGAATAATGACCGCCTATTGTATTTGTTTTTATAATAACCCTGTTGAAACTTGCGGGAACTTTCACCATAATTTTTCCCGTAAATTTTGAGTTAAAAAAAACGTCCACTTCCTTAAATATAATTAGTATACACTCTAGTCCATCCAAAAGTGAATTTGCATAACCTTGCTACATCATAATTAAATTTTGAGATGTTTTTGATTGGGGTTTCGGGTCTAGAGAGCCTGTTGTCACTTAATTGTTAGTTCTTTGATAATCATCAGTTCAAAACAGTGAACTTATAGTATACATTTCACTGGTTCAAAACCATAATATTGGATATCTGTGATGGACAAAATTACATATGAATTGGGTTTGAATGTTTTGAAAATGACTAAATTTCTATGACCTTCAGAACTTTAATCATAATGACTTAAGGAGCCATGGATTTATTACGAAACTGAGACATGGCGCATGCTGATGGATAGGTATTAATAGTTTTCATTTCATGATTATACCTCTATATACAATGATTATACCATCTGATTCTGACAACAAATCACAGTGTCTATTCAACTGCTGCCGTGCTCATAACAATAACAAATATAATGTTTCATCTACATTATAATGAATATACGTCCCTACACTTGATTAGTAAGTAAACAGCAAGGAGTATCCAAGGAGTATCGAAATTTATGAATTTTATGCAAAACAAAATTTATAAGCAACCATAAATTAGTCTGTGGAACGGAAATGTAGAGTTTTATATTAGGTTATCTGCGAATAATCTTAAACTATATATAATCACAGTCATAACATCATTAAGATAAAATGAATAGTTAGGAAATAGGTTTTGACATTTCCGATCATTTCACACAAAATGGCGGCAGTCTTGAGTGTCCATTTGTTACTTTTTTCTTTAGAATCCCTAGTCAAAATGAAGATACATATTCCATAATATATATTTACACATGCCAGTTATTTAATTTTACATTATTTTCTAATATTTTCACTAGAAAACATTATTGGCGTGGTTTGAATTTGATAACCCTCATAAACAAAGAGGCTAGGTATTTATACTGACTAACAGAACAAAGACGTCAAATGAACATTTTACAAAAGGATTGTCCACCATTTAAATTTCCCGCTCTTGAAGAAAAACTTACAAATTAAAGTGCCGGCACCCATTTATTATCCACTATTTCATTAAATTCTTTGTTTTGATTTTTGGAAATTTAGGGTTTGGTGCTAATTAGTTCATCAATTATTGTATTTAATGGTCGGAACATTTTTTTCAATTCACTTACAACAGAGCGCGAAAATAATCGTGGTTGCAAGTGAAATGAAAAGAAAAAGGTTCAAAAAGCCACAGGAATATCAATATTTCAAACAAAGGTAGGTATACTTTTGTTTAAAATCCAGAGAAAAATTTTCAACAGTCATGAATAGAACAGTTAATTTTTCTCTGTAATGGAAAAGTAATTTGAATTTAATACACAAAATTTCAATGGTTCAAATTACCTTAGGGTCCTTCTCATAATAATATTGCTGAGTTCTTATCCACCTTGAAACGAGATGATCCTTTACCGTGTGAGCTAGAGCAAAATAATAATCTCTGGAAGTTGCAACATTTCTATCTTTGACCAAAGTGTAATGAAGGTGCCTGTTGAAAGTCTTTTTGATTTCGTTAACATCGTCGATTTCAGCTATTCCTCTGACACTTATTTGTTTTCTTCTCTCGTTATCTGATTTTGGGGTGGCCATGATCACTGAATACTACCCTCCAAATTCAAAGAATAAGAACGTTCTCTAGCCTACTGGCTATCACCGGCTCACGACTATTATTTTGGATTAGAGGTCACCTTGTAAATTGACAATAAATTAGAAATGTGAACAGCTGCAACCATCTACGCAGAAGCAACAATATCTTTTGCCAGTTACTGAGGGGTAAAGTTTTGAATTATAAAAAGGCACAGAACACATAATCTGCTTTTTGGCACTAGTACAATGACATGGTAAAAGACACGATTTGTGAAAAAGAAATCTGTTAAGTTCCATTCCAGTAATCATTGACCAGGGATCTTATTTTCGGTAAACTATCACAGAGAGACATCCGATTTTTCTCTCGATGTGAGAATTCGCCTGGTTTAAAAATAGGAATTTCAGAGACTTTTTTAGGTTTTATTTCTCTGTGAATTAGTGGCAAATATGTGGCCTAAAAGTGATGAGACCATTGTAGAAAATATATTGAATAAATTTGAGAATATGATGGGTAGAATTGAAATCTTTGGTGTGAAATGATTCTGAAAGAAACATTTTTCTCACACCATAAAAAACAACGTCTCTCGACGGGCGTTTCTCTAACCAAGTTAGCATTATCAAGAGATAGAAAGTCATCATCATCTCCTGATGATGCTGACTTGGTTAGCGAAACGGGCGTCGGAAGACAGTGTTTTGTTCTAGTACGGAAAACGTATTTTCATTGAATTTGGGAGAAGTTTCAGTTTGAATATTGCGCCAAGTTCTTGAATTCATAAATCTGTTTAAAATGTGTTTAAAATCTGTTTTTCCGTTAACCAGCTGTCGCACCCCTACGAACGACAACCCTCAGAAGTCGAAACTTGTGAGAGCTAAGGATTAACGAGGTCTTACCTTTTAACGTGTGATTCCTAACACGGGTTGGACGATAGCAAGTGAAGATCGATCGTTCAGACTAGGGCTTGAACCACCGACCAACACGGCAGTCAATTCGAGTGAGTGAACAAATCACCCACGCCGAACCGCTTGGCTACCGACCGACCAAATGACTCCAATGAATGATCCGTTGATTCATCTATTGGTCTATTCGAAACGTTATCGCGTTTCTTTCGGCAGTAGCAATCCTTCAGAAGTTTTCTATTGAATTTAACGTATCTTTAGCTTCCGCACCACTTGAAACAAAGATTTGTTCTGTGTTCCATAATACACATCACATCTGTGGCAAAGAATATTCATATTCATACATTGTGGACCTCGTGGACCCTGTGGTCTCTAGGCTCGAAAAAATAATACCGAATAACTGCAATAAAGTTACAGTATTTGAACTTTATGAGCAGCACTAGCACTGCTTTTGTTAATGTCATATCAATTATTCCAAAATGGAGGTCATATAAGATCACTGATGTTAATGTAGTTTTTGTAAGATATAGACTTCAATAATGATAAAAAAATAAATAAAAGAAATTATGAACCTTCAAAAAATTTTCCACTGGAATTTATATTTCAGTAAATCACATGTATTTTTCAGAAGAGCATAAAAAGCATATTCGATATCATTCTCTTTGAGTAGAGGGTTGATGCTAAAGATATTAGCAAGTATTTCTTTGCGAATCTGTTTACAACATTTTCGATAACATCGACATAAATAACGACGTAGGATTAATATTTATGTTTTCATGGATTATATGTATTTGCGCAGTAACAACGCTTTAGATTTTAGTTTTACACAATTATTAAAGAAACTTTCCGTTCAAACAACATATTTCAGTTCCGACAGGGCATGAGGATCATTTGAGTTCGCAATGCTATGATTATAATGAATAGAAACAATCATGTGAATACACAAGAAAAGCAGTAATTTATTTTTTTCGTGATTCTCGTTTAATTATAATATGCTTACTGACATCCCGTATAATCTTCATTATTTTGAAGCAGGGTTGCCAGGCTCCCTGATATTTCTATTAATCTATTGATTTCAACTGGCTACCGAATATACTAGATAGTAGTAGTTGGTTTGTTTAGGCAAAATAAATAATGATATAATGCAACGAAATGAAAACTACCGTTGAATGAAGACATAAGCACTTAGAAGTAGTACTTGACATCAATTTTAAGTCTGATTCTACAATACGAATGAAAAAACACAGCGTTCAGATGTGACCTATCTTTTAACCTGAATTAGTTGAAGTTGACAATAAAGCATAGGATGACCATATTGATCGAAATCGACATGAAATTTAAAACAAAATGAAAATTCTAATATTTTTGAAGTGAAGGTCCCTCCTTTACCTATCTATATCTATACCGAAGGAGTAAAAATTAGCCTGGCAACTTTGGAATGACGTTTAACGCCTTGAATTAAAATGGCCAAGAGAGGAAGAGAGCATGTTTAAGTGAGTGAGAGTTTTGTTTTGTAGCGTTATTTTATTTAATTAGCCGTCAGGTATTCAATGTCAATATTTTCCAAGTGTGATTTACTTCAGTATTGTGGTTGCAGTTTGCAACATAAACAAATGTTCATTAGGTTAAATTGTGTTTACTCAAAAGTTGTAAAATAGTGAAATCAACATCATTATGAAGTGAAATCTAGTATGGGATAGTCGTGAACCACTTGTTTGACCCACATAACATTAAAAGCCTTATATCGTTGATCGTGAAACTGTTGCGACCAGGCTTCGACTAGAATAAATTGATTAATTATTGAAACTTTTATGCGAAATGGTGTCTTGAACTACGTTGAAGATCAGTGTACTCAGTGAAACATGTCAAATAAAAAATTGATCACAAACAAAACTACTGCAGATCCTGGTGCCCTTCCACCAAGATACCAACCACCGCCCCTGCCTAACAGCCAGGGTATACTCAAAAACGCCCCCAGTGACCCAAAACGGCCTCCTAAAAATGTGGACGGCGTAAAGGTTCTCTATCCGAACGACCAGCCAAAACTCTACCCGCACCCTCAAGGCAAACCTTATCTTCATTACCCTCAGTATAACGGACCAACTAAGAACATAGAAGATAGTAGTAGAACAACCCAGTTACAGATACATCAAGAAAGCTCGCGACCACGACCATTGGAGGAGCCAGGAATACCCCAAGTGCATGTTGACTTGAGAGTTCCCCAGCAACGCCAGCCCATCAGGTACTATGACATATCTCGTTAATAATTCTTGTGAAGGAATTAAATTTCAACTCTGAACGGTTCCTTCATTTTCGTACATTGTTTTCTTTCTGACAGAATGAACGTATCAAAATCTGCAGATAGAAAAAAAAGTATGTTTGTGAACATCGATTAATGAAGCATAACCTAAAAAACACATTTTTAAAGAACATCGAACTAAAAAGTTAAAAATATATATTTTATTTGGTCTAGTGTATAGGGCTCCTAGTTGTAGTTGATTTTCTTGAATCATTTGAAGACTGGCAGTTCACGCACCAAAATTAGAGAATATTTTATGTGGAGGTGATTTCAACATTGATTTAGTCAATTGTACATGAAATTCTAGAAAGATTCAGCCTCACACAAATTGTCAACGAACCAACCAGAATTGGGGGTACAAAAATGCTATTATTGGATATTTTTTGATGTATGGAAAATTTTCAGGTAGATGATCATTTATTATTATTATTATTTGCATTTGATTTATATCAACCTAGTTCTTCATTTTGAGCAACACAGCTTCCTTACTCAAAGTTACGAGTATAATCGATTCCATCCTCATCGCCAAACTTATCTATAATTCTTGAAAAAAAATTGAAATGTTTACTCATTCCCGACATTGTTTTCGCTGTTGTTTTTTTCTATGACCCCTTATATACAAAGTACATTTTATACATGAATACATAATAGGTACGACGACGAATTTCTCAGACCAGAAATGCTCAAGTTCGTGAGGAAACCCGAAGATCCTCGATTCATAGATCAAAACAGGCAACTGCAAGGCATTTTGCTGGAACTGAGGTCCCTAAAGGAAGCTAACCAACATCTAGCTGACGATAACCAAGAGCTTCGAGACTTGTGCTGTTTTCTTGACGATGACCGACAGAAAGGCAGAAAACTGGCCAGGGAATGGCAGCGTTTCGGCAGATATACGGCCAGCGTCATGCGACAAGAGGTGTCTGCCTATCAAACAAAACTTCGAGAATTGGACAACAAACAGCAAGAGCTGATAAAAGATAATTTGGAGTTGAAAGAGTTGTGTCTGTATCTTGATGAAGAACGAGCCAGCAGTTCGCTGTGCTCTAGTTGCGGGAGTGCTCCTTCTGGTAATATGAGGGATGATGGGGACGGATCTAGCTCTAGCACAAATGCTGACGAACCTGCTGTTCCTCAAGAGTTCAATTCTGGAGGAAACACTCAAAGAAGGTCGGAGAGTAGGGAAAGGCTGCTTCATGAAAATTTGGCTCGGCAAAGGAATACATTCAACGGTGAGTTGGCACATGAATATTTATTGATATAGACTCATTCAGTGTGTCAACTGATGATATGCATGGAATTGAAGTAAAAGCTTTTACTTCTCTTTATTCATATGGCCTAAGTTTTTTGTGTGGAAAATAAAGTTTCCAAAAACTCTTTTACTTTCTACTTTGCCATTAATATATTAATTACTTCTGAGTACCTACAAATCAATGCCAAGGTACTGTTAATTCAATTAGTGACTTCTTCTCACAGTGTACCATTCCAATTTACCATAAAACTTCAGTGGTCATACCACTGTTTATGTTGAAATTGATAACCAAATATGGTAGAGAGTATGGTGTCTAATTGGTGATCCACAGGGATTTATTTTGGGACCCCTTTTTTATGTATGTCAACGATTTTGTATGTAAAAACTGCATCATGTATGCTGATGATACTTCCCTCTTAGTGATAGACAACACTATATAATCACTTGATCATGAACAAATCAAAATCTGTTTTCTTTCTTTTTCACCTGTTTCGAAAAAACCTGGACAATAGCTTATGATTTTAATTGGGAACAAGTCCCTAAAACAATTACAATAAACAAAATGTCTAGAAATAAACTTATCTGAAAACTGTAGTTGGAAAATACAAATTGATGGAATGTGTAAAAAAATTGTTACTATGTCTTTGTTTAATAACAGTTACATAGTATATTTGAGAAATATGTCCTACTCATCTATTATCATTCCTAAATACACTCCGTCATTTTGTATGTTATACCAGCCTAGGATTGCTCACATCAGAGAATCTTTTTACTTCAAAAAAGGTTAATTCGATGCATTGTCGGACTTAACAGAAGAACTAGTTGTAAAGAATTATTTAGAGCTGGGTATTCTAAATGTAGTCTCAATCTACATCTACCAACTACTGCTATATGTCAAAAAAAACTAAATTCATTTACGTCACTGATTCAGAGAAATTATGATACCAGAAGTCATTTTCTTTACTTGAAATACCATCGCACAGATTGACAACAACGTTATGCAGTCCTAAATTAATGGGAATCCACGTGTTCATTAAATTGCCTGAGAATATTGAAAAACTCATGAAGCCTTTTTAACAATTAATGAATATTCATCTGTAAGTTTTTAGCTCAAATGAAATTAGATTTTTTTTTCTGATTTGTTACAAAATACATACAAAGTAATGTGAATAAAAGCTTGTAAAAATCAATTTTGTAGACCATAGAATACTGTGGCAAAAAATCAACAGTTTGAGTCATACCTCCGATTTTAAAACAAGACTACCGCAAGGATCGGTTTTAGGACTGTTGATGTGTCTCCTAATAAGTTTTCAACAAACCTTGTCTTATATTATTTATTCATTTGGATCTGTGCAAAAGTAGTTGTTTTCCGTTGAATGTTTTCTTTGTTAGAAAAGAAATTCGTTTTGCAGATCAAATAATGCAGTATGTGCGCAGCTTAGAACAACGTGTCAAGCAACTCGAAGATGATAAGCGAGCACTCACTCATAAAATCAATCAGATAGCGGCGACTACAGGGGACCCCAGTCTGGCAGCCCCTCAGGATGTAGGCGGGATGCTTAGCGGCAGACCGGAAGCAGTCGTAAGGGCTCTCCAGGTTCTCGAGGTGCGAGAGCAGCTGGAGAGAGAAGCCCACGTACCTGAAATCACAGGAGAAAACATGTCCGACACCAATTCCCAGGATATGGATGACGGAGAGAAGGCTTTGGTGAGAGAAATGTGTAATGTAAGTATAAAATGCCCATATTTAAGGTGTGAAATAAAAATGTATTAACTCCATCATCTCCTTACTGCCGATTTGAATAAAGTAATGCAGAAATGAATATGAACGTAAAGTTATCGGTGTTGCAATGAATAATACGCCCAATATGGAGGTTGAAGAACATCGGGGATCAACCCTGGGTCCTTTATTGCTTATATTATTTGCGAATGATATAAAAGATGTATATACGACCCTAACTTCAGAAGTATTGTGTGCAGGTGATACTATGTTTGCCTTTAATGGCAAAAACAGTGAAATCATGGAAGTTGCCAACGGACGTGTTTAAGAAATTAATCATAACTGCTTGATAAATGGAGTTACTGTAAATTTCCAATGAACCGTCTTCGTGATTTCCATAATAAAAAAGTATTTGTCACTATTATAGTATTTTTGGTAAGTCTGAGTGGTCAATCTTCACAAGAACTGAACTCTGTGAGATTCTTAGGATTAACACTGGATAGTAATGTCATGGGAGACACAAATTAATGATTTAGCAGGAAGATTAAACTCTGTATGGTTTTTATCAGATAATAAAAATTGCCAAAAAATATATTGAAGGAGTATGAAAAAAAAAAGATCCCATTTCTGGAAATATGTTGCAGATTCAGAAGATTATTGATAATTATTGTCCAAAAAGATATCAGACATACTCGAACTTTCTGTTAAAATTGTAAAGGCAGTCTAATATGAGTAAGTCCCTATTTTGCTCTATTTTTCAATACTCTTTTGGGAGTGGTATTTTCCTGAAAAAATTAAAATAGCAAGACTTTTCTAATTTTGAAAAATGTGAAGAAAAGTTTGGCAAATTGTAGACCAATTTATTTTTTACCATTATTTGCAGATATATCAGAAAAAATCGTGAGTATTAGGTTCAGCAAAGTTATTGAGAATAGAATGTTGTTATTCAGTGGTTTATATAGTAGTAGTAGTAGACTTTATTTTAGGAATCCTAATATACAATATATAATTATGCAGTTATGCATGGGTTTCGTGGAGCTATGAATACCGAATAGGCTGCTTTGAAAATGGATACAGATATTAAATAATAAATAGATGATAAACAAAAATGCTGCTTAGTACTTAATAAGTAGAATTCTATCTCTCGGCGCATGATGACTTAGTCATCTCCTGATGATGCTAACTTAGTTAGCAAATTATTTACTCTTATATGTATATTCTGTTTATATTCTATTGTGGTATATGTCCAGTTTTATATCTACTTAAAGTTTTTATCCAATGAACAAACTTTTCATATTAGAATATTGTGAGGAATCACCTCCTGAATATATATAGTTTGAGGAGTGCCAGAAGATGACAGTACTACCAACTGTCGAAAGCGTTCGCAGATAATTAATAGAAGGTATGAAGCTTCAAATCCTTTTTTAATTATATGCGAGCGCTTTCGACAGTTGGTAGTACTGTCATCTTGTGCAGTTTGAGGAGTGCCTCAAACTGCAGTTTGAGGAGTGCCAGAAGATGACAGTACTACCAACTGTTGAAAGCGCTTGCAGATAATTAATAGAAGGTATAAAGCTTCAAATCCTTTTTCCGTTTATTCCACAGACATTTTGAATCCAATTTTTATTACATTGCAGGTTGTGTGGAGAAAGCTGGAGGATCCTGCTACACCAAGACGATGATTTTAATCAAATTATTGGATTATTTTGAAAAACCAAGACGATAATTTTTATCAAATTATTAGATTATAATAAAAAATGTTTGCAATATTCTTGCCTGGATGAAAGACTCGTATATTATCATTATTATAATTATTCATTAAATTTCATACCACAAGTGCTGAACTGAAAAAAATATATTTTATTTATTTTTTTGAATAGGAATAAGATATTTTTGTATTTTTTTTGTATAGATATGAACTCTATTTAAAATATACTCTTTTATATATTTCTAATTAAATGTTTTCATTTAAATTATCCATGCATCCAATACCTTCTTTGGAAACGGACCTAAACCTATTTTACTATTGACATTTGCCAAACTTGTTAAGAAAAGAATCTAACAGCAAAAATGATGATATGTTCTCACTACTAGAGAAAATATATCTCAAAATAAATGAAGATGAGGTAGCAGTAGTGGTGTTTTGTGACTGCGTAGATCATTCGAATCTTTTGCGTAAATTAGAAATATATGTTTTATGGCTTGTTGATCTGAAATGGTTTCGATAATACTTGTCAAGTCGTACCCAAGTAGTGTTTATTAATAATGAGACCTCCAAATACCAGTGTGTGACTTGCGAGGTTTCTCGGGGAAATATTCTCGGACCATTGTGTGCCATACTAGGTGCGCTGATTACCACACAGTAGTATGGCATTCAAGGAACTCAAGCTATTTGTTCTTCTGACAAAATGCACGCCATAATGGTAAGGGAGCCAGGCTCCAACCTGTCTGAATTTAATGTGATCAATCGGTGGGCTATCTTTCAAGTAGCACTTTTTTATATTTTCACTGAACAATTTACATTATCGCAACACGTGTTTCACTATACCAATATCATCCTCAGGCGTGTTTATACTAAATATTAAGAATAGGAAAGTCGGTACAGAAATGTACGAAACATACGATATCCACTTGAAAGAACCATCAAAATCAATGACGGTATAGAATTGAATGGGTTATATTTTTTAGGAGTGATTAATTTTTGGGAAAGAAAGTTTTTGGCTTTCTACTACTCCATCTTGATACAAAAAAAAAGAAGGATGAGGGAATCTTCCAAAGAAAGTATCTTCTGTATAATTCAGTGTTCACATAGAAGTATTTGTTTCGAAAGAATTTTTTCTTTTGTATAATTCAATGTTTATATGAAAGTAGCTGTTTCAGGATGACTTTCTTTCAGTTTGTGTCTGAAAGTTACTTCTTTGCATGATCTACACATCCATGTATAGAGTTACTTCCTTCCTTTCTTTGGAAGATTCCCTCATCCTTATTTTTTTTTGTATCAAGATGGAGTAGTAGAAAGCCAAAAACTTTCTTTCCCAAGTATAGAATTGTTTGCCCATTTGAAATTAATTACTTTACGTAAATTCAACAGTCTGATTTAGAGGAAGATATTTGAAGACTCAATAAATATTGAACAAACAAGGCTCCCAAGACAGTTATTTGCAATGCTAAGCTTTGACATTGATTGCCGAAAGAGATTCTTTTTCACAGAAGACGATTCACATTCGGCGTTGAAGCTGGTTTTTACGAATGACTGTATTGGGGAGCCACGTTTATTTTTGTTTTTTGAGGATCAAATTTTTTGAAGACCCCATAGATGGCATCTTTGTAAGGGAAGATGTCATCGCCTCTTCTTACATGAATTGATATCAAAATGTTAAGTAGAATCCAAACCAATTATAATAATTGATAGGGTATTCCAATTAATAAACTTCTCAGGTTAGTTATGTGAAGCAAAAAATTCTGACCTTAGTATGTTTTTTCATTTTCGAAAGTGTGTCTTATCCACAAAAAATATAAAAATCAATTTAATACCACCTCAACTTAAAGTACACACCAGTCTTACTTCATTTCCCTTCCAACACCTACTCTAGCCCTTACACAAAATTCTATTATTTTCAATAGTAAGAAGTTATTTAATCACCTTCTCATTAATTTAAGGCGAATATATAATGAAAAGAAAGTAAAAGAATTCCTTGTTGGGAGGCCCTACATTCATTAGCATGTAGCTTCGTGTAAACAAATTATTGAAATCAACACGAAATGGCTATCAATGTTCATTACGTAGCATTATATATATATATTTACATTTATTTATTTATTTATTTATTTATTCAATATTCAATGTACTTATATTTGTATCTGTTCAGCTGGGCTTAATATTGTTCTGTCCATATACTCTGCTCTTGTCTCTAAACATTATTTTATAGTTTATATTTGTTAATTTAATGTCCCACATACACGTTTTACTTTACTAGATTTTGCCAATAAGATGTTCACATCTTGGGTGATAAAGCATATTTTGATTTGATTTGATACCTAAATGGAACACATTGTATAATAATAATTTTCTTGAATAAGTAGCTTTTATGCCCATTTGGATTTATATGAGGAGAAATTTCGTCTCATCTACTTCAACGCATGATATATTGTTTACATCCAATGTGCTACACACAAAATACTTTTCACGATAAAAACGGGAATATTAATAGAAATTTTATTTTACTTTTTATATTTTATTGAAATCAACTACAACAAATTACATAAAAATATACCCCTTTCAATTTAATTAATATACGATATTCCTCATCCACATATAACAAGATTATATTTTATTTTACAATTATGGGATATACCGCTGTATTAAAACTCTCATTAACAATAAAAAAAACAGCGCGAATTTTCTGGTTTTATGGAAAATAAACCACACAATATTTAAAATAATTCTCACAAGTTATAAATATATATTTTTCATTTCTCACCCTGAATACTAAACCTAAAAAGCCTTGCCACAATAACAATATAGTGATCCATCATCATAATCATCATTTATCATCTCAATATATTCGCAAGGCTTCAAAGAGTCTCATTTGAGAGGATCCCATAAACGGGTCAATAAGGTTACGATGCAGAAGTAGAGTTTGCCAACTGCAGTTGAAACTGTTAACATTCACCACAAATTAAACATTTGAAATGTCGGTAAAATCAATAAGTTTCACCATTTTCGTTGTATGACATTTCATCACTTTTCATTCTGTCATCATGAATAGCCTAGACATGTATGATGAATGATAAAAAGTGAACATTTATAAAATATATTATATATTATCATACCAATAACCAAAAAGATATCTATTGGTTCAATAGCAAACTTTGGTAAACAATATTTTCTTACCTACCTCATAAAAATATATAATAAGGCATCATCCAATGAAATTAGTGTGTTTTCTAGTAACACTTTCATTTCGATACACCCATTTGTTTCATAGGGAAATATTACGGAAAATTGCCACTTTTTCTGTTGGTTTCTGGAATAATGAAATATTCAGATTTTCTAACTCTATCTCTTTTTGAGAAAAGTTAAATATGTAATATTCCCAGACAGTAAAACTCATTCTGAGAATAAACTAATTTTATATAAGATATTGGAATTTTTTACCACACAATAAACTCATACATATCATCAATATCTCATCTATTTTATCAATACAAAAAATAAAACACCATTGAACTAAAAATCAATACACACACATTGAAATAAACATAATGATACGACAAAGATTCCTCAAAAGAAATAATATACTGGAATCACATCAATTCTCAATTAAAATAAGAGGACAAAATAATAAGCATTGGCGTGGCATGTAGAAATATAAAGCAAATTATTATTTTCCTCTTTACTACATAGTGACAAGTTTGCATCACATCATTTTATGTAGGCAGGAAAAAGCTTTCAATTATATCCCCAAGATAAATCATTATTTAAAATAGTAATTTATCATCACCATCACTTCTGAAATAGTGGAATTCTTAGAACTACCATTTCTTCTGTGGAAATTTATCTGGAAAAAAATAAATTCGTTAAGTCAATTTGTTAAATTGCAGAGTTGTATATAGACACTTTTGAAATAAACTTTAGATATACAGTGTGATGCACCGAGAAAAAACCAGTAACACAACCAATTAATTATAGACAATAACACAGTATCTGACCCAACCCAAATTTGCAACATTTTGAGTAATTATTTCACTAACACATCAGGTTCTATCCCAGACCGTAGTGGGCTAACGATGTCACAAATGTATGAGCACTCATTCTTTCTAACACCAATAACACCCTATGAAGTGGAATCAATTATCACAAAAACTACATCGAAACCCTCAGCTGGTATCGACGAAATAGATGGCAAAGTAATTCGTTTTGTGAAAGAGCAAATAAGCAAACCATTAGCACATATAACTAATAAATCGTTCACCTCTAGAAAGTACATTGATTCCTTGAAAATCTCTAAATCAATACCTATCTATAAAAATAAAGGATCGAGAGATGACATGAATAATTGTAGAAATATCTGCTTACAGAGTCAGATTGCAAAGATCATAGACATGGCCTTCAACACGAGATTAACAAGTTTCCTTGAATCTCGAAATCTCTTAGGCTCATCTCAACACGGTTTTCGACAAAACAAGTCTACCAGTTCTGCCTTGGCAGAATTATGTTTGCAACTATATGATGCTTTGAACTCAAAAAATAGCTCTATTGTACTCTTCTTTGATCTGAGTAAAGCGTTTGATACGGTCGATCACAATCTCCTAGTTGAGAAACGCTATCACATTGGTGTTAGAGGGACGCCAATAAATTGGCTCACATCGTATCTCGAAAATCGAAAACAAGTATTGATACTGGGTAGTGCAAAATCGGAAGAGAAAACTGTACATGTAGGGGTACCGCAAGGATCGTTACTGGGTCCAGTACTGTTCACTATTTTTGTCAATGATATCACCTCTACATGCAAACAAGCGCACAAAATAATGTATGCAGACGACACAACTATGATAGTGAGAGAAAACAACTTAGCAAAAACAGTAGAAACTGCCAACACCGTTGCAAACCAATTTCACACATGGTGTACCAGTACGGGCTTGTGTGTGAACAGAGAAAAATCAAATTTTATCTCATTCATTCCAAAAAACATCAATAATACGTTCTGTTCCCTGATTAGAATTGATGGCAAAAGTATTGAACAGGTCACATCAACGAAGTTTCTAGGTATTACCTTGGACCATAAACTAAGCTGGGAAAACCATATTAACAGCTTATGTAATAATCTGAGTAAAAACTGCTTTGTACTAAGGCAATTGAAGAATACAGTGTCAATGGACGTGCTGTTATTGGTTTACTATGGTTTGATACAATCAAATATATCCTATGAGTTGATATTTTGGGGAGGCTCAACTCAAATAGAAAAAGTATTTCTACAGCAAAAGAAAATTATTAGATGCATAAAAGGGGTACATCAAAGAATATTATGCAAAGAAATATTTACTGAATTATCTATTCTAACTGTGCCATCATTGTACATATTTCAAACTATTTTAAACGTAAAAAAACAATTGGAAGTACTGTCTACAAATAGTGCTCACCATAACTATAATACACGAAGTGCAGGGAATTTGCAGCAGCCATTTTCGAGACTTGCCATTGGTCAATGCTCTCACATATACAAAGGCATCGTATTTTATAATTATTTCAAGAACAAATATGGCAGTGAAAAAAATTTCAATGATTTTAAAACTTTTAAATCTCTTTTAAGTAAGTTCTTGCTGAGAAAAGCATTCTATTCTCTGAAGGAATTTTTAAATGACTGAATATGACCTTTTTTAACAAATTTTAGCGTTGAAAGTAGGTTGTGTATGTAGAATAGTCTTATAAATAGGTAAATATTCTGATTTTAGTTGACTAGTCTAATGAAGTAGTAACATTTGTGTACCAAATTATTTTGTAACATATTATGTTCTGCTTTTACAGATGATTAAATTCTATGATTTTTATTGAAGTGAGAGATTCGCAGATCTAAGAATGAAAATAAACGGTTTTAGTGCTTTAGAAGTAATATTTGCAATATGGGATTTGAATGACATTTTTGGGTCGAGAGTGATTCCTAAATCTCTGATTGTATTTGTTGTTTCTGATTGATTGATTTTATATGGCAGGTTAATGGGATTTTTGTTTTGAAAAAAAGGAAATTTTTGACATTTGTCTATATTTAATTGCAATAGCGAACAAAGTTAGATAAATCAAAGTCAAGTCATTTACAAATAGGTTGCAAAGCAATGGCCCTAAATGAGAACCCTGTGATACACCCGACGAAACTGTGATTGAGGAAGATACTGTGTTACCATATTTTACAAATTGTACTCTGCAGTACAATTTGTAAAATTGCACTGCAATTTACCTGGTTTTGAATTTTTTTTTCAACAAATGTGGATGAACTTATTCATCCCAAAACGTACTTGAATTGAAAATTACAAATTAAACATTTAAGAAATGAATAACAAACATGATGATAAATCCATATTATTCCAACTATGTAATCTGATTGAATCAATAATAATAGAAAAGTATTGCTTGAAGATGAACGATCATTGCAATACAAAACGTTTCTAAATACATATTTTCTGAATTTACAAAATATTCAATATGCGTAGAAGATGACTTTGATAATGCCTATCGCACTTGTAGCAAAGCTATTTCCAGCTGTGAAAGTTAACATTCTTATCACATTGAACTCTGCCAGTCTAAGATTTTCACATCTTGCCATAGGTCTCATCAGTGATACTAGGTCAAGTAATACATGCAAAGTTGGAACTCGTACTTTGAACAACTATGAGTAACTAGCCCAAGAAGACTCTACCTATGAGATTGATTGAAAACTCAAGCCACTCAAATTTGGAAAATTAACGAGAGCCAAGAACGATGAATCACTTTCTGCTTCTCTCTGCACTATAAGCCTTAAACTGGGTTCTTGTATCATCTGGTGGCCTGCCTGCAGTGAAAACTGTAGAGAGAGACAGCGGTCAATATCAAAGCTTGGCTTTGCAACAGACCGCCTTTGGCAACCCCATTTATTTTTGAGTCATCACCATCATTCGATATTATCAATTTTAATTTCTGATAAGTGTGAATCATGTGGTGATCTTCATACTTACAAACTTGAAAGAAACGTAAATTATTATATTTCGCCAACTTCAAACAATCTAAAAATACTCACCTTGAGTAGAATATTGAATAAAATATGTTATTAGTCCGAAGAAGAGTCCGACCCATCAGAATCATCATCTGTTTTATCCTGCCTACTCTTATTTTGTGGTTTGCGATTCCTTGGTTTGAAGGATTGTCCATCTCTTCCTCGTCCGCCTGTCTGACCACCTCGACCCCTTCTGTCATCATTCCTTTTTTCATCTCGATTGTTCCTTCTATTTCTGGCTGGTCTAGATGGATTATGGGGTCTTCGCGTAGGTGACACATCCGAACGACGGGCCCCTTGCTGTTCCCGACTATGAGGCGCTTGAGGTTCAGATGAATATGGATACTGCGCCGGGTAAGCGCCATATTGGGGGGGATAATGTCCATAATGTGGCGGATAAGGACCGGGTGTTGGCGGATGAGGACCAGGTGGTGGCGGATATTGACCAGGTGGTGGCGGATAAAGACCGTGTGGACGACCTGGAGGATAAAGAGTTTCATGAATTGGACGAGATTCTCTACTGCTTACAGACACATTCAAATCATATCTGTCGTAGTTACTTTGTCCTTTGTTTGGGTAATTCGGACCTAGTAAAAGGACAATTGAAAACTGTTACATGTAGTTGAAATCAATTAGTTTAACCAGCCATCCCAAACAAATAGTTTTCAATGTTGAACTTGAATAGCTGCATAAAATTTCATTATTAACTACAGCTGTATTCAGCTTTCTTTCCAAACTCTCAGCCAGCTCGAGAAAGAAATTCTCAATTTTAGTTAAGTTGATTAATGCATGTCAAATTGTAGATAGATAGTAACATAGATATTTATTTGAATTAGGAGCGCCAATATACAGGGTGTAACTAAATAAGTGTAAAACATTTAAGGAGGTGATTCCTTATCGAAAAAAGATAGGATCTTTCATATAAAGAAATTTCATTGGAGCATCCCTTGTTAAGATACGGCCCCTTAAATGGTGTACATAAAATTTGTATAACAATTTTTTTCACAAGCACTAAAAAAGTTACAATATTGAAATTAACCTGACATTTTGTACTACCAAAAAGACAATTAGCCAGAAATTTATTTGGTTTACCTCATGGTTGTAAGGGGTGGAAAACGCAACCCCTAAAATTTATTTCCAATGTAACTTTTTGTCTTATTATTTGTTAACATTTAAAAATTTATTTCCGATAGCCTGTTTCATTCTAAACAAAAGAATGTCTCTTGGGTTTTGTGCCCAAAATGAACCAGTTCGCAGCAAAAAATTATTTTACGAACAACTAGAGTTACATCGTCATAAATGCGAAAATACGAAACTAGTCTATCTAGTAGGTCGCTATTATTAGCGACAGTGACAATTAAATTGGTATGACGCTGTCAGTTTGTGAATTTTCAAAATTGAATTAATACTAATTGTGTGTTGTTGTTCTGTTCTTAATTTGTTACTTTAATAGTTCACTTCTTATTAAAATGGCATACACAAATGAGGAAATGGCTGATATGCATCACGTTTACAATCTGTCGCAGGGGAATGGGTTAGAAGCTTCTAGAAGATATGCTGAAATGTATCCTTAACGGCAGCATCCTTCACATAGAATTTTTGCTCGACTTCATCAACGATTGCGAGAATATGGTTCATTCGACAAAAGAACGCAGGATTGTGGTCGCCATTGAGAAGTACGAACACCACAGCTTGAGGAAGCAGTACTTAATTTGATTGAAGAATAACCTACTACCAGTACTAGAAAAATTGCTTTCCAGCTAAATGTTGATCATATGACGGTATTTCGAAATCTTATACCCTTACCATCTGCAACGAGTACAGGCACTGTTACCGCGAGACTTTCCGAACCGACTTGAATTTTGCAATTGGATGCTGGAAATGATTAGCAGAAATTGTGACTTTCTGAAGACGATAGAATTCACAGACGAATGTAGTTTTTCTCGGGACAAGATTATTAATTTTCATAACAACCACATATGGGCTGATGAAAACCCTCACGCTCTTGTCGAAACTAACCATCAAGAACAGTTTTCTCTTAACGTGTGGCTCGGAGTTATTGGGGTTGGGTTTTCTACCTCCTCGATTAAATGGTGAGACATACGTTCAATTTTTAGGAGAAGTGCATCCAGTACTGCTGGAGGAAGTTCCTTTGGGCGTCAGAAGGGATATGTTTTTTATGTATGATGGGGCTCCCGCCCATTTTACTCAAGTAGCACGTCAGCATTAAACTGAAACATATGCAAATCAGTGGATAGGTCGAGGAGGTCTCGATTTCTCTATTTGGGGTCATTTACAGCATTTGGTTTATCGTACTCCTGTTCGCGATGTAGAGGACTTAAGAAACCGCATCATCATGTCTGAAGGTAGACATATTGAACATTTACTATGATTTCTACATGTTGTGTTTTGTTATTAATAAATTAGTTTTGTTTATTACCCTTTAATCGTTTAATTCAGGTACTACAAAATAACAATAAATCCAGTTCGCATTTATGACAATGTATCTCTGTAGTTGTTCGTAAAATAATTTTTTGCTGCGAACTGGTTTATTTTGGGCAAAAAGAGACATTTTTTATTTAGAATGAAACAGGCTATCGGAAATAAATTTTTAAATGTTAACAAATAGTAAGACAAAAAGTTACATTGGAAATAAATTTTAGGGGTTGCGTTTTCCACCCCTTACAACCATGGGGTAAACCAAATAAATTACTGGCTAAGTGTCTTTTTGATAGTTCAAAACGTCAGGTTAATTTCAATATTGTCACTTATGCAGTGCTTGTGCAAAAAATTGTTATACAAATTTTATGTACCCCCTTTAAGGGGCTGTATCTTAACAAGGGATGCTCCAATGGAGTTTCTTTATATGAAAAATCCTATCTTTTTTTCGTTGAGGAATCACCTCCTCAAATATTTTACAGTTATTCAGTTACACCCTGTATATGGGATACAAAAATAAAAATTTACTAAAACAAATGAGATACACATATCAGTGAGATACACATTTCACTCAGAACGAAAAAATATCACTAAAGATTGTGATGTGAAAAAAAAATAAATACTAGATACAGCATAAATATTTATTCAAAATAACCAAATGTTTGATTTTCAAGAATTGTTCACTACTTATTAGATTCCTAAAAACCTTTGCAAAATAAGAAGTTCACAGTGCTTCGATATGTTGTGTTAGTAATGTAAATATTAGCTTTTCCACAGGTACTATAAATAATTTTATTGAAAATTTTGAACATCTAAAAGTTTTCAGGAGCCAATTGGTTTCAAATTTCGTATATAGAAATGATGATGAAATAAAAGTATTTTTTCAACAGAAAACCATCTAGGAGTCGTTCAAATTACGAATTAAAGCTCAAAAAGTTGTGTATCATAAAACCCAGATACTTGACAATTGACACAATTTGAACTCTTTCATTGGTGATGTTTTTAAAATGTCAAAAATGATTTTTTTTTCTTACTGTTTTTTGGGTACATAACCTTTCAAAATCTGAAAAATAAACAACTCTAAATCATTAAGAATCTGCTGAACAATAAAGGGCAAAGTTACATCTAAACGAGCAACTCGATTTATGTAGGTCTCCTCTCTTGAATTTATAAGTTTACCAACCCCTAGAATTTTCAGTGTTGAATTTTAAAGTTGGCATCCTGGTTCGCACAACTACTTGTCTATCAAATACCTGTCCTTACAGCATACTGAAAATTCTAATATAACCGATATTTCAAACTTCAGATTTCAGTTTTATACTTGATGACGGGGTCAAACCGGTCGTATAAATAAAATCTACCAGTGGTATTTAGACAAAAGTGTTTTTATTCATTTCATTTAAGTGAAAGGGCAAAGTTCATCCTGAAAAGTTCATCCCGAAAAGTTACTGCGTAATATAAATCACGAAAAGTCTAATTAGTCAGTAACCTGTAGTATCCATAAATTTTGCCTACAAATTGAAAAATCTTCGAAAAAAAAAATCAATGTTTTGCTTTTTTCCGTTTTCAAAACCGCTGTATTTCTTTTGACATACATGAAATGAAGGAAATGTCCAGATGTCATATGAGATAGTCTACATAAATACATATACAGGATGTTTATTTGGGAATTCAGTAAGGTTCATATTTCCAAGCAGACATATTTATGAACAGCTTGGAGACCACTATAGTACATTCCGATCTGGGTAAAAAACTTATTCATTTTTGGTGCAGATAGGTAGACGATATTCTTGCCTGTTTCAGAGGTACTACACGGCAACTGAACCAATTTATGATATTCATGAATAATCTCAATAGCAGCATTCAGTTCACACTCGAAACACACGCACATATCGCGTAAATTCAGGTACTCAATCAAGCCAAGCACCTTTATTATTACTTACAGGGCTTAAGGGCCATTGTTAGTTTAATGCATAAGTTTGAAAATATCCTTATAAGACGAGACTGCAGCAACGTTAGTTACAAATAAAAGTGGTAAAAAACGTAGAAAGTATCAATTCTCTTTTCTTCGGCATATTGTTAGTCAGGTAAATGCGCAACTTTGCCCCAATTTAACCATCTTCGTATCTCTTATAGTTTCCGAGATCCCAATGGTGAGGAACGAATTTGAAACACCCTGTATATTCTAAAAACACTAGATGATCTTAGAATATGCTCCGCTATGCCTGATCCTTTTATCTGTATTCTCCTTATTACACTCCAAAAACAGTAAGAAATATTGAGTCCTTCACGAAAAAATGTCTTTCAAAGATATTTTCCCTCAGGGTTTATATATATCAAGAGCTTTAATAACTGATTATTAACTGAATATAATTAGTTTAGTTACCTGTGAATTTATTTAGAATGTTTGGCTTTCAGGACTTACCTATACATATTAATTACCTCAATGATTATGATGATTATTAATGATGAAAGAGAAACGAGATAAATTCACATTCACAAAGACAGAAATTCTAGGTACTCTGGAAACAATGGCAAATAAAAACTCCGCAGGTACTGATGGTATCTCAATAGTTACTGTGAAAAAAATTGTAGACCTTATAATCGAGCCACTATTGTTTTTGATGAATCAGTCATTTTTTGTAGGTTGTTTTCCAAATGTATTTAAAACGGCTCTCATATTTCCTTTATATAAAAAAGGCGACAAAACTGAGGTAGACAACTACAGACAGATATCTTTACTTTGTTCCCTCTCTAAACTGTTTGAGAAAGTTGTTAGTAACAGAATTCTGAATTACATGGATCAAAATAATCTGTTTAGTAATAACCAATAACTTCATACCATTTATTAAATTTCATTTATACACAGCTTGACTCGAATAAACTAGTTGTAACACTTTTTTTCGATTTGTCAAAAGCATTTGATACCATTTCTTCCGAATTTCTTATAATTAAACTTGCAGGCCTAGGTTTCCCAAATAATCTATTGAACTGGGTGAAATCATATATGGAAAACCGTAGTCTAATAGTTAGCTGCATTGGAATTTTATCAAGTCCCAAAGATGTAAAACTAGGAGTGCCTCAAGGTTCTGTCCTGGGACCATTGTTGTTCCTCAATTTCATAAATGACCTGTCTGAATTCTTTTCTGAGTGTCACATAACCATGTTTGCGGATGACACTGCAATTACTGTGGCCGACAAAAACGAAGTTGAGTTGTCAGACAAAATAAATAAAATAATAGATAAATTCAGTGCTTGGTGTCAACGTAACAAACTTATTCTGAATAAATCTAAATCTGTTTCAATGAAATCATTTATTAGGAAAAATTTCAGCAGTGACTCTTTCACAATAAATGGTATTCGATCTTCCAGCGAAGTCTTGTTTTTAGGAACGTCTTTAGACGAAAATTTGACCTGGAGCGGTCATATTCAGAAGGTCTGCAACACTCAATTCCGCATATTACTCAATCAAACAATTGAAAAACACTTTAGATAATTTTGGATTGATGAATGTCTATTTTTCTATGACTTATTCTCACATCAGCTTTAATATCATTTCTTGGGGATGTGCAACGGAATTGCCACGAGTTTTTGTTGCTCAGAAAAGATTGCTGAGACTAATTTTTAATATAGATTTTCAAGATAGTTGTAGACCAATTTTCTTAAGAGAGGGCCTATTGACGGCACCTTCTTTATTTATCTTGAAGTGTGTCACTTTTGCCCGTAACAATATAACTGAATTTGTCACAAATGCGGATATACATGGTAGAGACACCCGTCATGGGAAACTGTTAAGAACCCCCTCACACAAAACGGCTCACTTTAGATGCTCCCCACTATTTAATACAACAAACTGTTATAATAACTTGCCGGCATCTATTACGAAAATCGAGTCAGATAAACTTTTTAAAATTGAGGTGAAGAAACATCTCTTAGAGAAGTGTTACTACAGTCTTGAGGAATTCTTGCACGACACTTTTTCATGACATTTTGAGAGTATTTGCTAGAGCTTCTCCGATTTTTTATATAATACTTCTATGTTGTGAAAGTTTGTGGACGTGAACCATATTTATTGTTTTTGTATTGTTCAACTTCTGTAGTTTTATTTTTGTTTTTTAATTATGACTTAGCACATGTACTCAATGTACCAAAGTGTCAAATAAATAAATAAATAAATAAATAAATAAATACTGATCTTACCTCTATCATAATTACTGGCATATTGCGGATGTTCAGAATATCCGCCATGAGCTCCAAAAGGGTGAGGCGGAGGTGCCATTCTGGGATCTTGATAATACCTCGGATCGTGTTGGTTTCGCTCTGTATTGGCCCTATCTAAGAATTAAAATAAAAATAGATGAACAAATTTCGCCTGCCGAGTCAAGTGATTTATATATTTTTTAGCAGTCATACCTCTGTCATAGTTCATCGAATTATGCTGGGGTTCAGGATACCCACCATGAGCTTCTTGAGGATATACTGGTGGGGTTGCACGAGAGTCTTGGCGATACCTTTGATCCGATTCCCGGTTTTGTCTGCCTCCTTCTCGATGATCTAATCTGTCTTTAATGGAAAAAAATATTGTTTTGATATCCATGATGTACTTTATTTCACAGACACTTTGAAAGATTCATAAGGTTTGAGATATAACGTTTAAAAGTATCGTCACAATTATAGTCTGCAACATAGAGAAAAATTTTATGTACAAGACTTACGAAGATTTTACTTAAGCATACATTTTTGCTTCAAACTGTTTCAAAAATAATGAATGAATACTCTTTCAATTACATATCTGATAATATTGAGTAGCAAGTAATGAAAACACTTTCGATTTAGTGTGTCCATATATGAAGGTATCAATTGTACAACTAACCTGCCTTAGTGTGTCCAGTTCTTTTGTATGTGCCTGGTATTTAGAGCAACTAAAAATATTTGCTTACAAGATATTTTTGAATCTACAATAATGTATCAAGGATAAATTTTGTGTGGGTTCTGGGTAATAGTAAATCATTCTCAGGATGCCTAAGTTTATTCTTCAGCCGATAACGTATCCCAAAAATAAGACCAGAATGAAAAATTATATAAGTAGTGATCAACAAATTATATTTTATACCAAAAGGCTGTCAGTTTTATTCATTGGCACCTCAGAATGAAATTTCAAAGCAAAAACGAAAGGTCAGACCAAAAAACAAAAACCTTCGTTACCAAATCTGGTCGAAAATAATTATTCAGAGGGTAAACTAGTACCATCTAGTGGAAAATGGCAAATGGTACTTTCATATGCTACAGGTAAATGCAAGTTATTACCTTGTCAGGTAGAGTAGTATTCAGTGTGATGAATCTTGACTAATTTTTATTGATGAGACACACAACTGTGAGAATATTGTGTTTTTCAAAGTGCGATCTACATGAGTCCTGAAATTTCAGTTCGATTTTGTTGCACAAATACACTCTATAACGACGAACTGTTACAAACTCCTCAAAATGAAACATCAAAACGTAAATGTGAATCTATCAGGGCCTAATACACTGATTTTGCTGCTAAGTACATTAACTCATTTGAGACTTTTCCAATAGTATAACAGCCTGCAGATAATTTTATATTCAGATTGTTTATGTATTCATAAAATTTTAAATCACAATCAATATGAATACCCAAAATTGAGATACATAATTTTTTCAGTCCCTTCTATCACCAGCAAAAAAAATAAATGTCTCTGATATTTTGAGCATCAACAGATCGTTCACATATAGTAAAAAAGAGTAAGGCCAAGGATGGATCCTTGAGGAACCCCACAATGAATACTTACAACATCGGAAATTTCATTAGTTTTTACTATGTGTCGGACTTGATGAGTATATTTTCTCTTTTTTTTATTGATTCATTTCCTTATTTGGTCCTGTACCAAACTTTTATTTTCAAAATTTGAACAAAGATTATTTTTTTGGAGACAGGTAATGAATAGTATTTAGTGATGAGTGTCCATATTATTTCTGGTCTAATTTAAAGCAAAACCAATGCCAAGGTCTACATGAAGTTTTTAAATTAAAACAAAATCATAACATTGATGATGACATTGAATTTGTACCTAACTGTATATCAATAATGAATTTATAACATAGATTTATGGAATCAAGAATCAAGCATTAAAACATGAACTATCAATCATTACCTCTACTGAAATCTCTCCCTTTGTTTCTCGAAACAAATTCTCTTTGCTTTTCGCTACCTTTCCTGTCTCTTTGCTTCTGAGAAAAATTTTCATGGGGCTTTCCATCCCTCCTCTGGTTCTGATTTCCTCCTCTACGACTTTTATTGTTCTGATCGTCCTCTTTTTCGTAGCATTTGTTATGCACATATTCTTTAACTTTGGGTGGAGCTTCTTTCTCCAACTTCTTCAGTTCATCATAAATCTGTTTGATTCTTGAGCCGTTATGTGTCAAATTAAATAACTTTTTTAGATGTATTTCTGTAAGTTGTCGACTGTCAAATGACAAATCGGAAGATGCATTCTTTTGGAGGGCTCGGTGAAAAACTTTTTCATTTTCTTCATGTTCCCGAAGAAGACTCTTCAAATCTTCCATTTTCTTGCTGTCTGATGCTCCCTCAATCTTCTTTCTTTATGGAATCAACAAAAACATTAAATTTTATTGTGGAATTGTCGAATATAGATGGGTGGAAGGTCTCAAATTTTCAATATACTTGATAATTGCAACAAATACTTAGGAAAAGTTATATGAGGATATCCATTCTTCCACACATCTCAAACTCTTGGAGAAGTTGAACAGATTCCATAGTGTATTTCTGGCATACTGTATTTCATGCGTTCTGGATGTTTCCATTTTACTTTAAGCTTTACCTAGCCAAGTGTTAAGTTAACCGCAGAACATGATTCTAGGATGAGCACATTAGGAGATTTAAAAGTTTGATATAAATTCCGAATGATATCTTAGAAGATTTTTTTTTGTCAGTTTTATTTATTTTTTAATACTCGTCACTACCCTGTACCACAGATAGGATTTGGAGTTGAAAGAATATCATGTAAATGAAAACAGTTGTTGGAAAACAAATCTGCCAAGAGAAAAAGTCTGTCAATTCCAATATAAAAAGCATTTTCTGCAAATGTTTGAGCAGTTGCTTATAAAATTTCACAATCATTTTGAAATAAAACACTGACTATTGATGTAAACCAATAGATTTGATGTAATAAGAACTTTCATTTCTTATAGGTTTGGAGTTTTTAAAGTAATCAAATTTTGTAGACCTCAAAAGAAAGTAAAGAAAACAAAGAATAATTAACTAGTATTAAGCTCTGCATTGTACAGCAGATTCACAAATTGGGATCATTTATGAAAGTGTTGAATTACATTGAATCTCAATGATTTTCCTGAGGGACTTTTGAGAGGATATATTTTCTTTTTTGTTAGATTTGTGAAGAAATTCATTAAAAAAATTTTCTTTATTGCTAGGAAATTATTGATTGAAACAAAGTTTGCCGCCTAAGCCACGAGATTAACTGAAATTGCTATCGGTCATTTTATTATAAAATTCCAATGAAACCCAACAAGTTTCTCCCAACATGGATATATAGAAGAAATACCAGTATCAGCAAAAAATTGAGAGTACATAATTTTCAAAGTAAACTTCAGTTATGTCGGAGAATTTTCAAGGAAAATAACATCTTGACAATATATGCAATTTGTATTTATGAGTGTATGATATACCTATTTAAAAATAAAACCAGATTTTTCAAGCTGGATCAAACCACAATCATCTTGAGAGCAGTGTGACCACGTCATTTCTAATCCACAAAATAATGGTTCATATTATGCATCTATAAAAATTGTTAATACTATCAGAGAAGTTTCAAATGTCAGACAGTTTTGAATACTTTTGTGTTACGTTTTTTAATGTTGTTGGATTGCCTTGTCACCTAATGGGTTGGTGAGGATTGAAATTTGTTCAAAATATTTTTTTATTAAACACACTGTTTCCATTTTAAAGATAGACTGTTAGAATTCCATTAGTGGTAAAGAGTAATCTACAAGAGTCTGTACATTTTGATTTGCACATATATCTTATGGCTCGTTTTTGCAAAATTGAAATATTTATTAGTAGATAAGCTCTACATACGCACCAAAATGGAATTCCATATCTCAGGTGAGATTCCACCGGAGAAAAATAAACAGTCTCAGCAGCTGTTAAACCAAGTTAATTTGCGACTACTCTGACTGCATAACAACCAGAGGACACTTTGTTACACAAAGCATTAATATGGTCTTCAAACTAAGCATACCAAGACATAATTCATCATTTTTTGAAAAAGGACCGCATTACAAAGCCATCAAAGCTTATCAATCTCTCCCAAAAGAAATTAGAAATACAGAAAAACACAACAAATTCAGACTCTCAGTCATTGATTATCTAAAAACCAAAGTTTATTATAGTTTCGACAGTTGGTGATGGGTCTCTATGCGATTGCACCATAACTGAGTACTGCGCAAAATTCTTTTAATAGTCCTTCTTAAATTATCCAACATGTAATGTTGACCAATTATAAAAATTTTAATGCAAAGATGAATATAATAACTGATCAGGATTTCGGAATGATGAAATACACTTCATTTATAATATCACATTACCACAACAACAACGCAATCGTTTCTAATGACCGACATTACATTTTGTGCTGCCATCTATACGGAACAGAATGAAGTATTACCATACAAATGGTAAATATATGCAACTAACAAAGCATATGAAAGTGAGGGTCATTGTATAAGTACAGAATTGCTAGCATTAATAATATGTACTCCTGAACATTTTAAGCTATTTTTGTTCTCAAGGATGTCATTCCCAATGGGTATCCCAATGGGTGTTTAAAATCAGAAAAAATCATAAATAAAAGTAAAAACTTACTGATTCATTAGGTATTCTATGTATTCCTTGTAGCTATTACTCGAAGCAATGATGGCATTTTTCTGCAGAAATATAGCGATGTTATACTGCAAATCCTGTATAGTTTCGTGCTCTATCAGAAGCTCTTTATTATTTGATGTTATATCATTGATGATTTCCATGGAACTGTCAAGAAGCGATTCTCTAATAGCAATTCTTTGGGAAACTTCTTCATCCAACATGACATTTTTCTCCAACTTAGTTATATAATCGACGTGCATGTGAACGGAGAAATCACAACCACATTTTCGGCAACATCGAGTGGTTTGATCGATAACGTTACAAGTCACCAAGTTGGGACAACCTCTTACATCTTTCACTTCATTATAAGTCTCGTTGCATGGGCTGTGGCACACAGTCTTATAATGCCACTTAGATATACCATTAACCTGAGAATGATCACTTTCTTAACCTAATTATTCAACAATATATAAATTCCAACAGACATTCTAGTGCTTATAGGTACAACAAACAGTGTGAAAATTGATCATAGATTATTCAACACGAACACTAATCTTGTCTCCCTGTCGAATATTGTAGAGTATAAAATGTTTGTAAATAAAATAAAGTAATTCATCATTTTAGCTGGTAAACCCATTTGCAGTTTTTGTAAGATCCTTAGAGTGAGAATCTTACGGTTAGTGTTAATATGAATTTTCATAAAGTATCTTTCAATTCTATTCAATTACTGTAATGATTGTTGAAGAATGTATGTGCTGTAAGTATTATTAAAGATGCATGTTCGACTCACCCTGTAAACATCAGCACATGTTCGACTGGTGCACACTAAAAGGGTTTGATTCAATGTCATCGTTTTAACATTAGAAACCTCACTTTTTTGTTCATCTTTCAACTTTCTGATGTCCTCTATTTCGAAGTTTCTATTCATCTTAAGCCTTTCAATTACCACTTGGTTTGCATCCACGAGTTGCTTAATATCAGAAAGAACTTTTGAAAGTTGCAGCATAAGCCTCCTGACATAATTAACTTGAAGTAAGTTATCAGTGGAGTAAGGAGTTGTTTCTTTTTGTAAGCGTCTGATGAACCTGAAAATTTTAGATATGTTGATAATTCTTCTTGATCTTAACATAAACCCACACTGTGTCTGTTTTGAATGGTACGTATTCCAAGACCTGTTATACTGTGACTTACCACCAACACTGCTTCGCCGATTCTTGCCAACTCTTCAAGTTGATTTCCTTGATGGAATCATCGAACTTAACTTTTTTCTTGAGCCCTGCTAGAAACTTGAAAGCCTCATTATCGAAGCAAAATTTATTTTTGTCTACAGCGATTTCAACTCCTGTAGTCTTTGCTTGCAAGTGCTTCATAAATGACTTCAGATTTGAAAAAGTATCCCCTGGTCCATAATCTGAGCCTCTGGTGTTGGTAAAAAGAAAGAATATATTTTTGCAGGCAGTTTTGTCGAGGCGGGACAGCATTTGAAACATACAGTATTCGAAATAGACAGTCTTTCTGGCTTCTGTCGGTTTGAAAAGGAAGCATATCGCATGGACTTTATTCAGGGTTTTCAGATAACGCACTATATAGTCACAGTTCTTTTCGTCTTGTTCGATCCCGCGTGTATCTCCCATTCCGGGAGTATCAATCAAACGGACATTGACTCTTCCTCTCCATACAGGAAACACATAAGTTCTCACGTCTTGGGTTGCAGATTCACCTGATTCCAAAAGCTCATTTTTGTCATTTTCAGGTCCTACTTTTATCTCCTGAATTTTTCCATTCTTATTCGCTATCTTGAAAACAGTAGGTATCAACACAACCAATCCTTCTTTCTCAGCGTTATCAAAATACTTCAGAGAGAGATAATTTGCAACAGCATTTATGAAAGTGGATTTTCCAACACCTGTTTCTCCAAGCAAGAGGATATTTATATCTTTATCCTCGAGTTTGAGGTTCCTTAAATTCTCTTCTAAATCTGATTCTTCTGAAGACATTTTTCAGTTGTGCTGTAAAATGAATAAAAGTTATTGAACAGAATAGTCTGCTTCCAACAGAAAGTAGAACTTTTTCAATGGTTGTTCTACATGACGTGAAACATTAGAAAATAAAAGTTGAACCGTCCAGCTGAATTGAAGAAAATATCTTACCTACAGTTATATGCAATAGTAAAAATACAATTTATTTCTTCATTAATTGAAATGTTACTTTAGTAAGTAAAGTCTCTATGAAACTCTATTCCAATTCCTCTATCCTTTTTTGTCAATATTGATATCAATAAAAGTTTATATTTTTTGCAAATTGAATAAACACATTAAAAACAAGACATTGATCATTTCATTAAATTCAAACATTATTACACTAACTTCCATAATGAAACTTATATTCTAATTTATCATCATCCATCGGATTCCAAGTCAAAAGTTAGTTAACATGGTATATTTTATCTACTGAGAATCTAATCTAATAATCAGAATAATCTTCAAATTCATAGTTTCAAAGATTTTTCATTTCCTTTAGAAGTAAATAAGCAAGCCATAATTTCTGGAGTACCTAATAGTTTCATTTTTGGACCAATATATCTAGAATTCCCGACATTTTGGGCAAAGTAAAAATATTTCTTCACTGTCTTAGGCCAGCTCTAAAGATATCGATAAGATTGAATGGTGGTGTTGGTGCAAAAAATGGTGTTTCAATATTACCAAAACCAGTGTACACTTTCAAATTGATTTACTCAGGCAGTAACTTGGTAATTATAGAAAGTAAACAATCAATCTTGGACTCAATAATGATAAACAACATGTAATTAATTTGTCTAAGTAATGAAACATTGCTGCATTGATTCAACATTACTAGCAGAGTACTTTTATTTAACAGTGACTAAATTAAAGATAGTAAGGAAAACCAGTCACATTTTTGATATGTTTGCAGTATCTGCAAAGCAGGAATTTATAATTGTTTTTATTGTATTATATTTTATGGGAAGTTTATTTTGAAATAGATTATTAGTGTAGCATAATAACAATAACACTTTACAATGATATTTTTTGGTACTATTCCCAGTCAAATCTATATTTAGAAACAGTAAAGGACATCTGGAAACAAAAATAACAAAATAAGTAGTTTAGCAAAATACTTCAAAACAAAAGAGGGAACTGAGAAAGAAACTTCTTTTATGACATTATTTAAAAATATAAGACAAAAATTTGTATAAAAAATAGAGGAAAATGATAATTACCTATATCCCAATGATGGAGGTAAAAATCAGATTTCAAGTATCAATTAGTTACATTCGTCATCATCAAACATGTTGTGAACAATAGAAAACCTAGTGTTCAGTATTAAACAAAATATCCTTTAATCGCGACCTTGAACACTGATAATAACATGTAATAATTTTGTTATTTACGCCTGAGTGACTATCTGAAAACTGGAAAGTAAAATCGAATTCTGTGAAGTACACAACTGGTTATTCTTTGTATGATTCATAAAACGGAGGCATTTCACTGCGCTCAGAATAATTCTCATTTGAGGGGATTTCGGATTGAATAACAATAAATAATAAACACGTAAACACAAAATTCAAATGTTCCGCACTACCTCCAACACATAGTAATCAAGTGACGTGACCTTGGCTAACGTATTATAATTTGCGATAAAAAGGGAGTGAATTTTTACGCCCCCACGGGTTTTTTAAGAACTACTACTAGAGTGAGGTTTTCAACAAAGACTATTTAGAAATTTTAAACATCTTTAGAATTTCTATTGGGAAATAAACAGGTAAATAATTTAACTATTAGTATAAAATTCAATACTTTTGGCGAATTTACCACGAGCTAGTGTCCAGTGACGCGTCAGTGTTGCCAACGAGGTATTGATAAACATGTATTTTGAGAAATAACTTTTTATTAGGTATTCAAAAATATCATGAGAAGCTTCACATGAGTTACTCTAGTGTGTGCAGATGCAAAAATTGAACAAATGATCATGACCCCGTTTGGTATTTTTTGTCACTTGGCTGAAAGTCGTTTTAACTTGTCCATTTCTGCCATGTCTCAGGTCCGTTGTTGGATGTTTGTCATATTCTTTTGGCATAAATTTGGGTTGTTGGTAAATTGCTTGTCCTTTGTGATCTAGTGCCTCACCTCCGCTTGAAATACGGATGTATGCAGTTGTGATGTGAGTATCTCCCAGAACAGTATATTCCAACTCCCATCTCAGGTTTGGTTTTGGACCCCTATCTGGGTTCAGTTCGACTCCATCATTTCAAGGCTAAGGCATTTGAAGGTCAAATGAAGGCCCAAATGCAGAAGAGAATGTACTTACTTTTTTGCTCAAATGTTTACATTGTGAAACCAAGATAGAGGATAACAGTCAAAACAATCTCCGAAAAGTTATAGAAAAATCTTACTATATATTTTTGAAGTCTTTGAATCTGGGGGTTCAACGTAAAATTAAGGAGTTCAAAGAACCTTAATAACAAAGTATATCCACCCAATATGTTTTATGCAATTTAGTCAGAGCATTAGTTAAGTTTAACCAAATATGAGATTAATTTGTCTTGTTCAACCCTATTAGGTTAATGTGAGAGGTGTGGCATAATTAAATCAGATGATAGCTTTATGAGCAACAGAAAATATCATTTTTGAGAATGTTCACTTTGAAGTTTATTCCATATACCTATCTTGATAATGTATTACTGTTTTGCGACAGAAGTTTATTAAGGCGCCTTGCTTTCCTCTGCTTAATTTTTTTTTCAGATTAACCATGACATCATAGAGTCAAACTATTTACGAAAATTTTTGCCAAGTAGTGTCCTTAACATCAATCTCATAGGACCAAACTGACCCCGTGATATTTAATATATTGAATTCCACAATAATTCTAAGAGGACTATCATCAAGGTTATATCCATACCTAAATGCAGCCGATTTCGAGATATTGCAATTTTTCTGGAATATCAGAGTGTCTGAAAATACACGAAGTGAATCAGGAATGAAAAAATCATATTCTGAGGTTAGGTTCAGAATTCTTTTCTCAATATATTTTTTTAGTCAATTCACAGGGTGTTCACACCCCATATATTGTGACTCCAAGATGAAGGTCTCCTTATTTCCGTTCGAATAATGTACATTTTTCCTATACCAAAACTGGAAAATTTTCGACCAAATAACGATTTTAGTTCAGTTTTTAATTTTCGATACTTCGACAAAGTTACGCCATTGCCTAATTATGTATTGTCGAGTCAGGAATCGTATCATTCCTCGAACTAGACTAAAGTGAACGACAAACAACATGTTTGTCATTGTCTTATCTGCCCGTAAACGAGGTAACCAACCGCATATCCGAATCGCCCAATTCCTCGTAAAAGGAAGAAACATATAGTTAGGGGGCATACTTGAAGACTTGCTGTAAATCAATTTATCCAAAAGAACCATTCGTTCAGGCCAGTCTAAACTCACATTCACTGTAGGTTAATGGACTGGCACTATCAGAGAACAACTACTCCCCTGGCTAATACCACGAAGGGCGTTGGATTATATTGGCAGTTCATAATTCTTTGAGAGCGACGTTGGCCAGGCCATCACTGTCAACGACGAGCACTATAGGTCGATGATTATCAACTTCTTTTTCAATTCTCACAATTTCACTTTTTGCCAATCCATTAGAGTCGTTTTTCCAAATATGTAAAACATAAATTATATAGTCCATAGGCATATATCAACAACATGCAAGTAAATATACGTTGAGTTTTGTCAAAAAATGTTCGTTGGGTGAGGAAGCAAAACGCCACGAAAAGGGCAACAAAGTTGAATTTGACCAGCAATTTTTTTCAGTTTTTGCAGCTCCAATCAAACGTTCCCAAAATAATAAATCAGGAAACTTTTCGCACAAGTCCAATGGTTACAGAATCACTGGTCATAAACGTTCAGAGAGTGAAAGAAAATCAGGATCATCAAAGAACTTCACATATGACAAACAGGCGGAGAGTGCAGAACCTGATGACATATATTGACCAAAATGAAGAGATCATCTAAAGGTGAAGATCACTAGAGTCTAATCAGTTAATAACTTGATTCGGGTTCTTGGGAGTATATGGTAAATCAAGAACATTCAACAACTCAAAACCCTTGAACGAACCAATAAGAATAAAAAGTGCTAATAAGAATGGAATATCCTACTTGCACAAAGCGTAAAAGTTAGGGCTAGATGGAAATCATGCATACACATCTGATTGCTATCAAAGACGTCTTGTTTGTTATCAATATTCAATGTGTTATCAGTTCGTAAACTGAAATATACGGATTTGAAATTATCTTCAAAAATGCCAAAGGAAAACGACAAAGTAGTTGATAAAGCAATCGAACAGAATAAAGTATACCTACCAATTGGACTTTATTCTGTAAACAACAAATTTTACTCGAGTTAGCTTAATCGAATTATGTCATAAACGAATGTCACACATTGGAAAAGAGGATCTCAAGAAATCTACCAAGGTTTGTCAATACATCTTGGGAAGTAAGCAAACGCGTCAGCCGCATAATTATAAGAGATTCAGGGGCAGAAGACCAGAGTTGGTACAAAGTGATTTGTTTGGAGCAGTTAATCCAATGCCGCTTGATGGAAAGAAATATGTGCTAACTTTCCTTGACGATCACACCCTTTTTGTCAAAACCCCCTAACGAAATGATGTTAATGAAAAGATGAATTGAACCATTCTTCATAAAGGGAGGTCTATACTAGTAAATTCGGAAATTGGAATTTGATGATTCGCATTCTCTGAAATATAAACTTCCAGCTGAAATATGATTCGGGAAGAAGCTTAATTTGAATAAATAGAAGTATTTTTAGCTTTTCAGTCTATTCACACGTACCGAAACAATTAACAGTAGGAAAGTTCGTTTCAAGATCCAAAAAATGTTTCTTGCATTGGTTATCGACTATTTTTTTCGATAAAAGTTCCTATGAACAAACTCTTCAATTTTAAGATAATGTCACGGCAAGTATTTCTCAGGAAGAAATTCAATAATCACCTCAATCTGACGATACGTCTCATGTAGTCTGGAAGACTATACGAGTGTGTACACTCGTACACAGTAAACTCAAGGTACAAAATACTCTACACCTAAAATTTTCGAGCAATAGTCCCCCCATACTACATACTACTATACTCCCCACCTCATAATAAGAAAATATTGGAAGAGAATATATTCCATGCAGGGGAGCCCACGATGCAAAATGGGGATTTACTCGAGCGTCATTGAGTCATATTAGGTTGCAAAGCTTGGATGATAAGAAAAAAAAAATGTTATATAATATATACCTTTTCATCGGTGAGGGATGAAAATGTATATATTATATAACATGTAAAAAAGTACTGTTGCATGGACATACTCGAGCGCGTCAGATATTGATAGCATCAATGTCCTACGTAATTTTAATAATGTAGGTATGTTTATCTGATCGTTTGCATGATGTGGGTGGTTGTACGTAAGGGTTAAAAGTGAAAAGAAAAAAAAATTAATCGAGCGCGTCAGATTTTCTAAGGGGGTGTTAAGTGCAACAAAAAAAAGCTCTCATTCAATAATCTAACGATTTAGATCTGACGCGAACTCGCGGCCATTATTATAATGTGCAAAAAAAAATTCGGCATTTTGAAATACTCAAGCACGTCGGAATAAAATATATATGGTTCATCTTTATGTTTTAGACGTGCTGTTTCATAATCTGACGATTATCTACAGGGATTAGCTTAATCTGACAAAAACAATATTTTTTTATTTTATTTTTTTAATTCATTGAACTTAATTAATTGAAAAGCTCAGGAAATAGAATGCAAATAAATAAGTGTATGTTTTTTAAGTCGAATACTTGTATTATTTATAAGAAAATAACTTTAAAAAAATGCTCAAAAAAATTTAATTTTTTATAATCAATTGATTATTTAATGCAGAGAAGAGAAATGAAACTTTCTATGTTTTTTACCACTTTTATTTGTAACTAACGTTACAATATATAAGTTTGAAAAAATGTCCTTATAGGACGAAACTGCAGTAACATTAGTTACAAATAAAAGTGGTAAAAAACATAGAAAGTTTAATTTCTCTTTTCTTCATTATGATTTCCTACCACGTAGTAACGGCTACATCCATCAATTAATTGATTAATTAATCATCATCTTCATCACGAACGAGTCTCTGTGATCAGCTGTGATGGCATCATGGCAACAGAATTCAGTGGGGACGGAGTGAGAGAGTAATAGAGAAAAAGTGAATAGAGAATAGAGGAATAGAAACTCGGAGAGGTGAATATAGGTATCACACAGTTGCCCGCATTAAACTTTATCGATGAATTTTTGTTATTTCGGCTTGCGGAAATCGTCAGATTATATGTTTTTCGTTATCCTTGAATTATTTCCTTCAAAATAAAAAAAAATTAGCTACCCTCGAGAATGTCGAAATGACGTTATTTTTTTACAATTTTGCTGCCCTCCCTTTTCTTTACGTTACTCTCAAATTGTCAGATTACTGGAACATACACTTTTTAGCAGGTAATTAACTTACCCTACCTTAATCTGACGCGCTCGAGAATTTCTGATGATCAATTTTTTTTACCAATCTGATCCTTTATCCCTCACAGGCGGCCTGATATATGGGGCTCATATTTGGTGGAGGTACTTAACCGGGTACAAGGTATCCTCCTGTATATTAATCTGCCGCGCTTTAGTAAATCCCGAAATCCCCGCTTGGCCTCCCATATTATCAATGTAATATTAACATCGTCTTTGATAATCTCCCCCTAGATCCACCTCTGACTACGCGAATTCAATGTAAAAGGAAAAAATTAACAATTAGGTTATCTTATTGCACGAACATTGGAAAGTAACTCGATATCACTAGTATACGTGGACAGTTCAAAAAATAAAATGAATGTTGAAATTTCAATTAGCGATTTTTTTTTTTATTTTATGTTGGTACACTCGTCTCGAACATCTGTTCTCAGTTTCGGCTGTTTAGCATGTTTATTTTGTTGGTGAGATGCATAAAAGTTAGAAGTGTTTTGTGTATTCGGCGATTTTCTGCTGTCGAAAAAAATTTAATTAAAGAATTTGCATGAAGTGTTTTGTTAAAAAATTTAATTGAGTGTTAAAAAAACACTTGAAATGTTGACAGTGGCAT